TGTCAGCCACTAGTAACAGACGTAGGTCGTTTTCCTCACGTTTACCGGTTACATCACGTCTTGTCTCGATAGACGTCCAGTCATAGCTCCAGGACCTGGAACTCGGCCCAAATGTTCGGGTTTCTCCAGCGGCGCACGCTACAAATGGCCCACGGGGGCGCGGCTGCCATGTGAACTAGTCGGCAGATAGCGAAAGTGGGTACATCTGCCAGCCGGTCGGCTGGCGCCGTAATACCGTAACTGGCTGCAGCGTAACTGTGACGCCGGCGTTCCGGACGAGTGGGTACGGACGCGGGCCGGGCCGAGGTGCTATTGTGGCGAGTGGGAGGACCGGGTCGCTCGCGCTGCTGTGACAGACGGTACGATGACGGGCGGGGCTGCTGTAATGACTGACGGACGGTTGAGGTGGGGAAAGGGGTCTGCTGTGACAGACGGTGTGGGCCGAGGGGATTTGTTACCATAGGCGCGGGAGCCGGGGGGGCAGTGGGGGCAGCTTGCCCCCCCAACTCTGGGGCCGTGGGGGCGGTGCCCCCACAGCTTTGAGACGGAATACCACACTTTTTTTGCAAATGTTTTCTTTTTTTGTTGAAAAAGCCGAGGGGTGAAAAATAAGTGGTCTAAAACCGGCGAGAAAACTAGATTTGGGGGTACCCTAGGTTGATCTCCATTATGGTGTGCCCCCCCAGTCGGAAAGTAGTTCCCGCGCCCCTGTTTGTTACTCATCGCGAGATCGGAGCGCTGCTCTGTGTGACGGCCGAAATATCCTCGTTTTTCACAGGCGGTATGCGGACAGAGGGCGGTACAAAGCGGACAAAACGGGCAGGGTGGACCGTCGGTGGCCAACATTGAAGTCCAGTGCCAGAAGACTGGGATGCAGGTACAGATCGAGTTCTCAGAGCGGTTCGACGGCATCATCTTCAGCAAAGGACACTTCGCCGATCCCAACTGCCGGTAAGAAGCTTTAGTCACCCTGAGATACTTAAGCGACACCCAACCATCGGTAAGGAACGCTGGGAACCCGAGTTATTTTGCCGACCCCAACTGCCGGTAAGTAACCGACAACAGGGCATAATGGTATCTTCGATGATAAGTATACCCTGTTCTTTGCCTAGAATTTCCTTTTCAAATCACCTTCAGCGTTTCATTTTCACCAGCGTCCAATGTCTTTGGAGTTTGCTGCCGTCGCGCGAAAGTTCACAAGGCCTTGCGGTACAGCATAAATCCAGGCGTCCGCGGTCCGCCTTTACCGACATCTAGCGGCAATAATTGTAAGCTCATGGCAGAGAGCCTAGGCGCATACGACTGCGATTGCGTAACGGCATGATTTGCATGCGAAAAGTGGTCGAACGATGAACAAACCGGTCATATATGTTCAGCCACCTTTTGCGGAAGGTTTTGATCATGCCTCTTATGCATCGTCGTTTATAGAAATATTTATCGCTATTCGCTACCTGATTTAAGCGGACCAATTTTAACAACGCTAGGTATTTCTTTTGCTTAGTAATGAGCACTTGCGGTGTATGTGAGCTTGCGTAAATCTTTACCTTTCGGAGTTTACTACCTAATGATACTTCTTAAATGACACAAGTGCAGGCATCGGTAGGATTGTGATTGCAGGATTGCAAAATCCTGATCGCATTCCTTTTTGGTGGATTGCACCTGGATTTGAAATCCATTCCAAAAAACAGGATTTGATTGCGGATTGGATTGCATCATACTTCCATTTTTTGCAATCCAATCCGGATTGTGTTTGATTAGTGCTTTGAAATGGTTTGTTGCGATTGAAAATTATTAGATCGGCTTCATCGGCTTAATGTAGTTTGCTATCAAGGGCTTTACATCTAAACTTGAAATAATTTAAACGCTTTTAATTTAAACGCTCAAAATAATATACGCTGATGAACTACATAGGAAGGGCAAAGTTACGTATTTGAGGGCGAGTTTTAAAAATATAAAACACTGGTTGGGTAGAGGTTTCAATGTGGGGGTGTTTGAGGCAAAAAATATTTCCCATAAAATACCTGTGCCTTAGATAGGAATTACTCGTAAGACTAGGTACTAGAAATGGGTGATTTGGGGATGGAGGCACGGCCCTATGCCCCCTCCCTCCCCCAGATCCACTAGTGCACATAATAATACAACAGGATTGCAAAAAAGGATTGCGGATTTGATCTCAATCCAAGTGAAAAAGGGGATTGCGGGTAGGAATGCAATCCACTTCGGCACTAGGAATGTGGATTGGGAATGCAATCCTTTCAAAAAGGATTTTACCGATGCCTGCTTACTGAATGAATGACGCTTACTAACTGAAACTCCCATTACCTGACTCATAATGAAGGCAAGGTAAAGCCACGGCGCACTCCATTGACACGCGTGTGTCCGGAGCTATGTATCTGTTCTGTGTCTAGTCTCTCTACACCGCGCTTCTGTGGTGACCCGTGCGTTGCAGCGCCTCCGGCCGGTCCGGCCCGGCCCGCTCGTGCTGACCTGGCTCTCGTTTGGCAGGTACGCGGGCGGGCCGGGCCGCGGCGGTCGCACGCGGACCTTCACCGTGCCCATGACCAGCTGCGGTACCAGCGTGCGCGACGGCACCGTGTTCAGCAACACGGTGGTGCTGCAGACGGACCCGACCATCCAGGAGGCCTGGGACCTGGCGCGCACCATCACCTGTGACTGGCAGCGGGCCGGCGCGCGGCGCACCGTCACCTACTCGCCGCTCCCCGTGGCCGGCATGCAGGCAGAGGAGGTGCGCTTCGCCGCCAACGAGTCGGTCAGCTGCGGCATGGACGTGCAGGTGGGCCGCTGGCCGCAGTCGCAGGCCGTCACCCAGATGGTCTCTGTCGGCTCAGACCTGTCACTGCTGATGTTTGCTGAGGACCCAGCCGGTCAGCTGGATCTACGTGTGGGCGAGTGCCGAGCTTACAGCAGCGCCGACTTCCAGAGCGCTGCTAGTGTTCAGCTCACAGACTCCAACGGCTGCGTGCTCAAGCAGAAGCTGATGACGGAGCTGCAGGTGACGCGCCGACAGCTGGACGGACGAGATCGTGTCATCGCCTACAGCTACCTATCGGCCTTCAAGTTCCCGGATGTGCTGGAGGTTCACTTCAGCTGTGACGTCGAGGTCTGCAAGGGCCTCTGTCCCAAGTCGTGTGTGCGCCGCGATACCTCGGCGGGAGCGAGAGTAACCTCACAGCGTCCAGCGACGGTGGCGATCACACGAAGACCAGTGACGACCTCTCAGCGCCCGGCGGCGACCTCTCAGCGCCCGGCGGCGACCTCTCAGCGCTCGGCGTCTGGGTCAGTGTTCCCCTCTCGTAGGCCGGTGGGCGGCGGGCGGCGCCGGAGGCCGGTCGGTCGCACGGTCAGTCCTCGTCGTACCACCCCGGCCATCCGACGACGGGTGACCACGGCTCAGACGACCACAACTGCCGCCACCACGACGGAGTTTAGCAGGAACGCAGCGCAGCCGCAGCAGCCACAGACAACGCAACAACCGCAGACAACGCCACAGCCGCAGTCATCCCAGCAGCCGCAGCAACCGCAAGGGCAGTCTTCACAACCTCAAGGTTCGCAACAGCCACAGCCCCCTACCAAGGACTACCCAACATTCAACATCAACACAAAGCGTGACTTTCCGAGCAAGAATGCCCTGGAGGAGGGTAGTGTGCGTACCGACAACCTGCTCAGCCAGTTGGCCAACATCGAACTGGGCCGACTCCCGGGCTCTGGGAGCTCACAGAGCGGTGTACCAACCCCGAGGAACCCGGCGCCGCGTGTGCCGGACGCCGTCACCAGCCGCCCGCCGCCCGGGAAGAGAACCCCACCATCTGACCTGGCTGCCACCCGTGTGGTGCAGACACCGTTCGGCCCAGTAACCGTACCGGCTGCCTTGCTGGCTGGAGCTACCAACGGTAACAAGCGTCAGAACGCCTCAATCAATGACATCCCCAGCACGCCCGTGCCCACGCCTCCACAAAGCTCCAATTTCATCTCGTTCGAGTCTCCGCCGGCGGAGAATGAGGTGCTCGGCGCTGCCACGCAGCTCCGTGCGGTCGAGGCGGCGCCGCCGGCCGCCATTCCCGTACCGATTCCGGTGCCCGTCAAGCGACCCAAGCCCGGCCGCGGTCGGAAGCGCCGGCTGCGGGGTCCGCGTTTTCCGTTCGGTCTACGCGGTCGTTCTAAGCGGTCTCTTGTTCCGCCGGCCGAGATCAGACCCGTGCGGCTCTCTCGGCAGGTGTATGTGGCTGCCGAGGACGAGCTGACGGCCAGTGAGGGCCCGGAGCCGTCCAGCCGCCGGCGGCCGGCCGACTATGTCTGTCTGGGGGTGGGCACGTTTACTGCCGGGCTGCTGGTGGCCGCCGGCGGTGTCCTGTTCGGACTGGCGGTCGGCTGCGCCGGCTGCTGGCAGCGCCGCCAGCGGACCAGCCGACCCAAACTGAACGCTCTGCCCCAGGTGGACAGGCTGTATCGGCGGGCCCGCTAGCTACCCCGACGAGCAACTTACCGCTTTGGGGGTCGTGAACGGTCTGTCTTTCAGCGTTATTTGTTGGTGTAAAATAACTTATCGGGCCTATGGTCAATAGATTCGACGCAAGCTCTCAATTTAGTGTTCTATTATCATGTTTTCTTCCATTCATCGGCGTAACTAACAAGGGTCTGGGATTTTCAGGGCTTAGTTGACAGACACCGTACTGTTTGCGGTTTTTAGCTTGTTTATAGAGCTAAGCGCTTGTATTGGTTTTTAGAGCTATGTGTGAGACGCGCCGGGATCTGTCGACGCTGCACGCTCCTTTCTGGGAGAATGGGGACGGAACGGCGCCAGCGACTGTAGGTAAAATGGTCGATGGCCGATGCTGGCGCTGCAATGTGTAAATACAAACAAGTGCTACTAATTGCTGTCCACATGCATTAGTAATAAAAAGGTAAAAACAAAAACAGTTAAAATGGTGCCCCTCTAATGAAATAGACCGACGGATGCTGAGCGATGAGACCGGCTTTTAATGAGGTGAGTGAGCAACACTTCATAGTCATCCTCTAACATCGGCAGTATCGTGATATCAACGCTCAATTTGTTTCCTTCGTGATGTGTTTGTATCTTACCTTATATTTATTCTTCTGGCGTCTAAACGCAGCTCGTTTCTGAATTATCTCTTCTAGACAACTGAGTGGCGATGATTGATGCACGCTCATCATCTCTAATCTTGCCCATAACCAGTTATCCCATCCCTCCCGCAGATACGTGGCGTTTCAGAGCGGCGCGGCCAACTACACGTTCGACGTCCCGATGACGGCCTGTGGATCGCGCGCCATCGCTGACGAGGGTCGGGTCGGCTTCGAGAACACCATCATCATACAGGCCGAGGAGGTAAGGCATCGGACGGCAGCCATCGTAAGATGCTGATGAAGGATTACGATTCTCTTCTGAGCGTTGCCTCTGTCTCTCAGGTGTTGAAAGAAGAATCAGGTTGGTTCTAACATCGGCCGTTGTTCCTGGCTCTAGTGTTCCATGGGGAAACCCAATCCAGCTGTTGCTCCTCGGCTGGTGCAGTCTTGGGTACAGAAGGGATTCAGATAAGACGACAGTTGTTGCCCCTCGGTTAGTATAATACGGACTAAGCCTGACGACTGTTCCTGTCCCTCAGGTGGTGCAGGAGGGCTGGGACACGGCGCGCCGGCTCAGCTGCGACTGGCCTGACCGTGTGGAGAAGCTGGTGACGTTCCGGCCGATCGCCGTCCGTGCTCTGGAGGCCACCGAGGCGCGGTTCGCCGGTGACGACATCACGTGCTGGATGGACATCCAGCTGGGCAGAGGTCCGTTCGCCTCCTCCGTGGACGGCATCGTACGGATCGGCGAGCAGCTGACTGTGGTGATCCTGGCGCAGGCTACAGCTGGACAAATGGACATGGCCGTCACAAACTGCTACGCCTACGACGCGGAGAATATCAGCGACCCGCGCACCACCGTCCTCCAGCTCACCGACGACCGCGGCTGTCTTCTCAAACCCAAATTGATGAACTACTTCCGTAAAACGCGCCGCACCGGCAGCACAGGCGCTGACATCCTCTCGTTTGCCGCCATGAGTGCGTTCAAGTTCCCCGACAGGATGGATGTGTATCTGGCCTGTGAGGTGGAGTTCTGTAAGGACAGCTGTCAGCAGACCTGTGATAGCGAGGACGCTCCACGAGGACTGGAGGAGGACGCTGAGGATTCTGAGGAGGACACTGAGGACTCAGAGGTGGACCGACCCGAGCCGCAGCCCCAGCCAGAGCCGGCCAGCTTCTCCGCCCTGCGACTGCGTGGTCGTCGTCCGTCGCCTCCGACCCTGCCGCCTCCTTCTCGCGCCACGGAGGCTCCGTCTCGCGGCACGATGGCTCAGTCTCGCCCCACGGCAGCTCCGTCTCGCGCCACTGAGGTGCCTTCTCGAGCCACTTTGGCTCAGTCTCGCGCCACGTTGGCTCAGTCTCGCGCCACAGAGGCTCCATCTCGTGCCATGGAGGTGCCATCTCGCGCCACGGATGTGCCGTCCGAGCGTCCGCCGTCAGCCGCGCCGCTGAGGGCGCTCAGTCGTGTCCAGGAGATGATGGCACGAGTCAGAGCGGCCATGAGAGCAACTTCGGCAGCTACTGAGGGCACAACTACTTCAACGAGCACTACTAGTACCACAGCCGCCACCACCACTACAACAGCAACGACTACTACCACCACAGCCTCTACAACTACCACAACTGCTGCAACCACCACTACCACTCCCACCACCACTACCGCTTCCACGTCTACCACCACTACCGCCACCACCACTTCTACAGCCTCTACAACTACCTCTACCACTTCGACTACCACTTCCACCGTCGTGAGCTCTAGCCCGTCTGCTGCTACCAGCAGTAGTTCAGAACAGCCCATTTCTGTCCCGTTGGAGCGCACTACGGTCACCCCAGGTCTCACGCTGCTGCGTCTGTCTGCTCTGGCGCCTACCAGCGCTGCACTCGTCTCCACACCATCCCCTTCGCCGGATAGGGATACCAGTGACGGGACCACCGCTCAAAACGTCTCCGAGACTACGACAGGATCCACTAGCACTACCACACGCCAGCCGCTGATGATGCCAGAGAGCTCTACGGCCGCGAGTACGTCTCCCGTGACATCTTCCTCTGCGCCTTCAGAGGGCAGCTCCCCGTCACCAGCTGCAGTCGAACTTGACCCAGTACTGCCGGCAGCGGCGGCGGTGACGCCAGAGATGACGCCCTCCTCGGTAGACACCCTGATGACGCTACTCCGTGACCCCGGCGTCCAGGAGATCCTGGCTGATGATCAGTTTGTGGCTGAGATGCGTGCCGCACTGCGTGACCCAGCCGCCGCTGAGCAGATGGTGGAATCTGGTGAGGTGACTCCTGACGTGGTGGCGCTGTTTCAGCTACAGGAGGTCTGTCCGAGGACCGACTCGGTTGATCCCATATGCGGAATGCTGGCGGCCATGACGCGGCCACAGACCACCACTCTGCCCACGCCGGCGCGGACGTTCTTCCCCGCGGAGCCGCGGCCGGTCGCCCCTGCCGGACCGGCGCGTTCCGTACAGGAGATCCTGGAGCGACTGCGCGGCCCGCCGGCAGCGCGGGCGGTGGCTGAGCCGCGGGCCGGGCGCGCGGACCGCGCTGGTCGGACGGGACGGCCGTGTGCGGCTGATGACATCGCCTGTAACATGGTTCAGATCGGCGAGCAAGCGGACTCACTCCGCTCAGCAGCCAGCTCTCGCAGCCTGTTCAGCGTATCGTACCCGACAGGTGCGTTCGGCGCTCGCCTGCCTACCTCCCACCGGAGACCCCGGAGACGGGTTATCGAGCCGAGCAGTCTGACCCTCAGTATGGGTCGCAGTTTCCGCGTCCTGTCGCCGGAGGAGCTAGCGTTCGGTGGTGCCTCGTGGGCGGGAGCGGGGGCGGCGGCTCAGAGCGGCGGCTCGACACCACCCGCCGGTCAGGTGTGTCTCCCGCAGCTGGGTCTGGCGCTGGGCGCGCTGCTGCTGGTCCTGGCCCTAGTCACCGCTCTGCTGGTCGCTGGGGTGCTGTACGTCCGGCTGACCCGACTTCGGAACAGAGAACGCATTCGAGATGGTCACTCCTACCCAGAGTACGTCTACAAATAAGACGGACTGACCGCACAAGCTATTTAAGAGTGAAAGGAAGCTTGTTGTTGAATGCTTGACATGTTTTCATCTCGGTTGTTGGGGTTTGGAGTGAGCTGTTGTGACGTCGCGCGTAGTGCCACTGGTAGCTATTTAAGTTTATAATTCCGAGGCCAAGAACGACGTTTTAGCGTCGTGTCACTTTCCACTCAGGATCATTAGAGCTAGAGTACAACACCTTGCCGAAGCGCTGCTGCCTCTCGGAAAAATTTTCCACCGAGAGGACTGCGGCGAACCGTGATCTTTCATAAGACTGTGTGCTTTTTACTTTGTTCAGTACGTGATGCGACCGCATGTTGGGTGGTATCGAGAGTGGTGGTCCGTCCCGGGCTGTCACAAACATGTGCAATATATTTTGAGATCTTTTCATTCAGGTTCAGTTTTTCTGGGACTATTCTTCCATGACAGTTTTCCAGCGCAAGGCTACCAGGTCTGCGGTAGCAACTAAGCAGTCTCTTGGAATGCATCGGACAGGCCAACAGTAAAGCGTGGTGACATGTTACATCGAATTAGCGTTTACCGTCCATCGCCTCTCAGGAGCCGGATGAGTGAGAAAGAGCGAACTAAATGCAAAATTGGAACAGGGAAAACCTAAATCACCCCATCAGCCTTGCTTAGAACTCTGACAATCCGCTTTCAATCGAGAAAAAAAAAACTCCGTAATACCTCACCCATTTAAATGTATTCAGTCGCGCAGAACGGATATTCATCACTCAAAACACAGGCGACCCGGAACAGTTGGACCACGAAGCGAATAAAGTTATATATTTTCTGTAAAGAAATCACCGTCGTCTCGGCGGGCCGTGGAATAGATCACTCGGTGCTCCTTGCAGTCGGCTCTCGGCCACTGCCGACTCAGGCTCCGGCGGGCGCGGCCGCCGCACGTGCCTTCTTCTGCACCTGGCTGATCTTGTCGCCCAGACTGAGCGCCATTCCCTGTCAGACACAGACACAGACGCAGCGGTCAGACCAGAGCCGACGGGCGACCTCCCTGCCCTATCCCCACGACACAGTGCACCCAAACGATCCTCCACTCCCTTTCTGCAGTCTCTGCGGCTCCACGTGACACCCCAACCCCAAACCCTCCGACATTCTTTCCACTTCCAGCGCCGCGTTCTTAGACTCACCTGGCTCTTGGCGCGGATGCGGATGTGTCCAATGACAGGCGCGTCCGGCTTGTTGAACGGCTTCTCCACGCTGAGGTTGGCCAGCGCGTCCTCGCCGAAGATGGAGCGGGCGTACAGGTTGGCGGCCAGGAACCCGCTGTCGCCCGACAGGCCCTGGGGAACGGGAGAGAGGAAGACGTGGTCATAAACCCCGCTCACGGAGCTTTCGATCATACAGACTGACAAGAGGCGGGCAGACTGAATGCAGCTCAGCTCACGATCACAGCAGTTTACATTATCTGGGGTTCCTTTGGCGTACTTGAATAACATGGGCATGATATACAACAAAAATAAATATTGAATTGGTGTTCCAGTGTTAGCTTGACACACCAACAGAACGAGAACGAATAAAGGTGAGACCGAGCGTATTACCGTGCGGTACCTCGATCACTGACACCGTACCTTCTCCGGTGTGAGACAGCGCATGTTGGTGGACGTCATCAGATGGGTGAGGTACTCGTTCAGGTCCGTGAGCGTAGTGTTGACCGATACCTGCGGAGACAGAACACACGGCGCCGAGATCGTCAAGTACAGGAAGAATCGCACCCAGGGATATTGAAGGATGATCAACGGGTCCAATCGAACAACGGATAACACATCATTCAAGAGCAAACTTAATAATGTCAAAAACAGCTGTTGGCAATAAAAATGACGATTAGCAATTAAAATGGCGCCCAAACCTCTCCAGTCGTTATTAGCACAGAAGGCAACAGTCTCGAAGCCCTGCTCTCTCGCTGATCCCGATACCACCACCATCATCCCTCACCTTATTCTCCCACTCGAACTCTGCCCACATCTGTCGGAACTCCTGGTCGGAGCACGACGCCGGCACGATGTAGTCCATGATGTCGATGTGGATGTCGTTCAGTACCACCACGTTACGGTCGTTGCCCGCGCCAGTCACGTCGTACACGATGTTGCCGAAGATGATGGCGTTCTCCGTGCTGGCAACCTGGTGAGAGGGCGCATACACAGTCAGCTCCGCCGCGAACTGACAAAGAACGTTACCGATTCAGATAGCACATTAAATCATAAACACCCGCATGACTGTATTTGCATAAATACTCTGCTATTTTTCAGGTTCGTGTTTTCATTTGTCTGTAAGATAAACAAACGTTAATGAAATGTAACACGTACCTTCACGTTGGCTTTGATGTTGGCAAAGTCCTTGGGTCCGAGCACCAGCGGGGACGGCTTCTCGACCAGCTTGAGGTCGCCGAGTGTGGCCAGCTCGAGGCAGCAGTTCTGCAGCGTGTCCGACGTCTGGTTCACCACCAACACGTCCAGCACGATGTCGTACTGGTTGACGTTGACGTACGCCTCGGCGTAGACGGGGTCCGAGAAGCCCGTCAGCTGGGTGACTTTGCTCAGTTTGGAGGAGCTGAAGTCGGCGGCCGAGCGTTTGACGGCGCCCACCGCCTGCGAGAGCGAGGCCTCGAAGACGTCCTCGCTGCCGGCCAGCTCGTTACGACCGGACAGCTGCAGGAAGGCGATCGGCGCGTCCGGCTGCACGGCCAGCACGCCGCGCTCCTTGGCCGTGCGCGGCGCCTCCGTCTCCGCCTTCACCTGAGAACACAGATTGACGGAGTGTATCAAGCGCAGGGGTTCCTCTTATTACCATTCTGCAGCTGCAGGTCAATCATGTGATGTCTCAATCTTAGCGATAAAAATACATTGAAAAGCCAATGAGTGTCAGAACATCATATTGTATTTGCACAGAGGTGAATGTAATCCACTCTTCGTGATGTGGCCAAGGGATTGCAGCGCGGGATGACAACTTTTCTAGCTAAATCGGCGTACCTTCAGCATAGAGTTGAGGGCATCCTTGCAGGCGCTGAGGAAGATTTTCTCTAGTAGCGGGTTGGGCTCGGCGACCACTCGCAGACACAGCTGCAGCCGCTCCAGGTCGTCGTCGCTGATGGCCTTGTCGGGCAGCCCGGAGCGGCCCAGGTGCATCATGCTGGCGATGATCAGCATGGCCTCTGCACGCAGCCGGTGCTGTTTTACCGGCGCCGTCACCAGCCGGCAGTAGCGCAGAGCCAGCTTAGCCACAGTGGCCGCCAGCACGGAGGCCACGAAAAAGTCGCCCGACATCAGATACTTGCGCAGCGGCGGCCGCTCGGCGTCCGCCTTCTTGGCTGATCTGTTCCCCCAGAAAGAGATGAGAACAGGTCACAGGGGGGTGAGGGTGGGTCAGAGAACAATTAGTCCGTAACAAACTTTTCTTTTTTATTGTTAGTAGCCGGGTTCAATAATGACGACACCGAAACAAACTTGAAGTTGAAACAGATGATCGTTCATGAAGACTTACAAACAAATCCTGCACCCGATTTATATTCCTCCCCTCCTCCCCCCCGCAGCTCCCCCCTCCCCATAGACCCAACCCCCAGCGTCACTCACGGCGCGGCGCTGAAGGCCGACTGTGTGGCGTATGTTCCGTCGGCGGTCACCAGTTTCTGCACGGTCTGCTGCTGCTGCGAGGGCTCCTCGTCGGTGGCCTGGCCGGCCGCGCGGCGCCGCTCGTCCTCCACCAGTGGCAGCTCGCCCAGCGCCTGACGCACCTGGGTCAGCACCGACTGTACGTCGTCGGCGGTGGCGGCGAACTCGCCTAGAATCCAGGTGGCGGCGCGGTGCACCCGGACCGAGCTGCCGGAAGCGGCAAAGGCAGTAGAGTCAAACATAAGGCAGCAGCTAAGATGTCAGCCCATATTGACTGTGAGGATGATTCGCAGCCACAGATCAATGAAGACTATTTACTTGGCCTCGTCTGCGGCCGATACTGAGCGTTGGGGCATTCAAAACAAAAACGGGATGTCTAAACCTAAAATAAGTTATCTCAATGCCTAGCTACAACTGGCACTCCACTCTAGCTATTTTCACAAATGCCTTTAATATAGGTACATTAACGTCAAAACCCTGGCGTGTCATCACTAAACCACCGCTCTGGTATCACCGCTTCGGTATCGGTGCCTCTCGGACCACCTGATTCGCTCAATGTCTCACCCGATGATGGGGTACGCCTCGAGCAGCTGTTCGAGTACCAGCGGTCGCAGGTTGTCGAACCGCTGCACGGCCTCGCGGAGGAATACCAGTACGTCGGCGGCGGCCAGCTCGTTCGAGTCGGAGAGGAACTCGGTCAGCAGGGGGATCACCGTGGCCGACACGTCCGGGAACTTGATGGAGCACGAGTGGAGGGTGCGCACCAGCAGCTGACGGTACCTGGAAGCACCGGACGGGAAAACGGCCGGTCAGCGCCACACACGGGACACCATCATGTTCGCAATCAAACGATAGGTTGCAGAGTACAAGCCGAGACATAGAACATGCTTGGGCTATTAGTAACAGACCCACTGTACGTTATACACAGAAGTAAGATAGCCAATTTTTCATCGGTGGTTGCTTCAGCTGTCAACGGTACCGGCTTCACGACTGACTCAAGCATTTAGTACTGAAATATCATAGAAGCAGGACGAAATCAGTACTATAAAACAGCCCCCAGACATATTCACTCCAAGAAACTAATCGACATCGCCTGTTCAGCGTCACTCACTTGCCGACGTCCTCGTGTTCCACAGTGTTGTGCGTCTTGGTGACCTCCTTCTTCAGCACCAGCACCAGCTCCTCCACCGTGCGGGACGTCACCAGGTCCATGGCCAGCTCCAGCGTCTTCTTACGCACCTGGTGACACGAGAGCGAGCGGGTAGACGGGAGTTAGTCAACAATGCGTGCTGGCCGCGGCCAGGGTGAATGGAGAACATCGCCTATACACTTTATGTTTCTGAGCGCGACAGGGACAGTGGGACAACCAACACCAACTAACACGAACGTTGAGTCGTTTCACTGAGTTGAAGTCAACAAGTGTGTATTCTGCAGAATGTCATACAAATATTATGGCACATACAATAAAATGAAGCAAACAGTCATGCCACGCCAGAATATCAATGTAACGTTTAATGCAAACACACGAGTGTGAGTGAGAAGTGCACACACTCTTGCATTCTATTCATGACCGACGGGCTCACCTCGAGGTCCGGCGTGGCCAGGATGCGCAAGATATCCATGACCAGCTCCTGCAGCACCCGCTCATGACTCGGGTGCTCCTTGAGCGCCACCAGACGGTCCAGCACGATCAGCTTCACGTTGTTGTCAGACTCCTTCAGGATTATCTCGATGTAGGCCGTGGCGGCCGCCTGATGAGTAGGGAATACGCATAGCTGGTATGAGACGAGTGTATGAATGCGCGAGTGTGACGGTACGTCGAGTCTGGCAGGGGCAGACACTGCTCATTTTTCAATTATACGACATTAAACTCGACTATTGGGCAATTAAAACACCCACAGATCACCCAGTAGCAAAGAAGCGACAGCGTCATCAAGTGAGTTTTATATTCATATGCGACTGTCCTATTATCAGCCTGTGGAGGCCATATCGACACTCGACAGTCGGTCAACCTCTGTAACTACTGCCGTCTACTAACACGGGGTTCGTAATTCGTACACATCTACACATTGTAATTCGTACGCGGAGTTGTGCGCAAACTGCAGTGTTGTAGCGAGCACTGACCCGAACCGCCGTCGGCGCCGAGCTGAGCGTGACCAGGGTGCCGGCGGCCTCGTACCGGACGGCGGCGCTGCTCGAGTTGAGCAGGTTGTAGATGCAGCGGATGAACCGAGACCGCTCCGACGGGTTGGCGTGACACACCTTTGTGACGCGAAGATCGGAGCAAACGTTACAAATATAATGGATACGGTTGGTCTGGGGGTTCACGTACACCAGGCAAAAAATAACAAACGGGGGATACACTGGCAGCTAACAAGGACTTCTGTAGCCATGGCATACGGAAATAAAACCCTACGCCAACGTGCAACCAACCTGAGAGTTCGCACCACAAAAATATATCAAGGATCGACTCATGAGATCGTATAGATCTGACGACTAACACGAAATACGTTTAATAATTCGTTTTCTACAAGATCATAACCGGTGAAACTGTTATCCATCTGACATCCATTCCATTTTTTTTTTCTCACTTTTATAGCTCATTTCCATCGAGGCCAGTCCACCTGGCGCCGGTTCCCACCTTGTAGATGAGCTCGACGATGACCAGCTGCAGGATATCGCCGAACGTGTTGACCTGCTCGATGCACGAGCTGAGGTAGGAGAGCGCCCGCTCCTGGTCAGCGTGGATCAGCATCATGAAGGCATTCCGGCGGCACGACATGTCCTGCTCACCCTCCAGGAACGTGGCGATCAGCTCCGGGGCGTCCGGAATCAGAAAGTCAAAGTTCCTGTCGACGGAAACAGGGTAAGTCAGTTCTGAATACATATACTTAATTAAGGTGATTTAAAGCAGCAGAATGCGGTGTTTAATGGGGCATGAGAAATGCTCAAAGAATGACGACATGATGAATCATGTCAGCATGAGCAGACACTAGTCCAAATCCTGTAAATAGACAGGACAGCAATCAGTAGCTCCGCCGGGATAAGTGCACATGTGTTATCGTGAGTACGCGTAATCTGGCACCTGTAGATGGTGAAGACAGCCATGACGGCGTTCCTGCGCACATAGGAGTGCCTGTGCTCCAGACACGCCTGGATGGCCGGCATCAGCGGCTCCAGCAGCTCGGGCTCCTTCAGCTTGCACAGGAAACGCAGCGTCGAGCCGCGGATGTACTCGTTCGGATGCTGGAGGTCCTGTAAACACAAACACATGTGTGACAGCCTCAGATAAATGCCAGGAACAGAGGAAAAGGATTCCAATACAAAGCTAAGGACAGCTGCAGCCAATGAAATTATGCAATTTCCTGTAAACCAAAGTTAATTAACAAATTAAGATACTTATTCCAACCTCAAATGACATCTAACTCTCACCTTGCGGTAGGCATCACACACAAGGATCATCTCCTGCATCAATTTGCCGTCCGGCAGAGTTTTGGGCACGATCTCCCAGAAGATGAGGAGCAGCTTTTTGATGGTGTGGTCCTGTAGCGGCAGCACGAAGCGGATCACCGTCATCAGGATCCCCGGAATCTTCTCTCCAGCCAGAATAGAGTGGATGCATTTCTTCAGGGCCTCGGTCTTGGCTCGGATGTCACCACGCTCTGTAATGAAGAATTGTGGTCAGTTCCGATGGGGTTGCGACTTGCCAGATGAGGTTCCTGAAGAAGAGACAGACTGGGAATATGCTAGCACGGGCATTTAACATTAGCCCGCGCCCTACTGGGGAGGGGGGGGGGGCGTTTGAAACCCCCTTGCAGTTTTCCGCAAATTTCAAAAAGAAAAGAAAACGGCAAAGCTATGTGCCGTCGACCTAAGGAAAAGTTCTAATGCTCGTCATAGCTATACCAACTGAATGATCGCCACGCCGATTGTGGATTGCTCTTGATCGTCAATACATACATACATACATACATACATACATACATACATGATCGCTGTGAAATTTTAGCTGGTGGTAAAGGCATTATTATGCATACAATGTAAGTATCATAATTCTGATATTGGCGACCTAAGGTCAGGCCAATTTTGCGACCATTCTATTAGGTAAAGTCAATGGGAGAAAATTAAACTGTGCTTCTTTTGGGTGAAAGTCATTCTAAGCACACCCAATCATTAGGTAGGTAACATGTATCTGAAGTCTGAACATGAAATACTGAATCGGAAAATTGCACCCCTGACTCCTCCTTGTGTCCCTGAGTCATCTCAGGTCATGAAAGGTCCCCAGCAGTTTGTCTACAATAACTTTTGACAGAGGCATGCTAGAGCGACGAAAACACCTTAGCTGTGCAGTTCAGCTCCATGATGCAGATCGACTGATAGGCAACATGTCCTTTCCCAGTCAGGTCATGACCTTGACTTAGGACAAGTTTTCAAGTTGACCTTCTTAGGTTAAATGCTTAAATCACAGGTTCCTGTTACACATCTCAATGAGGGGAGCACAATTCTGGTAAAATCTGTGTCGTACGCCCTCTGCAGGCTTAACTGTTGATGAGGACAATGTTCAGAAAGAGCATCAAAAAAGCTATTGAATGCACTTCTCCGCGGCGATGTAGCTCTATCCGGCCCCAAGTTGAGCACAGGTTCATAGAAAATTGCTGACATAGGCAAAATGTGACCTCTGATAACCCCTGGCACCTCACCTTTGAAGTGAACTGACTTGGAAATGACTGAAAAAGTACCTTCTTCATCATTTTTTGACACTCCTTTTAACACCACCCACAGTGTCACTATGTGGCCTGGGAGTAGAGTTAGGTGTGACAGGGGGGGGGGGTCTAATACCATGTAGCAGAGAATCAAAATCCAGGAGCCCAGGTGAGGTGCAGGTTGACCAAGCATTGTTCAGTGCTTTTCTCAGTGATATATCCCTCAAGCACTGCAAATTTGCTCACTGCCATGACTTACCCAGGTCCTGTTTGAGCTGCTGCTCACTGGGCTGTTCAGTGTCTGATGGAGCTGTGATCAGCGTATAGCATGGCTGCTCAGTCGCCATCACTGTTCACGCTAGATTGTGGAACTGCTGCAAACACAGGGAATTAAATGTCACTTACAGTGTGATATGGACTTAACATATCTGCCTATGTTCATAAATGGCTAACTTACGACAGTTCAACAACAGCCTGGTCAACACACACTATTCTGTGAGTTGATAAATTGCAACAGACCTCACATTGTATTGAAGACCAAGAGGTCTCACTTAGCATTACTGTTACTCAAATTTGTGCTACCAATTTTCAAATCTGTGCTTTTTCATTATCCTAATTTGCATACAAATTCATCACATTTTATAGCTCCTTTACATGAAACTGTTGCATACATTGCTCAATGCTGTTGAGATTTATCTCTATCTTGATCCTGCTAATAAAAACAGGCAGATGGCAGAGCCAGTGCACAGACACCAATCATGTTTCACTGCTGCTGGTATAATCAAAGAAGTATCAAGTAAGGACAGATCTCTATCTACAGCTTATTAATCATGGTGTGTCCAATTTCATAGCCTGCATAAAATGACTGACTCAATTTCCCACCTGTATAATGTATAGCTGGATTTTACCCCAAATGATTATACAATACACATAGCAAATGTGGATGTAACCATATGATACTACTATGATTTAATACGAGTGGATTTAATAAAACATGATAAAAACAAATGAAAACATACAGCTGGCGAACAAGCTGATATGTACTCTAGACCCTGCTCTAGACGAACCTAATCAAATCAAAACCATGCATTATTACAGGGTTTCTAATAGCATAAAATACACCTGACCTCAATGTTAAATACCTACTCATAAGCTTTATACAACTGGCTAATGGTTGATTTCATAGCACGCTGTACATCTCAATATAACAGCCAAGCAGGTATCATATCAGTAGGTGGAACTATGGTCATGAGTACCCAAATATAGGAACGTTCCCATTATTGGGAACGGAGTTCCCAAATATGGGAACGGGCGTTCCCATTTATGAGAACGGAAGGTAATTTTTCGGCCGTTCGCCCACTAAAACTCATTAGTGCATCACGTCTCAAAAAAGTGCACGCTAATTTAAGTATCTACCAAATCTCTATAAAATTATCTTTAATCTGACCGTTGAACAAGGAAATTGACCGTCGAATGATATTTTTAATGATTTTTTGAAATGGCGGAATGGTGAAAACATGGGTTATACTACATTTAACATGCAATTTAAAGGAAAATGAAGCGTTTTTACATTTTGAGGTCAAGTACAATAATTTTCGCCTGGTTATGAAGTTTCGTACTAGCGACACCAAATGCTGACATATGCAAGCGAACACGCGGACAGTCCCGAGGTAATATTGTTGACTTTTGGTGTCGAGGCGCACGACCGCGTGGAACGTCAGTGTTTTTACCGAACTACTGTTGTACACTCAGTTTCAGTGGTTTAAAATTATTCAGCTGTATTTTATCAGTCCGGAAAGACATATTTTATTTGAATGCTAGCTGTTTAGCGTTGTTTTATAAGGAGCGTCATGAGCGTGGTTTTTGTCTTCCGTGTTTCTTAGCATGATCTTATTGGGGGAATTTCTCTTATATAGGTCGCTCTGTGTGGCTTATTTATAATTTTTATGCTGATTTCGATCATTCCTCGTGCCCATCCTACCAGGCCTTTTGCCACTTACACTCATTAAGAAAGGAAAAAACTAGATTTTCCATGGGACTAGGTGTTTTGCGGGTGTAACATATTCAGCGTTCCCATTTTTGGATACTTCCTTGTGCTCGTCAACTATCGGTGATAAACAGACAGGTGCTTGACATGTCTCCACCCTCGGCGCGGACGGTGGATATAGGTATGGAAGACCTTGTTGAACATCGCTGAGCGTTGTGAATTACGTAATCCTGCAGAGGGGGGCGTGCCCGCAGCGAGATCGACGGGAATAAAAGCGCAGAAGACCGGGCGAAACATGCGACGGTCTTGCCGGAAAGGTCATCTGATGATTGTTACGTTAACAATAATTTGCGGCGTTGGACGTGATGCTTGTTAATGAAAAGAGCCCCTGAAAGGCGTCGGTGAAATCGTTCCCAATTTTGGGTACGCCGTTCCCATAATAAGGAACGCTTGCAGCGCCAGTGTACGAGAGCGTTCCCAAATTTGGGCTCGCGGCCCGGATGATGGACTGCTTTAGAAATAGGGGAACGATTTGAAACTACGACGGACCTTACAATATCAAACTCTTTCCCAACAATATTGAGACAAATATCAGGCGGTTCACGATCGTTTTATATTTTTTGGACGTCATTTAACGGTTCTTTTTCTTGTTTTAAATAATTCCTACATGGCGTTCCCATATTTGGGTTTATCGTTCCCAAAGATGGGAACGAAAATGCGTTCCCGAAAATGGGTACGCTTGACCATAGTTCCGCCTACTGATATCAGGCAGGGTAAATAAAACAGTACCTAGGTACCTACCTAATATGCTAGAAACAGAAAGGAATAGACAAAATAATGAATCACGCACAGGAAAACAGCTTTTAGTTCGACCTCAAATCTCAATTCCAGTGAAACACAATTTTCCGAAGTCAAGTGACATCCAACACCCACGACAACTTCTACAATGTTTTATACAAATAATAAACAACGTGTTGTCGTGTTGTCGTCAGTGTTTTCTATACCCCTGACAATTATGGCGCACCGGCTGACATCCACGTATCATTACTAGTGATGAACCTTGCCATATTAAAATTCGCTCAAAAAGGGTCCCTTTAAGAGTTCTCAGAACAATTATTTTTTGGAGAAACAATTTTTTTGAAATTGCAGGTGCATCATCAAGTACCTTTTTATCTATTTGCTATATTATTTTGTGTTGTAAAATTTCACAAAATTTATCACTATAGTAAACATGTTTTTGGGTTACGTTCGTTTTCTAACATTTATCTCGAAATGCTGGAAATGTATTTGAATTTCTCCGCCAGACATTCCTCTCTATGCTCTCTTTAATTATAAAAAAGGAATGTTTTTTATTTATACAGTTGTTTTTAATGATATGACCTGTTCGCTCGCCTAGTTACTTTTGAATGATCAAGAAAAGATAGTTTTGAAGAGATATAAGAGATTTTGGAACTATCTCAAGAAGAAGTATAACGAGCACTCCAAGGAGCACTCCAAGGCTCTAAGTTTTGTGCTGCTGCCCTGTTGGAATAGTTCTCTATATACCGTGGTTGGAATGCTTGAAATTGTGTTGTGCCATTAAGTTTTTTTTTTTGTATTCTCAAGCCCCTCAAACCCTGCCTGTGGAATCTGAAGATGTTTCAGGTAATCTCAAAATTAAGGATATGCCCTAATTCAATATACCCTGGGATATGCTAGGCAGATATGCTTTGGAGAACAGGAATCCGAATGCATGGATTGAATGGTGTGAATCATCTGATATGGATACTATGGATATTGGATAATTGTGCTGGACTGGGAGTGCTGGAGCTCTCCCAATTTTATGCATGCTTTGCTTTGAAGCTGCAACTGACAGCAGAGGTCAAGGTCGCTGCTACTGCCGCCTGCGGCAGCGGATTTGCTGCGCCTAGCCGTCCAAGCATCTCTAGTTTGGCACAATTCTTCACATGCCTATGGCTTAATGTCAAAATAGCCTCAAAGCTAATCATGCATGCACACTGAAGACCTTATAAGGCCCAAGCAAGGATGAGGACTTCACTTGTATTAAGTGTCAAATAGTCATGTAATTCTTTGGACCAGAGCATTATAGAGTTCAGTGGACCAGAGTCAAAATTCAGGGCCCTAGCAGCAGCCTGAGCAGCAGCCTGAGCCTGCTGACATGTAGTAGAGCAATATGTAGTCAGTGTAGAAAAATCAAAGCATGAAAAATCAGTTTTCCAATTAGAAATTTCAGTCCAACAACTTTGGTTTCTTTTTAAGAAGGCATAGCAAGCTAAAGCCATGCAGCATATTTTTTCCGAAGTTCATGCGCTTACTTGCCTTTCCATAGCAAAGATCTGCCAATTTTTCATGGGTCCTCACTCCTAAATGTACTGTATAATTCCTATGTCTTCTTGGTTTGTTTGTAGAGCATCATATTTTTATCATTATTACTTCAATTATTATCAATTCATAATTTAATTATTTTTCAAAATTATGTGTGCCCTAGGGCACATTTAATTCTCATACTCAGTAGATATATGGAAATAACCATGGCCAGTTCAAGTGATTGAGTGGATGTGTCAGGTCCAGTTATGTGGGCATCCTAAAACCTTTTTCTCATTTCTGACAGGCTCAGAATTTCAAGATTCTATGGTGAGAACTAGGACCTGTGTGAAAAGTTCCAAGTGCACTGTTGACTGTGCAGGTTCTGGGCTGATGAGCCTGCTGACAATTGAAATAAAAAAGTAACTATTATTGCCTAGAATGTGCTGACTGCTGACTGCTTAACCAGAATGTAGAATAACAGGCAAGGGAGCAGGGGGTTTGAGCACTTCTTGAGGTAAACTGTTCTAACAGTTATTAACTTGTGATGAGAAGAACATAGTTCTTTTGAGGGCGCTCTGTCTTGGAGTTTATAAGGGTTTTGTTGAGACTTGAGGATGTAACCAGATGAGCTATTTTTCTCTGATAAGGAACAGTTGAGAATTTTGGGGAATGATTTTGAGCATTTCTGCACATACATGTTTTTTATAACCAAGCTTTTTGGGAACATTAGGGGAAGCTGTTGACTTGTAGGTTTTACAAGAAAAGAAATTAAGGTCAAACATCTACTGATTTCTTTCTTTCAATGCTCACGTTGTTTTTGTTTCAGTTTGACCAGGTACCACTGCTGTGACGATGCCTGGCCGCGGAGCTGGCCGGGGGCGATCGGCCCCAGCCTGGGGCGGCGCCGGGCGGGGACGGCCCGCTCCTGCCTGGGGCGGCGCCGGACAGAAGCAGTCGCAGAGGCCCGCCGCCGTCCCCGCCGAGCCTACGCAGAGGCAGACGGAGCGGCGGTTCGCGGAGGCGTGCGCGCAGATCCGGGCGGCCTCGGAGAAGCACGTCAGCCAGTACCAGCTGTCCGACTCGGAGGACGAGCAGGATGACGTGGATGACGACACCAGGGAGCAGATCCTGGGTGAGCGACCCTCCCCTCACCACATTACTACCGCCTCGCCAGCCTGATGCGCTCGCTGTGTGGGTCTCAACTCAACCCAACAGACTACTAAGCTCTGTTTTATTATTGCTTTGTAACGTTAAAGACGGGCTTTCAGACTTTTTCTTTCATACACGGTGGTTTTATCTTATGTGCCTGATGTTTCTGTGCGACATACGCGATTTCACGTACCTATTTCGGGCCGCCTGTGAAATCGCCGGTCATGCTTTATTCCCGGCCTTTCCGGCTGGGTGTTCTGTCGGATTTTTGGCCAGTAACTTATACGAGTATGCAATAAATTTCAGGCCGTCTTTGTGACCGGTACGTTGCCGACGACAAAAGTGCGCTGGGAAACACGTCCGAATATCTTCAGCGAGCGCTAAATGCGGAGGCGAACACATGCCTTATCTGTATTGGCTCCGTGAAGCGTACAGACCCGGTGAGTGGCAATTAGTCCAGAGGCTTGTGAAGTCCCTGAGTTTGAGCGTCTTTTGGACCTTGAGTTCGTAAGGTTTTCAATTTGATCCGGGCGTATCGCGCTAAATGCACTTTTATTTGGTTTTGCGCCACAGAAGTATGATCGTGGATGAAATCGATGATATGTTTTGTAGCTGTTGCTCATCGACTAAAATCAATATTTATCTTGTGTGATTGTTGTATGATGTATCGATCCGACCCACGTTGGTCTGACAGCGGCTCTAATGTTGGTCTGGCAGTTGAACGATGATGGTTGGAGACTGGAGTAGTGCTGGTCTGACGGCGTCTGCTCGGCCGTTCCCAGCTATGGTGCTGCTCTGGCTGCTGGGTGGGCTTCCACCTGCACTGTGTTCAGACGTGGGCGCGCGACAGCATCAGCCAGCAGCAGCGTCGGCTGGAGAGTGGCGACGCCAAAACGGAGGTCCTCCAGTGGCATTGGTAGGTGGGCAGCGGTGGCGCGGGCTACAGGCGCTGATGATTCGACTTAAGATGATCTTCATGTAATGCTGTTTAATCGTCACAGCCAACGTCGCTGGTCCACTACCGCGTCCGGTATGGAGTCTGTGACAATGTCGTGTCATCCTGCAGTGTGCGCCGTCTCACGTCTGCATTTGCCCCTTCATGGCATGGCTGACTGCCCACTCACAGCGTATATCTGACGCCGCTCCTTCCCCCCGTCAGCCCCAACTGCCGGCGCCCGTACGGCCGGGACCAGGTGCCCAGTCGGTACCGCTGCTACTGCGGTAAGACGCCCGACCCGCCGCCCGACCCGTGGCTGCTACCGCACGCCTGCGACCAGCGCTGTGAGCGACCGCTGCGTCCCGAGTGCGGCCATCGCTGCCTGCTGCAGTGTCACCCAGGTAAGTAGCTGCCGAGAGGCGGAGATACTAATGATCTTAAACATGGCCCGAGGTTAATATCTTCGGTGTATGAAGCAGGCGTGCATGGACATTGCTATTAAGCTATCTACTGTGTGTTTTATGACCCCTATAATTGTTTTCATTCGCGTTTTACGTTTTTTTTTTCGTTCGGCTTAAAAGTTCAATAAGAAGTATTCACTCACGACGTTACTTAATATCACAATTTCTTCCGGACCCGGTTGATGTCTACCCTCTCCTTTCCTGAGCTAGCCGTCCAGTGGTCTATGCTGTTTCGCTGTGAAATGCCTTCCCTCTCCCTAAACTGATCGTCCCTTACCGCCCTCAGGCCCGTGCCCACCGTGTCCTGTCACGGTGAGCACCCGCTGTCACTGCGGCCGGTCAGGACCCGATACCCGGCGCTGCGGCAACAAGGTCTGGTCGTGCCGGAAGCCGTGCGGCCGGACACTCGACTGCAACACACACCCGTACGTACCCGTCCATTATGATTTTCTGTGCCATCGCTGCGACTTTTGAGAATTAAAACCTGAATGTGTGTATCGCCATACATTTTGGAAGAGATGAGGTTTATTAATCCTAAGTTAATCGATTTAGTGGGTCGAGGAAGGAATTCCTCCGTCCCTGGGGACGCCGTTGTCATCATCTGTATGTCTCATTACTAGCACAAAGCTTGCCATTTAAAAGATCACCCGATGCTGGTCGCGATGAGAAAGATTTGTGCTGCTATGGCCAATGCATGATATGGTCGAAACCAGCTGGAGACTGGTTCGTTCAATATCAAGACTCGTTAAATTCTGGTGTTGTGATATTCGAGCGAGTGTCCCCTGTGTCCTCTAGGCTATAACACTGAGTCCCCATCAGGTGTCGGGAGCTGTGCCACCCGGGCGAGTGTCCGCCCTGTCCAAAGACCAGTCGACAGCCGTGTAATTGTGGACAGAAGACGGAGCTGAGGCCGTGCGCCTCCCCGCGCTGGCAGTGTGAGAAGGTGAGGATTTGCGGATTTGAAGTTACTGGCTGATTTGGTAAGAATAGTTAGCGAAACCAGACTAGGGTGGGTGGCTACATTCACCTGGTATCTATCAGTTGGGTAAATATGTTTGCGGGCATGTTTCGGGTAAATTGCTAGTGTGTCTCAGGGTGATTGCTATGTCTAGCAATCTCATGCTAAAATATAATCGAGCTGATATTCTTGATGGTCTGTTAGCCGATCTCACCCGGCTCAGAGACAGCCTGTGTATGGGAGCTGTCTTCTCCCGTCGCCTTTATTTGATCTCCTCCGCCAAAAGTAACCTCACCCCGCTCGTCTGTCAGGTCTGCGGTCGGCCGCTGTCATGTGGCCACCACCGCTGTGAGCGAGTCTGTCACTCGGGCGCCTGCGGCCCCTGCGAGCGCGCCGGTCCGCGGCGCTGTCCCTGCGGTCGTACAGAACTGGAGGCGCCCTGCCACCAGGATGTGCCGCCGTGTGGAGATACCTGTGACAAGTGGCTGGCGTGTGGCGTACACCGGTGTGCCCAGCGCTGCCACACGGGCGCCTGCGGACGGGTGAGTGGCGGCGATGGAACAGGGATGTGTGCTGCAGCTGACTGGCACACCGAGCTGGCGGTACTCTGCTGGCAGGGCAGGGCGGAAGAAGGAAGAAATTGCTGGGGGGTGGGGGGAGGTATAAAGCATGCTTGCTTGTTTACGTGTGTTGAAGTTTGGTTAACTCTAAGCCATTGATATTCTTTTATTGAGCCCCGGCTGGAGTTTGGCGACATAATTGCTATTTTTCTTTCGAAGACTTGTGGTCTGCCATGGTGCGCTGGTGGAGAGGTGTGGACATCGTGGCAGTGTCTGCAAACGTGATTTTCTCTGCTGCCGGCAGTGTTTGCAACTGCGAGTGAAACGCTGCCGCTGCGGACGGAAAGAGAAGGAACTCGTTTGCGACAAGGAGTTCACTTGTGACATCAAATGTAAACGTCTGAAGGACTGTGGCAAGCACACCTGCAATAGAAAGGTAAGTGGGATTTTCTGCAGCAAACAAGCAAGCAAATTTGCGATATTCTTTCACGCTCTTTTCTTTCGTGTATCTGCTTTCACATTTAAAGAGCATTCGTATTCCCCTGCTGTAGCGTACTCCATGAGGAGGTTTGGTCGCTCGGCAAGCTGCGTTTGAAGTGCTATTGTGTCTGATACCCTTGTGGCTGTTGATTGTAGTGTCCTGTGTGTGACTGACTCCATTTTCCAGTGCTGCACGGGCGACTGTCCGCCGTGCGAACTGAGCTGTGGCCGAACGCTGCCGTGCGGCCAGCACAAGTGCAGCTCGCCGTGCCACCCGGGCCCGTGCTACCCGTGCGGTCAGACGGCCGAGCTGCGCTGTCCGTGCGGCGCCACGCGGCTGACGGTGCCCTGCGGCCGGCAGCGGGGCGCCCGGCCGCCGCGCTGCCGCCACCCGTGCCCGGCGCCCACCGACTGCCACCACCCGGCGCGACCCCGCCATCCGTGCCACGCCGGCGACTGCCCGCCGTGTTCACTCACCTGTGGCCAGCCGCTGCCCTGCGGCCGCGGTCACAGCTGCCCGCAGCCCTGTCACGACCGGGTCCAGCAGCGCTTCGTCAGCCAGAAGAAGGCGGCCACGCCCTGGGAGAAGACGGAGGACCGGGTGGTGACGGTCAGCCTGCCCTGTCCGCCCTGCCAGGTCAGTATATCAGCGTGTCCTGCCAGGTCAGACATTCTATCCAGCTACCCTGCTAGGCCAGTAAGGCCTGATAGCCTGACCACTATGCCAGGTTGATAGATCTTTGTTTATGTCATGTTTCAGACATGTCCTACATCACATGCTTTGTCTAGTCGATTTGTGGGCAGTCTGACGGGCCTATTAACCCGTGTCCGGTTCTGTGTCCGCAGGCTCCCGTGTCGACACCCTGCCTGGGCGGACACGCTGAGTATCCGATGCCGTGTACGGAGGCGCGGCCCCAGTCTTGTGGCCGGCCCTGTGGACGGCTACTACTCTGCGGCAACCACCGCTGTCAGCAGCTCTGTCATACGGTGGAGGGTGCTCCGGATAGTGAGACGGTAAGTAGCGACCCATCCCGGCCTCCCTTCGTTCTTCTCCCTCCCTCTTCTTAATCGCTGTCAGCCTGTCAGCAGCTATGTTACAAGGGTTGAGGGTGCCTTTCCTGTAACTTACAATGAACGGTAATATGACGCTGTGTTTGCGTGAATGCCTGTCCTTTGAAGTCTCGATCCTCTTCTCTGACACAGTCTGTCTTCTCTGACTCGGCCCGTCTCCCCAGTCTCCACTTACACAGTCCCACTGCTCCGTCCGCAGGCTGGCACCACGTGTGACGTCTGTGAAGCGGCCTGTAGCCGGGACCGGCCGCCGGGCTGTCAGCACGCCTGTGAGCGCGGTTGCCACGCCGAGCCGTGCCCGCCGTGCCGGCAGCACCGCCGACTGCGCTGCCACTGTCAGCTGGGGGTGCTCCATGTGCGCTGCCACGAGCTGAGCGAGGCAGACGAGCAGCAGAAGGAGCGGCTGCTGTGTTGTGGCAACCCCTGCCCGCGCACGGTGAGTTAACGGCGGGGTGATTGCTCATTGCGGAATGAGTGGTGGAGTCAGCGCCCGATGGCTGGTCTACGGATTTTGAGCGGGGATTTTTGTGTTCGGACTCTCGAACCCGATTTGATAAAATGTAAGCCTTACATTATAGGATCGCTGATTTTACGGCCGTCGTCAGTAGCGCCGTTGAGCGTTATGAATGGTCTGCTTGAGTTGGAGCTAGGGTTTTACTGGCGCCTCATCCTTGACTAACGATCTGTCCCTGTCTGTTGCCCCACAGCTGGAGTGCGGCCACCGGTGCGCCGCCGTGTGCCACCCGGGTCCGTGCCCTGCCCCCGAGGGCGGCTGCGCCACGCGTCTGAAGCAGCGCTGTCCGTGCGGCCGGCGGGCGCAGACCACCGCCTGTCGGGAGCGGGCGCCACCGCCCGACTGTGACGACAAGTGTCGGGAAGTCGCCCAGGCAAAGGAGCAGGTCGGTTGAATGGGGTTTTAGTGACGGGCGGATTGGAGGTCCGAGACCAATGTGCTCCGATAGTGGCGGTGGGGTATGAATGACTTTCAGGTCTAGGGATTAAAGAAATTTAAGCGGGTAGTTCAGATCATATGCTGTTTTACATATTTTGCATACCCAGTGTTCCATTTTTCAGACTTTTTGGTGGCAAATCACACCTAATGGGAAAAATACTTTCATCCCTAAAATATGAATGACCGACTTAACTTCATCTCTGAAAAAAAGTTTCATGTATTCCCAACAGCCAGTTTACATGTCACTTGACAGTTGATGCATCCACATCCTTTTGTTTCACACCCTGTCAAGATTCTGACATGAAATCCTGGTTTATCAGTTGGCATACAAATTGGCATTACACTATTTTGCAAATATACTTCGGTTATTTATTTCCTTTTTTCTCATCCTAGGATTTTCTTTCTTCATCGACACACCCAACCAAAACCCAATTTTAGAACACTGTACATACCTGATCAATTCTGGCAGGTTTTTACCAGGCCTCGAGACGCTTCGTTTTATTGAGCAGCATTCATGGTGCTAGTCCCCCACCAGTTGACGTCTCCCCTGCCCGTTCGCCAGGAGCGTGCGGCGCGCGAGGAGGCGGCTGCCGCCGAGGAGGCCGCCCGCCAGCAGCAGGCTGTCGAGGAGCTGGAACGTAAACTGACCGGCGGAAGGCGCAAGGAGCGCCGCGGCCGGCGGCAGCAGACGGCAGAGCCCGAGCCGTCCTCGGCCGGCCGCTGGCTGCTGCTGGCCGCCGCTGTAGCCGTCCTGGCCGTCACCGCCGGCCTGCTGCTGTACCAGTGAGCCGGTCAGCGGGGAATCGCCTGTACTGATCAGTGCGGCGCACCCTGTATCAGTGAGACAGACAGCTCGGAACCTCCTATACTGGTCAGTGCGGCGTGCCCTGTATCGGTCAGCGCGGATGCTGGGAAGTCCAATTATCCCACACTGGTGGCATGTTTAATAGAGCAATCTTGATTGGTTGGTACAGCCCGGGTTGGATATGCTGCATCAGCATATTCCTTTGTAGCCCAGCTGATCCAGTGTTGTGACACAAGGGACTGATTTTAGGCCAATAGCCCTTATTTAGTAAGGCGTGGACATTGCATTCGAATCATGACTACAACAGTGAACAAACTGAGCTGATTTGGTCCCATTTATTGATGGGCGGACCACCAAGGTTAAGGAGTTCATTGTTTCGGGCTTGTGCCGATAGTGGCTCGTATCGATGCAAAATGCAAATGGTGCACCGGGGTAGGGGATTGCCCATTGGACCTCTGGAGGATCGTCCTTAGGTGCTGGTGCCGGTCCCTTAGGAGCTGCTCACTTACGGCCGCCCCACACTGGACCTCGCATGCGGGTTGCGAGTTTGCGGGTTTTGAGTTTGCGGGCATAATACTAATTCATAGAGTGATTAGACGGTTCCCTTATGGTAACTTTATGAATGCAATAAAGCCTGTACACCTTCAGAAAATTACATATGTATAGTCGCAATACCAGCGCAACGAACCAAAATTCGACTCCAACGAAAAACCCGCAAAGCTCGCAGAACTCGCAGACCTCGCAGCAAGGAAAATCGAAAGTTGACTCAAAAATAACTTTTGGAATGCGATGCAGGGTCGCTCGCAAGCTAAAAACATGCAGACTCCCTTGTTAGATGGTATGGTAGTGTGGGTCACTCAGCTTAGATTGTACTATTTGATTTTGAGGAAACCCGAAAACCCAAAAACTCGCAACCCGCATGCGAGTTCCAGTGTGGGGCGGCCTTTACACTACATGACAGGGTCACTTGGTCAGTGGCTGTCTTTGTTATAATTTCCAAAGTTTGGTTGCAGAGTTACATTGTTGTGCATTTTACGCTAATATTTAAGTGATAGTTTGGGTGTTAGCGGGTTTTGTTGCGTTGTCTTTACTCTGGGTTGTTTTCTACTTTGACTGAGCTTACGGTATATTGGCTAGTTCATCACTGTGTTGTCCCGAACTGACCTGAACGTTCCTTGGCCTACCGGGCGGCGATTCTGGTCCAGTAGCCCCACAGGTGTAATTAATTGACCAACTGGGAATGTTTTATGGGATGGGTTGGTGATAGAGGGTGTGCAGAACGGGGCTCAGCTATAGATAATGTGATTTGGTGTACAGCATCTGAAGTGCTTTACAATTTGGTGATCCTTTGTTCTGCATTGGGGCATGAACCCGCGGGCGGATTAGTGTTAAAGGGTTGCTGGGCTGGACTGGTATCTGACCAGATTGGGTCAGTTCGGGCTGGTTTGTGATAGTGGGTTGATCTCCCGGCATCACCGATAGCCCGGCTCTGGGGTTTGTCCCATCCGAGCTGAATGCACCACTCTCACTGGCTGCTGCCGGGAGGTGTGTACAATACACCTGCACACCGCTGTTGGTCTGTGTGTCTGATGAGGACCGGATAGATCAGCCGTGGGCCGCTGTTTGGCGCAGCGCTGATAGTGGGGTCGGACCCGGGCCGGCCCACCACGGGTGGTGAGGGACGCCCTAATCTGACGACGGACGACGCGTCAAGGCCCGATTGCTGACCGGGCGGCCCACTGCCGTACAAAGGTCGAGCCTGCGCCCGTCTCCCGGACAGCGTGCCGCAAATGGGCGGGGATTGGCACTGCGACGGCGGGGTGACTCAGGCAGACAGAAACGCATACACATTCACACTTACACCAGACAGGCAGGTAAATAGACAGACATAGGAGCACACACCATTACGTATGTTCTGCCGGAAACCCGTATGTACCAGCGACTGCTGCCGGTTATGTCTGGTTGGTGCCGTACTAACGCATGGGGATCTGCTCAGTTGCAGTTGTTGACAGATGTTGTTGACAGGTGTGGTGACTGGTGAGGTCAGAGCTGTGAGAGTTGTCCCGGAAGGGAATCGAATCGATGTCGAATCGATCGTCAAAACAGGCTGTCGTTTTCGGGCGGCGGATGTCATCAACATCTGCACAGTTGTTGTTTAGCGGTGCGACGCGGCTTTTTCTCTGGGGTAGTCCATGCATATTCCTGCTAAATGTCCGTCTCTCAGTTGTGATTTGGCTCTAAATGTTTGGCGCATGAACGAAAACCGCTATCATTGCGGGGTCGGTCCATACTCCATATAGTGACTTACTACCTCAAAAACAAACTATAAAATAAGATAAGACAAGTGATAGAACTCTATGAAAATAAGACGGTCGTTCAGTTGTAGTCGAATTATCTTCGGGAGAATCCGGTCGCTGAGCGTTGATAAGCACGTCTCGCATCGTTTATCTGGCGTATCCTATCAGGGTGTGGTCGAAGTTCGTGTTTGACTGGGAGTGCGAGCCGTTTATACCAAACTCGATGGATCGTATAACGCTGGTCTTCCCCACATATCGCTGCACTGAGTTCGAGTCATCAGTCAAGCAGTGTTTACTCATGTCGTCTGTTTTGATGACACTCCTTGTCCCACATTTCTATAAACATACGTTCTCTCTCAGGTAATTTGAAAGATTAAAAAAAAAACTCAAGCGTTGGCGCAGGCGGGAGTGTGTCAGCCCCGACACATCACTCATGTTCGCCCGCCCAGACCCATCGCCCTTCTCCCCCCCCCCCCGACTGATTATCCCCACCCAGTATTAAGTCTGGCGACACTCCTGCCGTCGTTGGGCTTTCTCCCCTTCCTGACAGTCCGCCACTGAGAGGTGGCCTGGCTACGCCCCTGCCGTCTCCGGGCGGCCGTCGGACCCGGCCCGGCAGACGGACAGTCGGCCGGCCGGCGGGCGACTGTACGGGAGGGCGCCGACGGCACGACGACGGCCGGAGGAACCATGAACAAGTCCGCGCTGCCCGGATTCGGCGTCGAGATCAAGGAGGTCCAGTATGAGAGTGTGAGTATAAACTCGTCGGGTGTTAACGACTTCCGCCTGTGTCCGCTCGGGTTCGGGTATATGTCGAGTGTACTGTAGAATGCTACAGTATCTGGGTCTCCAAGTTCGGAGGTAAACAAACGTTCCTTGTTTGGTCGGTCGCTCCCACAAACCACTCAACCCGTTTTTCGGTACACCTACCCTTTGTTTACATTATGGGTAGTGGAGTATTGGGGGCGATATATGTAGAGCGTAGACGTTCTGCGGTCACAAAGCGACCAACCAATCCTGCTTGTTTGTTTGTGTGTCGGTATACTAACGAGGTCCCGGCCAGTTGGTACAACAACGTACGGATAGGTACGCTCGCATTTCTGTCGCGATTATTGTATGCTGAACGATTCTGATCAATATACAATATTAACTGTCGAGTATCGATGCATGCATGATGACCGATAAACGTATGAATCGTTGTATCAACTTCATCCTCACCGTCACCAGCCTTTCGGTTCGCTATTTACACCATATGCATATGATGATTGACATATGATGGACATGAAGATGATGATTATGTGTTGTATGGCCGCTCCAGCTAAATCGAGTCTCGATCCGTTCAGTCACACCGTCTGTACCGTGCGTGCCGGCAGTTCCTCGACTGGTTGGTGGCGTTCCGCTCCATCGACGAGGCGTGGGCCGCCCAGCCCACCTTCCTGCTTTCCGAGTACGCCTACTATGTGATCGCCGTGCTCACACTCTGTCATGGTGAGTGAATTAGGGGAGGTAAAATGCAATGGTGAGTTAGGATAAACAATGTCACATGGTCATGGTGGGAACAAATCTGATATTGGTCCGATGTCCCACTGAAAAGCAATGAGAATGATCGGCGGAACATAGCTATTAACCAAAGAAGCAGAGATCGATTTGTAGACGGTTCGTGTGCTAGCTAGTGCCTGCTCACACTCGTAACCTTTTGTGCCCCCGTTTCGCAGCGTTTTACCTCGGCGGCCGGTGGCCCTACATGTGGCTCGGCTCTCTCATCCACGGCCTGGTCATCGAGAACATTTCGATGAACATCCCCGACATCGAGAACTACTGGCAGTCACAGACCACCATCGTCTTCCTCGGCAGGAAGATGCCGCTTCACATCATGCTCATTTGTGAGTCCCTCGCCGCGCTTGCGACCACGCCGCGTGGCACAGCTTTAGGTTTTCATAACAGCTCAGCGGGCCCCGCTGTGGCGTTGAACAACACATTCTGCATTGTGTTCCAGAGCTGTGCATTCCTTTGGGACTTATAAAGGCTGCATGCGCAAAAAAAAAAACGTAGGTGGGTTTGGTGACGTAGATTCTTACGTCCATAAACTCATGGGTTTACTGGCAGAACTCCATATTCCGTCACAAGAGTGACGGGATATCGGCTATCGCTCGCCGTAAATCCGGTTATGGAGCATGTCCCGCTCACTTTTGTATATCTTCCACAGATCCTGTGATGGAATACCCCGCCCACTACTGCGTCGCCCACCTCCGACTGCCGCGGTACGCACAGGCGCTAATGGGTGAGTAACGAGTGCGGACACGTCTATGATGACTAACCTTTGGTCTTTGCGGATGGTAGCTAAGTGCTATCCTACTCCCAGGTCATCTGGCCCAATTATCTGGGTTATAAATGACTGCGTGCGAGCAGATTATTCCGGTTTTCTGTGCTATAGGTATTCTTATATCATCGTCCGCCCGTCTGGTAATCCGTTTGTCACACGCCGACTAACGGCTTGTGCCCATCTGCCCGTCCGTCAATCAGTACTTTGTAAGTTTTTCCGTTCCCGTCTGACCGCCTGCTCCGACCCCCAGCCGGCCTGCTGGAGGTGCTGATCGATCTGCCGTACGACATCATGTGCGTCCGCTTCCTGCACTGGACGTGGCACGACACGGACCCCAACATCTTCGACCGGCACTACTGGGTGCCCTGGAACTCGTACTACTTCCACCTCTCCTTCGGCGTCTCCTTCTACTTCTTCCTGCAGCTGTGGCGACGCGTGCTCACTGGCGACGACTCGCACGGTCACCACGGCGGGTGAGAGCAGTGGGACACTGCGCAAAACTTGCCAGAACCCGGGCTGAAGCTAGATATAGATTGGATGGAATGGAAGGTGTTGTTGGATTTTTGCTCGATGGATCACAGTCATCAATCATCCAGTGGTTTTAATAGGTACATTGCTCAGCCGATGTCATACTATCGATGGTTGGTGTCAGGCTTATAACTGTTATTGCGTGTGTGATGCGCTATGATGGCGTCACAGGCTGGGACTTAGTTACTGGTGACGTGCTAAACATTCCCTGACATCACAGAGTGTGACTTCGTTACTCTGTCGTGACGTGTAACGCCAGTTCCCTGCCGTCCCAGGGTGGGTCGTGAGCTGCTCTGCGCGCTGCTGGCCGGTATCTGCGGTATGCCGGGCGGCGTGCTCCAATTCCTGCCACTCTACCATCCGCTGCACGACATATTCGGCGTCCACTCGGAGAACACGCTGCTGATGATCGCTGCGCTGTACACGCTGTTGGTATGGAGCGCCGACCGACGGGCGGAGGACGGCTCCCGGCCGCGGTTAGGTGAGAGCAGGGGAAGCAGATGGTGAGAGGAGATGACGGGGAGGTGAGAGGAGAGATGGGCAGAGGACGGCTCCCGGCCGCGGTTAGGTGAGAGCGGGAGGGGAGCAGCTGGGAAGAGGATGGGAAGGTGAGAGGTGAGGACTGTCGGATAAGAGGAGGACATTGCCAGTTTATAGGGAGAGCTTGCATTATGGGAGGGAACATAGTCAAATGATAGGGAGCTTCTATGCCATGTGAGTTCCCATTTGAGACAATGATTTAGAAGAAAGACCGCTAAGTGCGAGACGGCATACTAATGTCAAGTGAGGGACTGCTGACCATGGTGCGAGAGACGGGGGCCACGGTGTCAGGGACGATCGACCATTATGAGCTAGCCAGTCGAGACGTCATTATTGTCGTCCGCCATTCTGTGAGCACATCGATGGCATGCCGAGACGACCGTCATTGCCGGTAGCCAATGGTTGCCGATATTGCTGTTCCCAGCGGAAGGGCCGTTCAGGGGTTTAGAGGTTTCCTATTTCCAATGGTTCTCTCCGTTGACTGAGCTGTTGACTGATGTTGTATTCCCAGGCCAGAGGAACCGCCCGTACCTGGTGATGTTCTGTCTGCTGCTCCACTACGCCGTCTACTGGAGTATGGCCGTCTTCTTCAACCCGGAGGACGAGATCTCCATCGGCCTGCACGAGAAGGTCGGCCCCTGCGACGTCTATCAGGACGTCCACACCGCCTTCGGCATGGTCAGTACAGCACACGAACCAGTCGAGTGCCCGGCTGCACACTCGCCAAGTCAGAGCGAACTGAAAGAGTTTGACGAAAAAAAAAATTAACGAGCTTGCCGAATGATGAGCAACTTTGTTTTAGTGTTGTTTGGAAACAGTTGGTTGCACTGCTACTTACTCATCAGCTACCAGCAGGATCAGTGTACCTTAGAGGTTGCATCGATAGTGAAGGAACCGACAAGTGGCTTAAAGTTTCGGCCTTTAAACTCGTTAGCAGCAGCCATCTCTGGTGAATGAGGCACCCATGAAAATATTTGAAAGAAGTTGAGTTGAATGCTGAGTTGAGAGCACCCTGCTGCAGCCCAGTGTATGCACTGGTTGATCTTGTACGTCCCCCCCCCCCCCCATCCCTGCCGACGCTGACGCTCCGTGTACCCCTGTGCCACCAGACGCTGAAGAAACGAAAATACCTCTGCGCCACCGATTACGACGAGGGCTACTTCGACTTCCGGTGTCTGCCGGGCGGCCGGGTACCGGCTCACGGTGCGCGCTGGTACACTATCTGCGGTGTGCCGTTCGCCAACCGCGCCGAGTATGTCTCCATGATCACGGCCATCACGGTGTTCGCGCTGGGCGTGTTCTATCAGTGTCTGTTCCGCTCCGGGCCGCAGGTCCAGCCGGCGCGCCAACAAAAGATGAAACGGTTCTAGGAGAGCGATGTGAGGGCTCGGTTCGGTCAATAATACATGCTACATCTGTCGAGCGTCGGTGTTGGTAAGGGAATGAGGTCGAGACACGCACTCGGTTAATGACGCTTGCAATTATGAACGGGAGTTAATATGATAAATCATTGAGCAATACCCGTGTTGGCGACGTGACATCAAAGCCAACGACCTGCTAGCCAGTCGGCAATCATGCAATGAACGGATAAAAGCGATTGTTGAGCGATACACTGTTTGCGGTTATCAGGGCGATAGCTGTTTGATCAATACGATCAACTAAAACGATCCAAGGACTGATACCGCCATCAATAGTCCCTCAAACATCGACAGGCCGCCCGCTCACGCCTTGCATACACACTGCAGAAGCTCGTGGGCTCTACTGCGGTTGAAGCTGTAAATAATCTTAAATCCTCCACAACTTTTCCGCCCGCTATCCGCTCTGCGGGCAGGTGGCTCCATCTTGTAGTTGGTTACCACGCGACCTGTGGAGTGTGGCGCCACCTGACAATGTTAACTCTTGGGCCAGCTCACATGTTCAGTACAGTGATATCTACATCACGCCCCCAATTATTCCTGGATAATAAATGTCATTTTATTCATATCCATTCCAATCCTGTCAGCATCTTGGTCAATAGCGCTTTGTATTGAATGCAGCATCACCACCAGGGCTGCGGAGTCGGAGTCGGAGTCGGAGTCGGTCGGAGTCGACAGTTGTGACCGGAGTCGGAGTCGGAGTCGGAGTCGATTTTAGAAACCCGAGCCGGAGTCGGAGTCGGAGTCACCGAAAATCTGTCGACTCCGCAGCCCTGCTAGGTCTGTGGAGTCGGAGTCGGGAGTTGGAGTCGGTCGGAGTCGACAATTCTGCCCGGAGTCGGAGTCGGAGTCGGAGCTGGTTTTTGAAAGCCGGAGTCGGAGTCGGAGTCGGAGTCGCCGAAAATCCATCGACTCCGCAGCCCTGACACCACTGCTGTTTCCCTCCAAGCTGCCTGGACAAACTATAAAATGTGAAAGCCAATGCCACAATTAAAGATATTTCCAAGAATGCAAGGCCATTGACAAGATCATGACTGAGAGAATGCTAATTGCTCATTCTTAAATGGGTAAAAGTTTCTGGTGAATGATAAAATATAATAATGAATATCAATGCCAGTTTATCACAATGAAGAATTTTTATCATGTAATTATTCATTGGTAAAAGATGATAGCAATACAGTTCAAATAATATGTATTCATATTTCATTAGACATCTTAATCTTCTCATGACAATAGTGAAGTAGATGTTAGACATAAATCATATGAGCTTGCTGAGAGTTGAAACAGCATTGTTCTGACACTTCCATGGGGCCTAGACATGATAGCATGAAGCAGAAACATGCTCTATGCTCTGAACTCTGAAGTCTGGACAAATACATGTGCCTTGGTGCTTTCTGTATCACACCTCCAACACAGTACTTGTCAGTAGGTACATGACAAGTTTTAGGGGACTTCACAAATAAGATTCACTGATGTTGAATGCTTTACTTAGGTCCTCTGCACTTGAATGTGGAACTTGCAAGCTGGCATGTGTGTAACTTCAGCTGTCACTACACAGTTGAGTCCCAGGTTTGACAGTGCTCCTCGCATCATGCCACACATGTAAGCCAGGTACTGTGGACTGCACTCCAAGTACTGTTTGCCAGTTGACATGTGTGATAGGAACCTGAAACGGTTGTCTAACAGCACATAGACACCTTGGTGGTTTGTTCGTAAATTATCAATCTGCTTCCTGTGAACAGCCAACCAGAAGTCTTTACAGATAAACTTCATGGTGTCAAGCTCATCTTTGAATCTTGGCCACTCTCGAGTAAGCCTCTCCACAATTCTATAACCAGCAGCAAACCCTATTCGCTCAAGCTTTGACACTGCATTTTGTCCAGCTTCGGCATCAGACTTCTTTTCATTTTCAACAACCAACGCAACAATTTCATGATGCAAAAACTCAAACAATGCTTCTTCAGCCATTTCCTTGGACCTTCACGTACTTCAACTCGTAGCTTGATCAGCAAAGCCTTGATCAGCAATTAACAAAATAGGTACTCCTGGAATGAAGAAAAGCAAGAAATAACAGCACACTTCGATTTGTGCCTGTGCCAGTGCTTGTGCTGTGAGTCTGTGACTCGATCCTAATCCGCTTCAGCTTTGGCTGCAAGCTGGTAGCCTGTTTCGGCAATTTGAATCGGCAGCAAACTGCAGGCAGTCTTCAGGTGAGCATTTCTGAAGCACAGAATTCCAAAACTGTAAAATCCTTCTTAAATTTGCAATTTAGCTAGCAAGCCTCACAGAAAACTTCAGCATAAGCACGAACTGCATTGTTGACGTTTTGTAAATATCCGAACGATTATGCCGCAATTGATACATTTCTGGCGTATTGTGCTTTGGGAAGTAGTAGCGAAAATAAAACCCTGAGTTCCGCACGAATAAATGTTTTAGGTGATATTTGATTATGTACAATATTTGTGATTATTTGCAGCTTGAACAATATAAATTTATATGCAATATCATATATTGCAATACAGTACTTATTTTGATGTAGCCTTACCTTCTTGGTGAAGAAATACAAGCAATAAAAAGGAGCTTTTGTTTATAACACACACACACACACAATAAACACATAAAACTCGTCACGGCGCGGTGACCCGCGAGGTCTCTATGGGTACAATGCCATTCGAACGCCGCCCGTGCAGCCATCGAGTCGTATAACTATCTGGTCCATCGAGGCGGATATTGCACGATTCAATTTGAAGCAACCAATTTAATTAGGCACCCATTTTGAATGTGGTGAGTGGTGACCTCAAGTGATATCGGTTATCTGGAGGGATCAGCTTATTATGTTTTTTTTTCGCTAATTTCAGCTACCTACTTATCCCATTTCGCAAGAACCAGCAGTCCGATTGGAACAAAAGTTGCACCTGTCGATTTGCCATGTCCATAGGCTAATTTCATGAGCAGTTTTTAATTTGGTGACCTCAGGTGACCTCGGTGGACGGTGACTTTTGGGGAAAAATGTTTTCACTTATTGCAGCAATCCCATAACTCAGCCCTCAGGGACGTCATAGCGGGCCGATCGAGACGACTATGGAGCCAGACGATTCGCCGTATGCGTTTTAGCCGTTTTGCACGTGGTGACTGGTGACCCCAGGAGACAGGAAACTTTGGTGACCCCAAGGCTCCTAGCAACACCATTCGGTAATCGATTTGCTATAGGTCCGTGTAACTCGTATAGGTATGCGGCTCCACCAGCTGTCTCAAGCATGGTGGACTGGTGACCTCTGGTGACTTTGGTGACCTTGGGTGGTCAATTAACGTTTTCGCCTATTACAGCCATCCACAGAAGCCAGTAAGCCAATCGAAACGGAAGTGCCATCTTCGTTTTGATCGGCTCGTCACTAGTTCCTGAGTGATAGGATGGCAGCAATATCTACCTTAAACGAAACTGCTGTGCTGAGTGCTTACCCATAAAGCCGTCACCAAAGTCCCCTGAGGTCGCCAATGTTATACGACCGATATAGCCTCTTATTTTGATTCGAATGGGACCATTCGGCTCCGCTGTCCCGGTGGTCTCTGAGTTATATACCTAGTTTGGCTGCGGGAGCAGCGGTCGAAAAGCAGCCCCGGCGGGTGTCAAGGTCCCGGGTCCGATCACAACACATCGAAAGGGGAGGAGGTGACATTTCGACGCCCCCTTCAAGCCGGCTTCGGCTCAACAACTATGCAAGAAACGGTAAGCGGCGCTATAGGAAGGTCGTCAAAATCACGAAGAAATTACTTCGGCCATTTTTAGATAAGGTCAATTGTCAGGTCACCAGAGGTCATTGAGGTCAGATTTTTCTATTTTTATCGTTTTTAGACAAATTGCTGTATCGCCAGCACCCACAATGCAAAGACGTTTTAGGCTTTAGCACTCCTTTACGGTGGAGATGTTTTTTTATTGTGTAAATGTAATGGTCAAATCGGAGGACAATCCAATGCAATGCAACTCAGAACTTCACCTCTATGGAAAATGGAAATACGTGGCACCTTTTTGTAATCGTCCACAAATTGCACTCTTTTAAGAAATGGACTCATCATCTTCAACTTCAACAAAGTCCAACGCTAGCTCCTCGAAATCTTTTTCTAGTACCGCCATGCTTTCACGGGCCTCGGAGAACTCGCCCTCCTCCATGCCCTCGCCGACGTACCAGTGCACGAAGGCGCGCTTGGCGAACATCAAGTCGAACTTGTGGTCGAGGCGCGACCACGCCTCGGCGATGGCCGTGGTGCTGGATAGCATACACAGCGCGCGGCACACCTTGGCCAGGTCGCCGCCGGGCACCGCAGTCGGCGGCTGGCAGTTGATACCCACCTTGAAGCCAGTCGGACACCAGTCGACGAACTGGATAGCCCTCTTGGTCTTGATGACTGCGATGGCGGCGTTGACGTCCTTGGGGACAACGTCTCCACGGTACAGCATGCAGCAGGCCATGTACTTGCCGTGGCGCGGGTCGCACTTGACCATCTGGTTGGCCGGTTCGAAGCAGGCGTTGGTGATCTCGGAGACCGTCAGCTGCTCGTGGTAGGCCTTCTCAGCCGAGATAACCGGAGCGTAGGTGACCAGCGGGAAGTGGATACGCGGGTACGGCACCAGGTTGGTCTGGAATTCGATCAGATCGACGTTCAGTGGTCCACTGAAGCGCAGCGAGGCCGTGATGGAGGAGACAATCTGACCGACGAGACGGTTCAGGTTGATGTAAGACGGCCGCTCGATGCCAAGACCACGTCGGCAGAGGTCGTAGATGGCCTCGTTGTCCACCATAAAGGCACAGTCCGAGTGGTCTAGTGAGGAGTGAGTTGTTAACACCGAGTTGTACGGCTCCACGGCCCCGGTGGAGACCTGTGGCGCCGGATAAATGGCGAACTCCAGCTTTGACTTCTTGCCGTAGTCGACGCTGAGACGCTCCATCAGCAGCGAGGTGAAGCCGGAGCCGGTGCCGCCGCCGAACGAGTGGAACACCAGGAAGCCCTGCAAACCGCTGCACTGGTCAGCTAGCTTCCTGATGCGATCCAGCACGCGCTCGATTATGGCCTTGCCGATGGTGTAGTGGCCGCGGGCGTAGTTGCTGGCAGCGTCCTCCTTGCCAGTGATCATCTGCTCCGGGTGGAAGAGCTGGCGGTAGGGACCGGAGCGCACCTCATCCACCACCGTCGGCTCCAGGTCCACAAACACAGCTCGTGGCACCCGCTTGCCAGCGCCCGTCTCCGAAAAGAACGTGTTGAAGCTGTCATCTTCTAGTTTGGGCGCCTTGTCACAATTCAAGCGACCGTCCGGCCGGATGTTATGCTCCAAGCAATACAGCTCCCAGCAGGCGTTCCCTATCTGCACACCAGCTTGGCCCACGTGTACTGAAATGCATTCTCGCATGTTATATGAATTATTTTGTGCGATAAAGAAAATCTACTTTTATTTGACGGTAAAATTATGGCTGACTTTTCATCCGACAGTGGTATATTCACCGAAGACTGCTGAAGACTTTCAAGTCATTTTTAAATGTGGAAAGCTTTAAACACAATTAAAAAATCAAACACTTTCGATTTAACTCAGCATAATTGTTTCCAAGCAAACGCACTTAATTTAGGTCACAGCCACTTATCCCAAATGCGCAAAAACGTTTACGGAATTCAGTCGAAATCTAGCTTAGCGGTACTCGTGCTGTTGTTGTGGTCATTCTTTCTTCTCATGAATGTTTAGGTGACTATAAATGTTTTTGGTTACTTTGCTACGCTTATTACGTTTGTTGGTCGGGACGCACATAAACAATATTGCGATCAATAAGATATACAATTCTTTTCATTTAGACGAAGTCGTTTATTATAAACATATGTACGGGTGCATGCTGACATTTGGACAACTTTTAAGACCAATTTTGGAACGAAAACGTCCCTCTTTAGAAACGTAAGTATAAACCTGCTTTAATCCTAATTAGACGTTTTCACGACGAGCATCTGGTACACATTTGGCACACATTCGGGGCAGATTTGGTCAAATTAGGTCATTGTGTTTCTTCGTAGTTATCAGCTAGGCTTGATAGTTGCTTGTTGTTATAAAATTTAACTTAGATGCTTCAGCATTATTGAGCAACATGCCCCTATACCTACCTAATAATCTATAAAAATGTTACTATCCGTTTCATCTTCGTAGCGGAAACGGCTAAAAAATCTGAAAAGGCTGAACAAACCTTAGTTGTGTCCGGACCGAAAGGACCCGTAATGTAGGAGCTATCTATGTTGAAGTTAGCCCATCTATTCTTAAGATTTTAAATAAATTAAGATGAGCAAATTAACGAGTGATAAGTGAGTGTGTCAGTGAGTGAGTGACCACGCCTTACCTTAAAATGGATGCACAGGGCTCACCGGTCGCCACATTACGTTTCCACTTTCCGGCACATTAACCTTCTACCAAAGCTGGCGCGTTTAGCCAGGCGGCGCTATGTCCATACGATGACGGGGCAGGTCGGCCGCCAGCTGGCCATTGCACTGTGCACTGTGCAGCGGCCTCTGCCGTGCAGAGATGGGCCGTTGACCCGGCCGCGGGCGCTCCTCTCCCGCCGCCGCCGCCGCCGCCGCCGCCGCCATCAGCCGCAGTGAGGCGCCGCGCGATGACGGGGTACGGGTCGCTGACGACCGGCCGCCGCGGCTGGCTCCTGGCCGCTCAGCTCCTGCTGGTGGCAGCAGCTCTGCTCACATTGCTCACACTTCTTTTGGTGAGATATTCCGACCGGTCAAGGTAAGATAGCGGCCTCATTATCAAGGAAGTTTTAGGCATACCTATTGGTTCGTCCCATTTCCGAAGGCAGCAGGTCACAGTTCGTTAAACGTAAAAATTATTCACGCTGCAAGCACGTTCAGAACCGGGCTTTTATCCCAGCAATATCTACGGCTGTCGGTTAGATGTATCTCTCGGGACGACCAAATATAAAACCGTTCGATTAAAGTACCCGACACGACAGACAGCTCTCTAGACAGCTCAATCCATTATTCCATATCAGGGAAGCTCCCCATCCTAAAAAAAACGGGAATGATCGGTTGGAATAGTTTCGGCAGTCTTAGCATGTGTAGCATGATAACAGCTATCCCCAAAGTGTGTGACCGAGTGTGACTGCTGCGCTCCAGCAGCGAGGCGGCCGATGAGTGTCGCCGACGCCGGGAGGCCATGGTGGTGCTGCCGCCTGAGCCTGACGACCCGCATCTGATGATGGAATATCTGGTGGAACACCTCACCCTACCCAAGAGCAAGCCGTGCCAGCGCGAACTGACGCTCGGCGGCGAGCCGGTGAGAGGGAGCACACTCTGTATGCGCATGTGTCCGTTATATCATGTTAGTGCCAATAACACTGGATGGCATGTCCTTTAGCCTGGCATACGATGATTGGTCCGAGCCCACCTCTCCGTATTATGCATACTCGTATATCTACCGACGTCCGACAACGTATCCGACCGACTACCGAATTACATATGTTTTCCCTTCCAGCCTACCGTAAAGCTAAAGAAAGTTGTTCATCGTGGCTCATATATGTACCGTTTGATTTTCAGTCTGTATTAGTCCCATTCTAATTGGTCTGTCTGTATGATTTGGCTGCTGATGTATTGAATGGATGGATTTGCCTGTAGCGCCCGGCGACGCTGTACTGTAGTGTAGCAGTGGACAGGTGCGGTGCTGCGTCGGGCTTCAGTTGACCTCCTCCCCCTGTATCCCCACTCCCCAGCACGAGTTTTCCAACAACAGCGTGGCCGTGGTGGGCCTCAAGTGCGTCTGTCTGGACCCGGGCTTCAGTCTGGCGCTGCACGACTGTCTGGTGATCGCCTCGCGGCCGGCGCTGGAGGCCTCCTTTGACGCGGCGGCGGCCCTGTTCGGCTGTGAGGTGCACTCGTTCGGCGTGGAGCGCGGCCGGCGGCTGGTCGGCTCGCGGTGGCCGCTGCCCGGCGGCCGGCGGCCGGTCAGCGTCCTGGCGCTCCACCTGGACGGCGAGACGCTGGCCGACCTGGGGAGGCGGCCTCTGGACGCGCTGGACCGGGTCGAGCAGCTGAGCGTGCACCTGAACCTGACGGCCGTGCTGACGGCCGGGTCTGCCGGAGACACGGCGCCGCTGCGCCGGCTGTACGGCAGCCTGCTGAGACTGCAGGAGGCCGGCTTCCACCCCTACTCCTCAGCTATCGCTGAGGCCGAGAACGTGCTGGACGTGACACTGCCCGGCCAGCGCAGTCCCATCAGCACCCTCAGCGAGGTCGGCTGGATGAAACTGATGTGTGACACCTAAAGTGGGCTGAACACTGCGCCATGCGGGTGGCGAATAATTCTCCGGCGACGCATTGTTGCAGCTTGAAACGTTATCTTTTTATTGGATTTATGTATTGTCTAATAACTATGTCTGTGATTCCATAATGATGAGATAAATAAAGGTCAAAAGTTAGGTAAGTACCTGTGCTGTGTTAAATTTTCTTTTTACTCGGACTGAGTATAAGTGGGCTACCGGTCTTTGAGTTTTGTAGGTACCGAATTGAATAATCATCGACTGAAGTAAGAATAACGGCGGGCTGAAAATAGGCAATATTGAGTAAACAGTGCCCAGCCCAGTGCTCACCATTATATGGTCACACCATTCATAAAGGTCAAGGTCTTATATATTTAGCCATAATCAGACCAAATGTGCCCCTATAGATTTCCGATCCGTCCCCCCGCCCCTCCCAGCCCCGCTCGGCCGGTGCCGTCGCGTCTGTGCCGGTCGTGCGCTGGTTCTCCGATCGGCCGGCCGTCGGACCGGCCCGGGCAGGGCGGCGGCGCCGGCGGCCGCTGGACTGGGTCGTGGGTCGCGAGGGGGCGGCGGCGGCGGCGCGCCGGCCAGCCGCGCCGCTCTATCGATGGGGAGAGCTAACGTCGGGTGCGCAGCGCCGCTATTGATTTTCCCACCGCGCCATCTTGGCTTGGGAGCGCCGCACCGGTCGGGTATGTGTCGCCGCTAGACCCTTCCATCCGGCGGCAGCCTTTTCAACCGGAGTCCACCGAAAAGGTGAGTGGTTCGGACGTCGGTACCGTGCATCATCACAGGGCTGTGGGCCGCGACAGGACGGTCTGCGGCCGCCGACAGCGACCCCAGAGACTGGCCCCGCGCTGACCACATCTGACCCCGGCTGGCCAGTGGGTCAGGGCAGAGGCCGCTGGCCAGAACTCGAGCCGTGTTTTGGTCACTCTCCCTACAACATTTAATAAGTGATTACCTAAGCTTAATATATATACTAATAAGGGAGAGTATTCGTACTTTTAAGAGATTCTTTTTACCCTCTTTAACGTGTAACGTGTTATTTCACGCCAAATAATAACTTCTAGCTAGGTTACCTAACACTGCGGGAAAATGATATCTAAACAAAAATAATCGTCTCATGTGACGTACATTATTTTATTTCATTAATCAGGTACACGCTGCTGTAACATTTTCCATACGGGCATTCGAGTGCTTATTGTGTTTGCTTTGCTTAGCTAAGAAAGAACGAATGAATCGATTCGCTGTCAGTGCCCTATCAGGCGTTCCATTGACCGCTGCCCGCAGATCAAACTTGATCTGTATGTATCAAAGTTGTCTGATGCCCGACCGATGAACCCTGTAGATCAACCCTGATTTCAGTTTGCATTTTTCAACGATTTGTGAACAGAACAACCGTCTATTTGAATCATGGAACATTCAAGATAAAATACTTATCCGATCGGCGAGAGACTTCCAACTCTCATAATGAAAAGAGCTTTTAACTTTCGAAAGATATTTCAGTCATGTGTGCAACATTTTTGATCCTATGGATGGCATAGTGGTTCCAGATTTTATGCAATAAGGACCATTTTCAATTAATTTTACAAAACATGCTAAAACGCCACTTTGCTGCAGTTAGTTAGTATTAGCTATACTTAGGTAATGATTTGAATGTTAAGGTAAAAAAGCGCCCGCAATAATTGAGAAGAATCTAACAGTGCATGTTTTGAAATTGACCGAGAACTAAAAAAATCGTTACGTGGTACGACCGAAAACAACTGACTCTCTGCTTGAATGAGCTTATGTCGTGTGGGTTGAATGAGCCTTCTAAAATTAGCTTCATCATGAGTCAGAGCGGTCATCCATGAACATCCAAACGGAGCATACATTAGCGAGGATATTCCAAATTATTGCGCAACATTAGGCATGTATGTACGCCTGGTCCAACCATCTGATTCTGTATGATGATTCGGTCCTAGAGTAGTAGCTCCCTGAGAAGATACCTGTTCTTATTGCTATATTAATGACATTCTGAACGATGTGTTCAGTGGTCGACAAAGGATGCATGGCATAGAAACACATTTCGCCGTTTTATTTAGCCCGGTGAACAAAAAAAAAATTAAAGTTATTTTTGTGCTAAGTCACATGTTGTTGCTGATACGTCTAAATTATTTGAAAAGATAACCAAACCAACACTTGCTAGAGCTAGAGCAATTTATTTCAGCTTTGGCCAACCCAAAATAGACAAGTAACAAATGCAGCCTGAAACGTCAAATACCTACTTTTGATTAGTAATGCTCCTCGTGTGCCTAATACAGGAGTGGGTGGGTACAGAGCCGAGGGACCAATGAGCTGTTCTCCAAATCCGTCCGGTCGTATGTCGTGCTCCGACCTCAATGACGGCGCCGGTGGGTCGTTATCACGGGATGACGGGGTCCGGCCGCCGGTACGCCGTATCTGCCCGTGCCGCGCCGCCCACGCGGCCGACGAGGGGGGGGGGGGGCACACAGGGGGGGGGGAGCTCCGATGACGGCGACGACGAGACTGCGTCAGAGGCGCAGGTGCAGTCGCCGTGTTGAGTAGTGTGTGTGTCGTGTACGGCGCGTCAGAGGAGGCTGAATCCCGCGTGTAGAACGCCGTCTGCAAGCTCAATGGTAACGTTAGCTATCTTACAATTTAGGTATTATGCACTCAGGGCTTTGAACTTACAGAATGATACGTTTCTTTTTCAACTTTCGTGTACCCTTTTAGATTGTCAATTGTTTTTGACAAACATTTGACTTTTTGTGTAACATTTATCATTCACTTTAAATCATATTTTATCCAAATCAGAACTAGTTATAAGACTATAGAAAACGTCTGGGATTCAAGAAAATGTCGGCTTCTCTAGGATAACCAAGAACGTTGTGGACTACTCCTTATTTTATGCCTCATTTTATCATTCTATCGTGCGCATAATTATACGAGACGAACTCGGAATGTAGTGTTTATCGCCGTCTTGGTCCCAGGAAAGTAAGAAACTAAAGTTCTAAAGAACCGATCCATTACATGCATATTTAGATATACTCGTATGGGCACCAAATTGTTGAAATATTGCCATAACGTATCACTCATGCTTCCATTAAAAAATGATAATAATGAGGGAGCCGGAAAAACTGCATACCACTAAAAATATGGTGATAAGTAGCTACTGGTAGGCACCTAGCACAAACAAATTTTGAGCGTGGAACCTAAGCCGATAACCTTTTACCTTTCTGAAATCGACTCACGTCCCATACCCTGCATCGAGGCTGAATGATCATTCCAAGCGAGTCAATAAGTAAACCTAACCTGCAACCAATATGAGTGACCCCAAAACACACCTCAATAAAAGTAACCGATGATACTCTACGAAACTTGTTGTTTGTCCTCACTTCTCGTCAAGTTGATTAAACAACACCTTAATGAAACGGGACACCAATCAAATTTGTTAGGTATACTTAATCATAAATGAGTTCAAAGTGTTAATAGCGTTTGCAGGGGTGTAATTTTCCTAAAATGATTGTGGGTGCCCAGCTGTAGGGGAGCCAGGCCGCTTTGGGGCGCAGTGGATATTCTTTATGTGGGAGCCTCAATTAACACCGAACATTGCTAGCCGAAGGGCGTTTCAAGTGACGTGTCTGACTAAGCAAATACACGGTCAAAAGTGTAAAGTGACCGGAAGGGCGTAAAGAAATGTAGAGGGGCACCATCAAGTAGGAGGGGCACCAGACGGTTACGAGGGCGCCGTGCGACCATGAAAAGGGCGCCATTCTCCTAGAAGGGAGCCATGTGATTAAAAACGCTATGTAGTCCGGGAGCGCCGAGAGATCAGAAGGGCGCCGCGTAATCAGTAATGCTAAGTTGGTGGAGATGTTTGGGCGCCAGACGGTTACAAGGGCGCCGTGAGACCATGAAAATGGCGCCATTCTCCTAGAAGGGCGTCGAGCGATTAAAAACGTGGCATGGTCTAGGGACGCTGAGAGGCCAGAAGGGAGTCGAACAGTCGAGGGATGCACGGTAGGCAGACTTAAGGGCGCAAGACGGTCAGGAGGGCGCCGTTACGCCATGAGAATGGCGTGGTGCTGACAAAAGGGCCCCATTCTCCCAGAAGGGCACCGAGTGATTAGAAACTCCATATTATCCAGGAACGCGAGACGGTCAGGAAGACACTGTTAGAGCACGCGAAGGGCGCCTGCTCTCGAGAGGACGCTGGTTAAAGACTTGTGGGTGCATTTTCATCATTGTGGGGGCATAATTCAGGATTGTGGGTGCATCTGCCCCCACAAAGAGATAGGTATAAAATTGCACCCCCGAGCGTTTGGCCCAATGGCTTGCCCAATTATGTGGTGCTTGGCCTAACAGCAGGCTCTTGAAGCACAAAATAACGTTTTTTTTATTCATTCCAATTGTTATCCTCGCCGCTTTAATACTGGAAGAAGGTTAGTAGATGCATCCCACTGCGTTTGAACTAAATTACTTGGCGAGACGTGGGGGGGGGGGGTAGAACAATGCGTGTGTCTCTCAGTGTTCTGTGTGCTCTTTCAGTGACCGTTGACCTACCAGTGACCTTATCGTCTGTATAAATAACGCACATTTCTATTACCCTCTGCTGACGCGAGCTGCGCCGGATGAGTCGACGACTCGGCGGCGGCCGGGTGTCCCTCTGTATCGGTCACCATCAGCTGACCGTTCCCCGTTGTTCCTCCGCGCAGGGCCGACCATGAGGGTGCGGGTGCGCCGCGGCACCGCCGAGGAGGCCGACACTGAGCCGGTGTCGAGCGGCAACGCCACCATGGTCGAGGCGACGTCGGCGCCGGCGGCGACCGACGCGCCCGACGAACAGTCGGAGATCATCCAGAAACTGGACGCCGGCACGCGCAAAATGGCCCAGTCGATGGGCATACCGTTCCCGGCCCTGATCGCCATCCTCATTGGTGAGTGCCTGTCTGTGACAACATAACATCTACAATCGACGGTGCAGCCGGTGACCATCAGCATCATCATCGGCACTTTGCATCGACCTGCACGATTAATTATGAAGATGTTGCACAAACCAAATTGAGTTAACGTGTCGAGCTCACATTACGCAGCCTATTGATCACACAGCATGGATCAATAGCTATTGCAAAAGACGATCGCCTTCGCGGCGTTTCCGTCTGCGAGCGGAGGGTCGCCGCGGGCGAAGCGATCTCTGGCAGCGCGGCCGCTGTCGGCTGCTCGGGCTGCCACGCAGGCCGGCTCACCGATCGATATGTGCGGCGGCGGCGGTCGGCGGCCGGCCGGCCGTGTCGGCATGCCGCGCTCCGGCCGTGCTCCGGCCGTGCGGCGGCCGTGCTCCCGCCGTGCTGCGGGTGTCGCAGGCCTCGTGCGCTGCCGCCGCCCGCACCGGCCGTTTATGACCATCCGCTGGGACTCAATCAAACCGTTATCACTCGGCCAACTAGGGCGCGACCGAAATTACACTGCCCCGGTGCAGTTGATCGATCTGCTAAACAAACATTTCCCAAAAGTGATAAAGCATGTGTCAAGGTCTTCAAATTACCGCTGAAATAAATGCTACCCGGACCACTGAATAATCCGGGTCTCAATTTATCTTAGAGGTTGTTCGCCTGACGGCAGGCTTGTCAGTAGACGGCCAAACCTGTACGCGGCGCCGCGCTGTCAGCCGAATACTGGCAGTTAGACTGTCCCGCAGGACACGTGTGCCCGGCGGCGCAGTATCGAGTTAATGTCGCGCGGGCTGAAAACCGTGCCTGTCTCGGGCTTTGGAGGCTGGAGTTCCGTTCTGAGTTAACTTTATTTTTACCATGTGATATTTTCATGCAACTATACTTAGGCTAAATTATTGTGCCACTTTGAATGGCACATGAAATGCCGTACGCATTATGTGTTCCGCTGCATAATGCGTCCTTGCACTTCAGTGAAGTCACTCGGAACGGTCCGACTCGAAAACATGTCCGAAAACATGTTTGAAAGCAATTTCTGAAAACATGGATGCTTGGAAATAGGCATTTCTTTAAACTATGTTAGAGAGGTATGCAATGCTGGCATTTTATTGTGTTAGCATCGAGTCTGCCTTATCTGCAACATGCATACGTATTAGGTACTCATATAAACAAACGTTCATGTGTAATGATTAGGTACGTGCATGATAACTGACAGGTCATAGTGATTTTCACTCCATAATCACTTATATTTCCAAGTCGTCGATTGTATTTATGTAGTTTTTGTATTACCATATGACTACCACACGTACTTATCGTATAACCTCTGTTTTTACATTCCATGCTACAAACAGCGATTATGCGAAAAACTCACCAGAGAGAGGGAAGTCCCCACCCAGTGCCTTGCTCTTCCTTTTTACTGGAGTCTTCCTCTTCGCCAGTTTTCACATTCTCACCGTCTTCTGCCTTTTCCTCTTCCTTCGTATCATCTTTCTTCCCGTCTTCTTTCGCCTCGCCATCTTCACCGTCACCATCTTCATCGCCTGACTTCCGTTCATCACCTGACGAGTCACCTTCCTGAGAGCTTGAAACGCTGGATTTACCATCTTCCAGCTCGGCGTTTTTCTTCTTCTTCAAACGCTCCCTTACATAAATCCCTAGAGCGGCAAACAGTAAAATTAGAGCGACTAGTATGATGAGACCCACAACTGAATTTCCGCTAGCTCCTGCAGAGACCATCCTAGCAGCCGACGTTTCTGGCCCGGAATTAGAATCGTGTCTTTTCTTCTCCACTTTAAGAGCTTTGCGCGGCATCGGGACGAACTCGACGGCCAGCTTTAATTTGATGAGGTGCATGGACATTTCGGGGCTGTTGTATCGATACCCGTAGCTGCTCTGCGCTGAAATGTCTAGATGGTTTGTCTTGCTGCGAAACCAAGGACCGTGCGGCTCGTTGTTGGCCATTGTGGAGGAGCACTCGGTGCGCAGACGGCCGCCGGAGGACAGCCCCCACATGTACATGAGCTCACAATCCTGCTCTACCAGGTCATTGTTAATGTTTGTTCGGTAGTTTTCCATCAGCTCCTTACAGTCGCCCACTGTCTGAATGACGGTGATGACAGCTTGGGTCTTATTGTCGGGTCCATCGACGACCACTGTGAGAAACTGATAAAACTCAAATCTCCCACTCGGCCCGTCCAAGTTCTCTGGGGACATAGTCTCTTTGGTGAGATCAATCAGTTGTGCCTCTTTCACCTCCACCAACACTTTGGCTTTGGGCATGAGAGGGAACAATGGCCCAGTCTTTTTCTCACAGGTGGTTCCTTCGTACCCAACCGGACAAATGCATTCACACTTTTTGCCAACGTATCCAAAATTCTTGCATTTAGGTGTGTGCTTGCCGTTTTTGGCACATGCGTCCTCCCAGACTTTGTCGCAGCCGTAGACAAGATTCACGACGTAGAGGTCATAATGTGACTGAAGCTGATCTGCGTAGAAATGATAGTTCAGCATGTACTGATTTCTTACGTCTTTGGTTACGAGTATTGGCCGGAAGTCATCGTCGCCGAAGGCCGTCGAGGAGTAGTGCATTAGTGAACGGAAGTCATACGGAATCGGCATGTCCACCACTTGCTCCTTTTTGCAGAGCGTGCTCTGTGCCCACTTCCCGCGGAGCTGCTGGATGTCCTCTTTGGTGGGTTCCAGGGCGTAGAATTCGTCATTGACCGTGATGAACTGGTCCCGGTCCGGCCTTGAGTGGTGGTGGTGCGAGCCCAGCGCGTGGCCGAACTCGTGCGCCGATGCCGGTGTGTAGCAGCCATCCTCGATGGACATGTGCTGGGGCTCGCCGCCGTGGGGCCGAATCATCCCGATGTACGACCAGCAGCCGTCGAAGCTGCCCACACATATGGCCGGCTCTGACATGTTCTGTGCGCAGGGGCCGTCGGGAAGCTTCTCGAACCGGATGCAGGTCTGGTTGATCCACGTCTGCGTGGCGCTCATGAACATGTTCTTGTCGGGCGTGGACGTGGTGTCAAAGAAGTATCGCGCGTGCTGGTTGCCTTCGGAGTCAATCCAGTGCTTGTGGGGGTGAAAAGAGGTCGCCCGGCCCCCCGGCTCCTGAGGTCTGAGCTGCTGAGGGCCGAAGGCGATGTCACCGAGCAGTGCCACCGGAGAACTGTTGGCGAACTCTTTGACGACATAACCATGGTCTCGAAGCGTGTTGGCTTGCTGGTGAAATGTCCCAAACGGCTCGTGAGGGATTACTGTCTTGAGAGGATTAAGATCAGGTTGTACTTGCGATGTGACGGTTGTGAATGTAGCACAGGTCACCAAAAGGTAGCTGATCACTGCCATTGTGCTGGCATGTGCACTTATTACAGACCTGCTTGCATACTTGCATACCTGCTTGCATCTTGCATGCCTGATGGACAGGAGTCTTCTGTGTTCCGAATGGACAACACTGTCTACATTTTTAATTAAACTAAGATACCCATTCCATGGGTGATTGCAATGACTTTTCCTCAAATTAAGTTAGATGACTTTGATAGATTTAGCCTTTAGCGAATACAGGCATATTTCTGTGATAGGGATCTATACGGCTAGAGCAATTTGAAGCGGTGCTACCAACACATCTTGCACATGCAATTGCACTGTCATAGTGAAAAGTGTATGAATGAGGAATAGGCACCATAGATCACCATTATAGGATAAATTTTCATTCTCGAGGGAGTCCAACACGACAACAATTTGGGTACACGACTGGTGTCCTCTAAACAGGTAATTGACCACCTTTATTCAAGGTAAATGACGAAATTAAGAAAAGGTAATACACTTGGTAACACAGTTCCTTGTCTATGTTTCAACTCAAGAAAATGGCTCGTGATTGTCATTGGTGACATACTTCATTAGCGTTTTAGCCGTTTTCATGATAATATTTTTATGGACACTGAACGATAATTTGCCTCGATGGCTGCCTCAGATGCTGAAATACTTCAATGAGCTTCAAAGTGTAAGTCGGTTCCTTAATTTCTGATGATGTCCTCAGCTCATTTTGCAAACCGGGATGTTCCATGGACGGTTCACTTCCAGAATTCATTTTAATGAGCTTTCATATTGTCTCGTTTTGATAGTTATATATATATATATATATATATATATATATATATATATATATATATATATAAGATAACTCATTTCATTCCATCCTATATGTAACACCAATGGATGCAGGTATAACTAGGATGTGTCCAGGTGGCCAGAGACTTTTTATTGAAGTGGCCCGCCCGCATGGCAGCTTGTCGTACAAATATTATTCACCCTTTCCTTGCTTTTCACTTACTTCCCAAAACAGCTGGGGGAAGCTAGCGGACGTAACTATGACCTGGTGTCTCCGATCTGACACTGCGTCGGACAAAACACACAAACTGATAAGGTTGTCTCTAGAGCGAATAGGTGTCTATCGATAAGACTGAACACAAATGCCGATTAATTTATTTCGTTTCACTCATGCATACATGAAGGTACAATGTACTTTTAATTCCCATAGAAGGGGAGGGGGATGCTACTTACTCAGAAACTGTACTTCGAGAACTACTCGTAGTACTGGAGTAGCTAGCGGATCGCTACATACATCAGCGACTAATTGTTTCATCTTTCAAGTAGAAACTAATGGTTATAGTAGGTAGAGCTGACCCATTGGCGATTTTTAATATTCTATCTGGATAAGAAGCACCTTTCATTTGCACACAAACTTCAACGTGAGATATTTTGATATCGTGATTATGATACAACAGCTAACTGATCCAAGCGATGCATGTGAGGTCAACTTTGCCGATGGTTATCACCGCCATCGTTTAAGTGTTCTGATAATGAGTCATTCAAATGTTGTGGTCATTACATACATACATCTGCATTCTGCAATCTGCATGCATGATTCATACCTACTGATCGGAGTGAATATCTTACCAGCGCGTCTGCAATTTGCCGTCTTTGGCAGCAATGCATAAACTGCTTTACGCATCATCTGGCAATGAGCAATGAATCAATGTATGCGGTCTATACCACACGATATCCTACCATCAATCAGTAAACTGCACATTTCCGCAATCATACCCACGAGTGTTCGCTTGACGGCGCTTGATCTCGTTTTCAGGTATTGGCCTCCTGATATTGGGCATCTGCTTCTGCTGCATTCGGAGATGTTTCCGGAAGCGCCGCAGCAAAGATGTCAAGGGAAAGGGAGGAAAAGGCGTGGACATGAAATCCGTTCAACTCCTGGGAAGTGCCTACAAGGAAAAGGTAAAAAAAAACTAAATTAAATTCATATTTTCTACGGTATCTATGCTTTCCCATGAAGTGAGCCACTGAACTCGAATCATTTAATTAATCTTCATTATTCTCTGTACCAAAAGCGTTGCTTTTCACAAATATTCCTGAACAAATAGGCTCATTTTTCACACTGCAGCTCATTAGGTATGCGTATGATTTCACACCGTAAAAGCCTTAAGTCTTCAAACGTGCACAAAGGACGTAACAGTCTGTGAGTATACAAGTGCTGACAATTCTGCGTGTTAACCGTGCAGGTGCAGCCGGACATGGAAGAACTAACTGAAAACGCCGAGGACATTGCCGAAGAAGGGGAGAGCAAACAGTCCGAACAGAAGCTGGGCCGACTTCAGTTCAAGGTGAGACCTACGACTATTGGTCAGATCAAAGTTTTTGTGAATCAAATATGTAGAGCTAGAGAAACTGAAATTTGTCTTCAAATATGAGTTTTTCAATCTATCGTATTGCCAACTCAATTTTGAAGTGGTCTCTGAAGCTGGAAATTTCGACCGTTTATTATTTGGTGGCTGCTTCCGCAAGTCGCTCTTTATATGCCAAACCGGGAAACGCAGACGGGCGGATGAAGGGATAAAATGGGTGGGACAGTAAATTGTATTTCAATGTTTCACGAAACAGTCAGAAATACGTGTGTCACGCACTTCCCACTTTCCATCGATCTGGATTTCCTCTTGCGCGTGGCATAGCTCCTCGCATAAGTGGCGCCAAACGTTCAGCTTGTTACCGCAGAAACTGCATAATCGCGGCGTGTATCTGGGGTCGAGGCAGCGCAGCCAATGTAGAAAATCATCCACAACCCCATCACTAATCAAGATTATCGGCTGAGCACTGAGCAGCGTCCCGCCGTATTATGGAGATTCATGCAATTACTGTGTTCGGTAAATTCACGTTGGTGCAGTGGCCTCACCCGGCCGGACGGTAATCATCGTCATCCGATACAATGCAAAAACTTTCTTTCCTAGATATCAACTGACCAAAAACCCGCAACAAGCTTCGTCAGTGCAGAATGCACTGTACGAATGCATTACTCTCTAGCTTGCTGACGGCCAGAACGGGAATTAGACGCTCTGTGACAGGGGTCGACTCGTCATTATCAATTCTTAACACCTTCGGCGTTTAATTCCTCTATTGATTACATATTTTTTTTAACTTATCTCGCAAAAAGGCATGATAAATGGGTCTGAATCTTGATGGTTTGCTAATCACCCTTGCCTATTATTTTATACGGATTTATCTGAGGTGATAAATGTTGTTGAGCGCTTGTGCGAGACCTTCTGCCTTTTGTAAGCAATTCCGACCAAGATCTGTGATCGAAATATCAATAGGTATCAATATATCCTTTTGGAAATTTATATTTTACGAGGAAAGGTCATATGATACTAAAACTGCTTTTAGCTAAGGAAATTTCAAAGGGTGAAAATTCTACCAATCAGTCCTACTGGCACTTAGCGGAGCCTGTTTCAGTTCAGGTTCGGTTGTCTGGTTTCGACGGCGCGGAAGAGCTTTCGTGAAATGTCAGCCGACCAAAGTTCTGTTTGAAGTCGGTTCAGTTCCACGTTCTCGCAGCAGTGAGCTGTAACTGTCTCGGCACGCCTGGGAATGCTCGGCACACTCGGCCCACTCGATTGGCCCGCCCGACTGTCCCCGAATCCAATCCAACAGTTCTACATTTTGGATATATAGGAGAGAAAGTCAGCCTGCAGAGTTCAGCGACACGGTGAGGTCCTCCCACATCCCACATTGACATCACTCAGCTGAGCCGCGGGGGTTCGTATGAACATCATGCACGGTGCACCTGCTGGATGAAATACGACCGCGGAGAGTGACATTTATAGCGACATTGTGAGGTATGTGCCGGCATACTCGCCGACGACAGCTGTTTTTAATTGCCATTCCCAACCGATTACAAATAGTTCCGATGTAGTGATACATTGGAAATAGATTGGTACATCGTCATGACGTTCGTACTTAAGTCTCTGTCCTGAAAATCAACATTTTCCTTATCTACACTGTGACACCAATCGATTGAAACGGCTGTCTCGGCTGATATATACAAACCCCGAGTCGATTTCCACTGACTGTGTCTCGGATGGCGTTAAACAAAGTCACCAATCGATTTCCTACGGGTGGCCGGCTCTGCGGCTAAAGATACACCGTGTCACCGTCACCCAGTTCCGACAGCAGTGTCGCGTTCGATCGATCGCAGCACGGCGCTCGATGGAGTCACTCCCTCGCGCACATCCCTCAGGGGCCGCTGTGAGAACATTGCTGACGTAGGCACCCGGCCGACAGCTGTGCAGTCGCTCCCCGCGAGACGCCACACACGTGCAGTCGATCACTAAAGCAAGTGACATCCGACTTACAGCCACTCTCTGGGGGCTGTGGCATACTTACAGCCGCTTTCCGGAGCCACAACATGCTTTAAGTCGCTCTCTGGGATCCATGGCATTTTTACGTCTGTGCCACTTGAACGTTTTGTCGAGCTGTTTTTTTTTCAGTCGCCCATCGATTGATATTACCAGAAACGACGATAAAAAGCAGCTCTTTGTATTAAATTAAGAAAAACAAAACAATAATATTTGCTTTTTGAGCGAAGCTAATTGTCATGAGGTGTTTCAAGTCCCCTCTAACTCCGTGTCCTTTTTCATAAAGATTCTACAATCCGATTGTAGTTTGTACATTTGTAGTTTTCAAAGTACAATTTTACAAACTACTACTTTTCATAAAGCCTGGGCATGCGGCATCCATAGAATTGTACTTTCGATCCCGGAGCGTAGTTTTGCGGGGCTTCGTCTCCATGGCAACGGAGTAAACAAAAACTTTTGAAACAGTTTTCGATGTTGTGTTGCAAATTGCGTATGATGTGCTGATAGTTTTTGCAATTTTTAAAAGAAATAATAATTGATAGATAACTTGAATTGCTTTTAGAGATCAGCCATCGCTTTGCACATGCATAGCTAGAACTTTTATGCTGAAAGTATTAACATTTTCAACATTGCAATCATTTCAAGATATGCCTGTCTCGAGATTTGGTATCTGAGAAGTCCAATAAGTCATAAGTTTCTTCAAAGACTGTTTCATGATTTGTTCAGACAATAATGCAAAAATGGCTAAAAAAGGTTAAGGTATGACCTCAGTAAGCCTATCCGAGTTATAGATTGGCAGTTATGGATGTTGTTGACAGTCATATTACCTAGCGACGGGCTATGTGACCTCAAAATGCTTTGAGCCTTGAATTACCCGTTTTGAAAAGTAATGCAGCCTAGTGAAACATGAAGCAACATGAAAGCCAGCGAATAAAATGCCAAAATCAAAATGCAAGAGCATTGTGACGAAGAGCGCCGAGATGGAGGCAAATAGATGGAGCTGGAGGCTGGAGCCACCCAGGAGACGGGATGAAAACTGATACAAATACAAGCCTTTCCTACTGCGTGAAAGGAAATGGGCTACATCTTGAAGAGAAGGTGCATGGTCATTCCATTGTGTTGGTTGAAGAAACAGCCGGAAACGAATAGGACATGAGCGTAGGCTGCTCTTTTTTTCAAGAGAATTTCATCCGCAAACAAAGACTGCCTATGTTACTGTCAGATTATGAGGTACATATGTTAAAAAAATGTTACATGAATCGATCAATGGTAGGTATAGTACCTAGTCATAATGTACTCAGATATTGATATCAATAATAGCTAGGTATATATTTATCCTTGACACTTTTAGATACCTATTATTCGTGAACTTATTATGACTGCCTACTGATAAAAGGTTCGAATGAATAAGGAAAATAAATTGTTGATAAAATGCCGTCTTTTATCGAATCAAAAACTCTGAATAGGCCCGAACGATGCTACGAATTTCAGCGCTTTAGTTCCTTCCGTTCAAAAACCCCAATGGCGTGGGTCAGCCGGATCGAGGGGGGTCGGGTCGAGCCGTTCAATGCCGGCATTTTTTTTCGGAAATGCGGCACACATGAAGTTATATATAAACAGGAAAATGATGAAAATAACCAGTTAAGTGCCTTTTGGGCGAAAAACGAGCGGGAACAAAGTTAACACCTCTTCTTTTTGCTTTTTGCACATGCAGCAGGCACGTAGCTAGGATTTGGCCAAGGGAGGGGCGGAGGAATCCCGGGGGCCTCCTTTCTACAGAGGGCCTCCTCCCTAAAGGGGCCTCCTTTCTACAGAGGGTCTCATGCCTACATAATTACATATACAACATAATGCAGACTTTTGTTCAGCTTTCATATGGCCAGCGCATTGGTATGTTTCTTTATTTGGTATATTTAAGCAATATCTGCAATATTTAAGAAACATACGCATATCACAAGTCTCCCAGTGGCATGGTAACTGGCAAAAAAAAACTCGGGCGCCGGCGGCGGCGGCGGCGGCGGCCGGACCGCAGCAGGAGGGGGGGGGGGGGGGAGGATCTGCGAGGAATGGATGGATACTGGATGACGGTCAGAGTACCTAACACTTGGTGTATTATCATATATCGTTCAAGTATTCCGGGCGGGCTCTGAAAGACTCTGAATCGGGCGGGGGCCTTTTTGGCCCCCGTCAGAACTCGAAAAGCACGAATCGTAGCGACAAACGGTAACGGCGTTTGATAGTTCGTTGAACGACTTACAACTTTTGTAAACAACTTTTTTGGGTCAGGTCAATATTGAGGTCGCCAGAGGTCATAACAAATAACATGGTTTATAACGACCTACATAGATAGGTCAACTTCAAAATCTGACCTAGGAAGGTCACGCTGGGTACCAATCGGCGCGTCATGACCAGGCGAACGGTTTGGTACACTAACAACTATCTAGCCCCATCATGTCGTGATTTATTGGCTAAAAACTGTTGATGACCTCACCTCACCTCAGATGATCCTTCCCGGTGCCCCTGTCAGTAAATGCCACCTGGGTGCTTACAGATCAGATAATCTGACCTGACGTACCTAATTCAGAAAGAATTTGGTGGTTTTGACTCGTTTTCTCGAAGCAGGACACAGTTCATTATATTTTCCAATAGGCTTGTCACGATTCTGACCTGACTGACGTCTGCAAGATTGAAACTATACGGTTATCAATTTTTTATGTGTGAATGATGCCACGTTTACTTGCTGTAAGTAAAACATGGTTTCGTTAGTAAATTTTCCTATGGTCCAGGTGGTTTGCTTCATTTACGCCGTAGATGAAACAAACAATCGATGGATAGGTATATATTAATTTCCCGGTCAAATAAATTATTATGAGTTGTGCGAAGCATGGCTATGGGAATATCACCACGGTCTGATAAATGGTTTGGGTAATTGCATCCATTGTAAAAATACCAACACAGCCACAGAGGGCTTCCTCTCTATACAGATTGCCTCTTATCTACAGAGGGCCTCCTCTCTGCTGAGGGTGTCTTTCTCTCCAGAGGGCCTCCTTTACAGAGGGCATCCTCTCTACAGAGGGCATCCTCTCTACAGAGGGCCTCCTCTCTAGTCTCTACAGGGACCTCCTCTCTACAGAGGGCTTCCTATCTATGTAGGGCCTCCTCTCTTCAGAGTCTCGTCTCTACACAGGACCTCCTCTATACCGAGGACCTCATCTCTGCAAAGGGCCTCCTCTCTTCAGAGGGCCTTCACTCTACTGAGGGCCTCCGACCTACAGAGGACCTCCTTTCTACTGAGGGAGTCCTCCTCTACAGAGGGCCTCCTCTCTTCAGACGATCTCCTCTCTACAGAGGGCCTCCTCTCTACAGAGGGCCTCCTTTTTACAGAGTGCCTCTATTTTACAGAGGGCCTCTTTTTTACAGAGGGCCTCCTTTTTGCAGAGGGCCTCCTCTCTACAGATGGTCTCCTCTCTAAGGGGGGCTCTTCTCTACACAGGGCATCCTACCCACAGAGGGCCTCCTCTCTACTGAGGAGTCAGAGGGGCCTTAGCGGTCAGACACAGACACTAGTGGTTATTCACAGGAGATGAGAAGGGCCCTAGCTGTCACTTGTCAGGCTGGTCAGAGGGCCCCTGATTGTTCTGACGTCATTTTTTAGATTCCCGGGTGAATTTCGTTCGCCTCCGACGTGATTTTGGCCAACGTGGGCCTTCGGCCCACGTTGGATTCAGGCCGAAAGGATTCAGGCCAACGTGGGCCGAAGGCCCACGTTGGCCTGAATCCTTTCGGGGGGCCTCCTGAAAACCCCAAGGGAGGGGCGGGCGCCCCCTCCGCCCCCCCTTGGCTACGTCCCTGACATGCAGTGGGGGCCACTCACGTAGGTCAAGAGTATCCGACCTTTGGTAGAAGGGATGCAGCTACCTTACAACAATTACCGCAAGACAATCGCCCTAGCGGCTGCTGAGATATGAGCCTCCCAAAATCACTACTTTTGCAAAACAGCTTGAAAATGAACACCCTTGACTTTTCACGTGGCACGCAGTAGCGGCGGAACACCTTCAATTAAGGGGAGGGGGGGGGGAGGGCACTGCCGACTTTTGGTCCTATTCTTTCCATGCAACGTCCATAGGGCTAATGATAAAATAGCAAAATCAAAGGGGGGTACGGTGCCCCGGTGCCCCCCCCCCCGTTCCATCGCCTATGGTGGTGGTACGTGCCACGAGGGTTTCTGAAATGCATTAGGAATAGTCAATTACGGGTAGAAGGAATAGGACTACCCAACAAAAAAGACCGAAGGTCAATCGGTCCAGCGGTTGCTGAGATATTAGCCCGGCAAAAGTGTTACTGGCCGGGCCGGACCGGGCAGCTCAATACTGAGATTTTTTCGTTATATTGAAAAGACCTCGCTTCGCTTGCTGCGCTCTCTCGCTCAGTAATAATACATATCGTGTATCTGAGCATTGGCTATTATTGAATTAAATTATTAGCAACGTTAAGCTGATTCCTATGCTCCATCTCCGAAATTCTACACACGGTTAGGGCGTTGTAGATTTCGATTGTATTTTCCGTCAAGGAAATCCCAAAATCAGAGGAACCGTTCTTTTTATGAAACAGATTGCTAGTTTTTTGGCTGATAATTGCCGAATGTGAGTTGTAGGTTTGTGGAATTGTAGTTTGTACTTTCGGATTGTACTTTTTCCTTTATGAAACAGATTTGTACAATCGGAAGTACAAACCTACAAACTACAACTACAATTCTACAATTCCAGGCTTTATGAAAAAGGACACAGATATCATTTTTTAAAGATATTTTTCTGACAATGGCTGGGGTGAATAGTTTCTTTATGTTGTTCCCAGATTATCACATAGATCAATTATACCTATGACTAAACCCGGATAATGTGCGTTTGTTTCAGCTGGAATACGACTTCAACTCCAACAACCTGACGGTGACGGTAATCCAGTGTGAGGAGTTGCCGGCCCTCGACATGGGCGGCACGTCCGACCCCTACGTCAAGGTCTACCTGCTGCCAGACAAGAAAAAGAAGTTCGAGACCAAAGTCCACCGCAAAACGCTCAATCCCGTCTTTAACGAAACGTTTACGTTCAAGGTGAGAATGAGTAGCCCGCAAAGAAATTTCATCCGCTGGTAAGGCGGAGGGCTGGTAAGGCTGAATCCGCTGGTAATTATGTGATGAGATTTTGTTTTTGTTCTACGTCGTGATCATTTTTTTTTGTTTCATGAGCTCAGAGCGACTTTCCTGTCGTAAAGCTCGTCAAAATTTAGAAAATACTTATCTCTTGTTTTGTCCTGTTTGGGCCTCTAGAATCTGCCGCCCTCTTCGTTTGTCGTTTTTTTCGAAAATCTAAGAAGAAATAGGAGCGTTTACAAAGCAGTTCGTACTTAAGTGTATGCAATCGATGCTCGAGTCGGATTGCAAGTCTGGAATAAATTAAAAAAGAAACATTGATTGTATTGAATCGTTGTACATATATACAGAGTGGTCAAACGCCACAGGTCTACGTATTAAAAACTTTCTCACGTTTGCACATTGTTGGTCATTGGTCCTTTTCTATACTGGTACGTGGTTGTTTCTTCCACCAAGCGATTCAGGTATACACATATTCCCGTTTATTATTATTTCGTAAGCTGTTAACAGGACGGTTTTGATCGATTTTATCGGGAAATGGGTGGCCCGCTTCGCTATTCCTGTGCACTGTGCCGCTTGATAACAATGCTTTGGTTGTTCTTCAATCGTGAGCAGAACGTAAGTGTGTCGACTATTGCATCCCTCTTGGTTTTCGATACTCTGGAATGCTGTGATACAGGCCCGCGTGACAATGGCTAAGCTCGTTCTTTTAGCCGGCTCTAGCTATATTCAGCCTTGACATGCAGCTTCCGCTATGCTGCGCCTGCGCTGCTCAATATTGCGCATACATAGACAATGCGATGAAAGGAAATAATTGGATCGCTGAAACGGTATTATTTTCAGTCATAAATTCAACTAATAATTACAGCCATTTATAACATTGGCTTGCTTATAATAGCCTAGTGCAAATTGTCTCCTTTCATCGCTGCACCTGCTTTTATTGAACGCCTAACGATGACAATCATAGTATGAAATATACATAAAGCACTTGTAAAGAAACTCATCAAATGCGAACAATTATCAAGTCAAGGAAACTCTTGGACTTTGGCTATGTACGGAGCAATGCAGCAACCACCGAGGAATCCCTGCCGATCTTCCTGTAGCTCACAAGTATCGCGCTCCCGGGCTCGAGTCCCTCCAGTGCCCGGCCGAGAGACGGTGATGGTCTGTACCGTCCATCAGTTGAAGGCAGAAGGATGGACCGTCGGATAGTGTTCAGTTTTGTGGACACGCCAAACATTGGCTGCTTCATTGACCCAACAGCCCGGAATTTCCCCGCCAGACGATAGTGATCAGAATTGTGCAACAAGCTCTGCTTCGGCTGCACCCTGGCCTCGGAGTCCATTCGAAATACTATAACGAAATTCATATAAAATTATATGTAAGGAAAAGAAGAATGCAGGCAGTAAAAGAAAACTAATTGGTGCAACTGATAAACTTTCCAAAAAGACGGAGAAGTCATTGAAACAGTCAGAAGTCTTTCTATGTATAAACGCGTTTACCATATAATAATGATCTGCATTCGCACACATGAGTTTATAATAGACAGAAAATTTGGGGAAATGTTCTGCTTTCAAAGGATTCGCAATGAGCTCGATTGCGGGAATGTGCTCTTAAGCATTGCATTGGTATGCAAGAAATTAGCAGCAAATAGCAGCACAGGAGTCGATTGTACGGAACAGTGGGGTAGAATTGTCGATCATGCCTTCATGCCAGTATCTTCTATGCATTGATATGCATTGCTTCATCGATTGATTGATGTTACAATTTCAGCATTAGAGCAATGACGCTTTAGAGTTACTCTAGATATATTTAGATTATAGGTACGCATATTTCAGTTTAATTATGGGATTTTGGCTTGTATGGTCCCATGAAGGTTCCTAGCTGGCAGATATAAACTTTAAGTTTAGGCAGTTACAAACAACTTGGTGAAAACTTTTGACGCATTCCTACGACTTCTCACTGGTTTGATCAATAACAGCCTTGCTGTAATCAGCCACATTTTCATGCTGTATGTTTTCAAACTTCTGGATGTAGGGTTTCATCATTTCGGCATTTACTGCAAGGGTGCATGCTCTTTCTCTTTTATCGTTTAGAGCATCTTTATTTCCTCGCTGTACCTATAAATATGTAATATATGCCTGTGTGCTGTGCATTGCTGCTAGGCGATATGAGGCTAGAACTGATGGTTTCAGGTAAGTTGTACTGATCGGCAAGTGACGGAGATACGAGACAAATGGCATGTCACGTGGAACAGGCACCCGTCACCGTTTTCCGCGTCACGCCCGTCCCCAGCAAACGTCACTCTTCTTCACTCTTGCTTCTGCCTCACACGCGTGGCTTCACAACGGCCGAGGGCAGTCCCCACACCTCGCGTGTATTTTTGACGCTGTACGGATACCACTGAGTTTATTTCTGACAAAACGTTGATTTCAGTCCAGTATGACGCGTTACGTCAATTTAGTCACTCCGTTGAATATTTTTCGTTCAAGTGACAAGAAACATTGACAAGTGACACGGTTCCTTTTGGTTTACTTATAACTCAATAACCTGATGTCGATGATCCTATGTAGACTGTTAGTGCTATGCTGGTGCCGGCACCTGCGTATGCCGGCACTAGTGGTGCCCCGGGTCAGATTCAGAGCGCCTGCGGGCACTGCCTCCCTCCGGCAGGTCCCCTACGCTGATGCCATGGGCAAGACACTGGTATTCGCCATCTACGACTTTGACCGTTTCTCGAAGCACGACCAGATTGGAGAGGTGAAACTGCCACTGTGCACCATCGACCTGGCACAGACGATCGAGGAGTGGCGCGACCTGGTCAGCGTCGAGGGAGACGGCGGTCAGGTGAGATCCGACCTGACCTGACCTGACCCGGCCCGGCCCGAACCGGTCGGGCGCCGGGTCGGCCGTGTTTACAGGACTGCTCGATCTCCAGAGCTGTACAGATCGACTGCTGTCGGAGAGGACTGTGAGACCTCTGAGTTGGTTGACCTCTTGTCGGCCGTCCCCAACCCCACCCCACCATTTAGCATAGTTGTGAGAGAGAACCGCCCCGTAGCAGGAATATTCAACTGCAGCAATTTGAGGTAGAACCGAGAAGTCGTCCGTTCAGATAACCCTTAGCTAGGTGCAGCTCGTCAGTTGATGTCGTAACACCTGTCCTAGAGAGCTATGTATGTTTGTAAGTACTCGCTAAGTACAAATCTATGGGTAGTTTATAGGTTCCCTTATGTCACACTCGTAGCGTCATCTCCAGAGCGCCTCTCTAGACAACGAGACGCTGGCAAAACCTGTCATCCCTCTGTATTTATTATACGCAAATGTCTGAATTAAGGCACAAGTTATGTGTTTGGTGAGATGACAGACCTTTAGGATAGCCCAGCACCAGCAAACAATACAAACGAAACATCGGATTAGATCGGCTCTAAAGCAGCAGCCCTCAGTTAGAGCTACCTACGTTTCAGTCTAATAGCTACTTAGCAGGACATAGGTATTTTTGTCCTCAATGGCTAGATCACTTTTCCAATTCCCAGCGATAGAATGTGAGTCCCAGGGTGAAATCTAATCCGTCTCCTAGCGCTAGAATTCTGCTCGTTTCCCCTAAATTCCGGTCAGTCCCGTACCTAGGCAGCACAAGTAGAGATCGGAATGCTGTGTGTTGTGCCGCCCCAATGCAGATCTAGTTATGTGTGTTTGTGTCGTGGCTTCTAACTGTTGGCCTCTCTCTTTCTCGTCTGCTTCCGTTGTGTGTGGCGCACGCCCACTCGTCTGCCCGTCTGCCGGCTCGTCTTTTCGTCTGTCCGCACTGGCACGTCCGCTCCGCTCACCACCTGACCCGACCTGACATGACCTGACCCGGCCCGACCATGTAGGCCGTAAGTCTGCTTTTAATTCGACATCATCTCTCTTCAATGTCAACCTGAAACTGCCGGATGTCTGACTCAAAGCTCACAATAGTCTTTTTACGACGTTAGGCTACGACGAGATTTATGAACTAGATTCTATTTACCAACAACTTGGTACGATGCGTGCTTCTTTGATGTTTTCAGTTTAACAATCGTCTGTGTTCTCTAGGCAAAGCATACCAAAAAGCATCCGGTCGTTTCAGATAAGGAAACGCTTGACCCATTGCATCAAACTGCGTCGTATTTACGTCATGCATGTCGTTACGCTCGTTTGCCATAAACGCATTGCTCAAGTAACCTGCTCTAAACCGTTGATGTCGTTCGGAGCTGCCCGCCGACTTTAACCGGTGATATACATAACGGCTCGCGCACTCTGTTGTTGATATCTTTCCGTTGCCGGCGCGGACTGACCACCTCTGGTTTGCCCCGCCCCCACCCGGCCCGCCCTGCTCTACCCTGGCGGCACCGGTGCTCTCTTTTCTCTGCCCCTCTCTGTCTGTCACCGCTCCCGCCTCCGACCTGGTCGTCGCGTTGCCGTGAGTACGGTCGTACCTGACCCGGACGCCGTAGTGGCTATAGGCCCGTCCCGGGCGCGCAGCTAGAGCCAGAGCGAGGTCCCGGTAGCCGGCGCCCCGGCGCTGGGGCGCCCCTCAGCCCTGTTCCCGTGTATTGTAGCCGCGGGCCGCCGCTGGTGCGGCCACTAGCCTGGTTTGTCTAGGGCCAGCCTAGATTGTATCAGACAATTTAGCTTGCGGTGTACTTTTCGCAGATGTTTGAGTAAAGACAATGCCAGAGTCTCGATAAATTGAACAAATAAAAAGGTCCTCAATGGTCTTTCCCGAGCCGATAACTTCTTCATTTGCAAAGCTTCGCTTTGGGTAACCTGTCCAAACCTTCGTCCAAACATGGGCAACCTGTTTTTGTTGATAACAGGCGAATTGAGGAGCATTAAATGGATTTGAAATTCTAATAATGAAAATAAAGTCATTTGTGTAAGCAGCAGCCCCACCTATCTCCAAAGCTGCTAATATGAACGCGAAAGACGGTTGGAAGAGTTGAATAATGCTTTCTTACACTTCAATTTATCGAGATCGGCATTGGCTTCCGTCAGTTTTGCTGGACCACTGACGTGTTACTAGGCTGTTGAAGGACTTTAGCGATGACTGGCGTCTCTTATCAGCGTACTTTCCTAGCGATCGCTTTAGTAACAGTCGAGTAATTTTATGTGGTGTTTGTGTCTAGGAACATAACGTTAGTACATGTCCGTTTTGTGCTGTGTTCTAGACGTCTTTTCTTGTAGTCATCTGTAGCAGCGATTATATCGTAATAACGTTCTCTGCCGTTGGCGTGACACCTATTACACTCACATACACCACACACACATACACACACGACCTATCATCACCCTCTCAGTACCCACAATGCACCACTGAGCTGCTGGATCGGAAACAACTAAAGCACCTCTCGAGATGACAGCTCGCAATCATAAAGAGCCCCTTACGATTGCGAGCTTTCATCAATGCGATAGATCGCAGCTAAAAGTCAATCCAACTCCAGTTTGGCAATGCAGCCCTCAATTCTAGTGTGGGCACTGTCAGTCGACATTCTGCTGTGTCGATGTGTCAGGGGCTTTACCCGTGTCTCTGGGTGACACGGGGGCCGGCCCGCCGTCCCCCAACCTATCGGCGCGGTGGGAGGGTTCCAGCCGGAGGCGTGATGACGTCATCGGTCGATGACGGCGCCGGCCGGCGCTGGTGAGTGGGGCACGAGCCAACTGGGACCAGCGCGGCGCGGCGGCAGGGTCACTGGGCAGAGGAGGCAGAAAGCATCGGACGAGGGGGAAGGCGACAGCTGTCAGTGGACAGAGGGGGCGCGACACAACTGGGACCGGCGTGCCGACAGGGTCACTGGACAGAGGAGGACGGACGGGGCAGTGGTTACTGGACTGGACGAGGGGCAGGGTCACTGGGCAGAGGCGGCAGGGTCATTGTACAGGGGGCGCGAGCCAACTGGGACCAGCGCGCCGACAGGGTCACTGGACGAGCACGGGCCAGCGATCACTGGACGAGAGGCAGGCGACAAATGATCATTGGATAAGAGGGCAAAGTGGTCACGGGGCGAGGAGCAGGCGGCAGCATTACTGAAGGAATAAAAAGCGGTCACTGTATATACGACTGGACAGCGGTCACTGGACAACTGGTCAGCGGTCACCGAATGATTGAACACTGAGCGAGCAGTGAGCAGACCCACGGACTGCTCAGGAGCGATCAATGGTCGGATGCGAACGACCGGTTAGCCAGGCGGTAGGCCTACATACGAACCAGCTGGGTCAACACATCGATCAAACATCATAGGACAAGGGTCAAGGGACATGTAGAAGAAGGGGGCAAAGCTGCTTATCGGTGTGCTGCCAATTCGTTGGCACGTTTTATCTGCAATATTCACTATTCAGCATATCATTTATGACAAAACATGCAGCAGCCTAGCAGAGGAAATTTCTGCTGATCGGCTGGACCAAAACCTCGTGCGAACAGACAAACCGGTCGATGTTTCTCTGACCCACTGTCTCGACCGTGCGGGACACCTTTGTTAGCTGGCCACACAACGCCGGTGGCACCGGGTCACCTTCATCGGTCGATGGCGTAGATACTGTGATCTGTGGCGAAGTTACTGTGACGTAGCTTCTGACACTCAGCCGGCCCCGTGACCGATCGACCGGCAGATTCCTGGCGTCATGTGCTCCGAGAGATTCCTGGTATTTATGTGCTCCGGATGTTCATTGACCGGCTGCATTGCCAGTACTGTTTGCTTGAGATACCATGGCCGGTAATAAGATGTCGAAGTGTCGATTAATAATTCAGAGTACAGTCTGAAAAATGGAATTCATCAGGCCTCACTTTTGTTTTCATATCCTATGTCGACCTTAGTACACGTCTAGGTTCCGTCTGAGGTTCCGTCTTCGGCCATTGCAAGAGGAAAAAACATTATAGATCTCCGACTTCCCACAGATTTTGTACGCAAAAAGTGTGTGGATGTTCAATGTTTCTGAGGTTTCTGAGGTCGCAACATTTTGCAGCCGCGGCGGACAGCTCAGTCGTGATTTCTACCCCACCTCCCGGCGCCCCTGTCACCATTCATTCAGTGGACTCGGCCGGCACGTTATCGACCTGACAACCGAGACATCGACTGGGTCGCTCCTCCCCGCGGCCCGCTCCCTCCATTATTGAGCGGCACGGGCCTCTTCTGCCGCCGCCTCGAAAGGCCACTGCGGCGAATAGATGAGGCCCTTCTCCTCTATCCAGTCCCGCAGACGGCGATAGGAGTCCATGGTGTCGAGTAGACGCTGGCTTTCATGATTGCAATTTCGTGTCTTTGGGGTGAAGCTGCCCTCAGAATTAGCAGTTAAGATCCACTAGCTCGACACATAAACCATCAGTCAAACGATAGCAAAAACGGGACATTTATACGATGAAGTACAAATGTTCCGTACCCGACAGTGCATAGCACACATCCACATTGCACATAGCACAGTTACATGCATACCTACCACTACATTCCTAGCACCGCAGCCGTCTCTAGAAACGGACTACTCTAGTACTCATGAGTGTGCGTGTAGGTGAGTGTGCGTGCGTGTGGGCGTTTGCGTGCGTGTTTGCGAGCGTGCGTGTGTGTTTGTATCCACCAAAGCGCTGGAGGTTAATGATGGGACTGACACCGTCCAACTTATGACCCCGACAGGAAAACAAGCTGGGTGACATTTGCTTCTCGCTGCGGTACGTCCCGACGGCTGGCAAACTGACGGTCGTCATCCTCGAGGCCAAGAACCTGAAGAAGATGGACGTCGGTGGACTATCGGGTACGTATATTTCTGCAGCTGCGAAACAAATAAAGCTGTATGGTTAACCGGAATAGGAGAAGGTGTCGTCGCTGCAAATTTTGTAAAGAGCTTTTCAATAGCAAAATGTTTGGTGTGGTCGTGACATGGGCAGCCTTTCGACACATAACTGATAACACACAAAACAAAATAAGCAATCACGTGAGACACGCTTTTAACACGACCTTCTGGTATCGTGCATGTCTTAGGATTTAAAAACAAAATGATGTGTGAAACGTTGCATTCTTGTAAGAGACTTTCGTATCGGAATAGGCTAATTTGAGTATGATTAGTTACGGCAAATATCTACATATGTACCGGCGCCAATACTTTATTTTCAGATCCATATGTAAAACTAGAGCTGCATTTAGGCAATCGTAAACCAAGGAAAAAGAAGACGGCGGTGAAACGAAAAACACTCAACCCCTATTTCAATGAAAGGTTTACTTTCGAAACCATCACCAAGCAGCAAATTGAGGTATCCATTTGGGTTTAAATCGTCTGGTCAGATTTCCACAGGGTGCACGGGAATCGCATGAGGTTGCAGAGGCGCGATTATTCCTCGAAACTGAAGGATGATCAATGGTGCACGGTAATCAAGAGTTGTGCTGTGCTTTGGTGAAATTGTGGCGGTGGCAATGACGAAACTTCGGAAGAAATGCTACACGGGGTTTCCAATGTCATCGCATGTGCGTTTATATCGCTACACAGCAACAACACACAAACCGAACTATATAAGCAAATGTAAATTTCGTGGCAATCGCCGGTAACACCTTCCTCTCTAAATCGTTGTGTGAATGTCGAAGAAGGGAGTGAAACGTAGCATTTTCGTGTATAAACTACATAAACTGGTCCTGCACTCTGCAACGATAGAGCATTAGCGCAATCCAGCAGCGCTAGGGCCGCCATACCGTTATACCGAGTCAAGGTGCCATGCGGGACAGTATCCTTTCAGGCGCAAACGCCTAGTGACATCTAGCGGCAGGATTGTAAGTAGTTGAACCGCAGCGTCAGGCGTTCAGTGACGCCTCCAAAACACAGAGAACGACTATTCTGACGCCGTTTTCGAAACTTAAGGTTTCTGGACAACGAAGTTCAAACACTTTCGTGTCATTGATCGGGCATTGTCGAATGTACCGAGTCGGCCTATCCCGACATTGGAGCTGGAGTGAGGTCGTCGAAACCAATCGCAAGACGCAACGTGCTCAGTAAATTTATGGAGACACTGAGTCACTAAACCCATGCATGAACCTACCTATTGGTAATCCTAAGATCTAATAAGCTCACTTGTTATAAAAAAAATCAAGTGACAATTCAAGTGTTGCTGTGACCTGTGTTCAGTGCTGTGATGGGATTCCGTTCACATTAGGTATTTTTGGGTGTTTTATTTGCAATGTTAAAGGGCCGTTTCATTTAACGTTTTCAAGTGTGTGGGTGATACATGTCTTCAGGCATTGTATATACGTGAGCATGAAGTTGGGGCCCACTTCGGGATTTTATTTGGTAGCTACCGAGTTTTCAATGGTCTGTGTGGGGTTTCAGATCCTTACGTGAAAATAGCCCTGATGCAAAACGGCAAGCGGCTGAAGAAGAAGAAGACCAGCATCAAGAAGTGCACTCTGAACCCCTACTATAACGAGTCATTCACATTTGAGGTTCCGTTTGAGCAGATCCAGGTAAGGTTCAACTTCCATCAGTGGAGTAATTGCGTAATCCCGCGACGTTTAACTGCTGCAGAACACATCCAATGGCTGTAAACGAATTATCAAAGACGCTTGATCCATTAATGCTTGCGATAAACTAAACTAATTCCAAGCGGGCAACGTCTGTTTTGAATTGGCAGGTGAGGCATACTTAATTTTAACGTCACTTTGTGTGGGCCTTCAGTTATACATGCTGGCGACCATTGATTTTAGAAAGTATAATCCGTGTCAACGCTGCTGACGCGACGTTCTGGTGCACCACCCGCCGCGTCACGGCGCGCCGTGACTGTACCGTACGTCTGTGCTTTGGTGGCCCGCTTATCTGTGCTCGTGCGGTCGCTATTTGTTCGACATTGACGCCACCCTGCCCCCGTGGTTGCTGTAGTCGCCTGTTTGTTCCGTTCGCTCCTGACACGCCACCCGGCGCCCTCCGAGCAGAAGGTGCAGCTGGTGGTGACTGTGGTGGACTACGACCGGATCGGCACCTCGGAGCCCATCGGAAAGTGCGTACTGGGCTGCACCGCCTCCGGCACCGAGCTGCGCCACTGGTCCGACATGCTGGCCTCGCCGCGCCGGCCCATCGCCCAGTGGCACACACTCAAAGACCCAGAGGACGGTGACAAGAAGGACTAAAGCAGGTCAGACGTTGGCGGTTTATACGAGCAGTAAAACCATAACAGAAGAGAGAGAGAGAGAGAGAGAGAGAGAGAGAGAGAGAGAGAGAGAGAGAGAGAGAGAGAGAGAGAGCCTTGGTGGACATTGGTATGGTGTGCCGTTTTCTACGCGATCAGATCAATTAGGAGCTAGGAAGGCGTACTGATTCATGATTGCAGAGGAATTGGGCGTCCCTGTCAGATGGAGCAGGTGTCCTCTGTCGAGAGGCCCTCCGTGTCACCGGTATCGCTGCTGGCGGCGACTTGTGTCAAAAGACTGTGAGGGACATTTGGCATCCCGTTTTGCCCGGAGTTACCTGTAGCACAGTGCCCGCTATCCAGGATCTGACACCCCACCGTGTCTTCTGTCCACAGACCACAGGAGCTGGGCTCGGGGATCAGCGCAGCAAGCTGGCCGATCCGAGGAAAGCACACGCTGTGAGGCCGACTGGCGGGCCGGGCCGGGCCGGGCGCCGCGCCCACAGCCGCCGCAGCAGACACTGGTCCGGCCCGGCCGGCGCCGGTGCGCGCCGCACGGCCCGCCCGGTGTGTGCGTGTCTCCGCCGTATACCGAGTAGTTGTTGTGCGTGTGCTGGGCGGCCGCTGCCGCCGGATAGTGTTGGTGCGTGTGACTCGGTCCCTGATGTCGGCATGCGGCGCAATCAGTTGGCAGTTAGCCGTGCCAAAGCGCGTGCTGGGGTGTACCGGCCGGGCGCGGCGACCGCCGACGGCCGCTCTCCGTCGGCGTCTCTCTCTCTCTCCCTCTCTCCGGCCGTCTGTCGCTCTGTCTGTCTGTCGTCTCCCCCCTCTGTCCTTGTCTGGTCTGCGTCTGCGCCGCTCCGCTCGCGTCGTCAGTGTGGGTGGGGGCGGCCGCTGTTCCCCATATCAGCGCGCTGGCCGGCCGACAGGGCCGCGCCGCCGCCGCCGCACCACCACCACGTAATCACCGCAGTCCGTCGCTGAGTGGAGCCGCTAGTGTTGTTTTTATTGTGTGCCAGCGTTTGGAAAGCATTCTTGTTCATGTTACTGTTCAGTGGTAAGATCCCCGTGAATGGTCTCTGCGTGGTTCGCGCGCGAACACGCTCGTTTCGTTATTTGTGATGCATATATCATAGCAGTTACCCTTCTGTACATACAACTTAGCGCATATGTATACACATGAATATATATACAAGTTTTTGTCAGATGAGCTATTAATCACTAGGTAGGTACACTGTAAGTAATGTGCAAATACAGTGACCAGTGAACACAAATGGTTTCATCGCAATTCCAAATGAACAAGTAGACAAAACCCGCCTGAGGATGAGCTCAACTATATCGTCTTGTCTCACAAGTCACCAGTCTCACAGAAACAAAACACACGCTGAATATAGCTGATATATATTCATTATTCATAGGTGATTTTCATATCAGAGTAATTCCATCAATCGAGTAAATAGACATCTAGCTCATCAGACAACCACTGACAGTGAAAGCCTATCGTGCCGGGTACGTTCGGCCGGCGCTGTAGTTTTGTTCACACAAGTCGCGGCCCAGCCACGCAGCGCCGGTCCCGGCCAACCGCACACCGCAGCGACCTCCACAGTCGCAAACGACTAGCAGAACACACATCAATTGACCTAACAGTGAATTTGGCTAAGCAGCTCCCTCGATCTCCTAGCAGTGCGGGCGGTCCGTCCCGCCGCCTCTGGGTGCAGTGATCACAGCGGGCTCCGCCGGCCCACATACCGAGCGGCCGCCGGCCGCGGTCCCGGCAGCGTGGCCCGGCGGCTGAGCCCGGGACCGGCCGCGGTCTCCGGCGGTCCGCCGACGGTCCGCTGGTCCCCGGTCGGTCTCAGTGCGTGTGCGTGCTCAGGTTCATCTGGTCCTTTGGTTGGCGCGAGTGTCTCCGCCTGAGCGTGGCCACCGGGGCCTGCGTCTTCCTTCAGTGAGGGAGCCGCATACGGGAGCACCCGTACCCGAGTCGAGGGGGCTACAAAGTCCCTCCCCCATCTACTATCACCAACCAAACCGATCACGATATAATCATAGGAACACTACAAGAAGCAACTGGTTACATCATAGCCCAACCAAACCGATCACAAATATTCATAGGAACTAAACAGTTTTAGCCTACATCATGCAAAATAAATCTCAAGATAATTAGAAAATCGCAGAAAAATCACATAATTTTCCAGGTCTCACACGTATGAGCAAAATTTCAGATGACAGTTGGAATGAGTAACTACATTCGACCTTCTCAATCATTTCGGTCAGAGTCGACAACACGCGGCATCGATATGCTGACAACGGCGACATTAACCCGGTTTACATAGCATATTTGACAAGGCTCTAGCTCGTTGATTTGGCGATAATTTCGATGCAGTGGTCTTCAAATATTTAGAGGGGATCATTTTGTAAATTGTTCAGTACCATTGGCATCTTTTGCAACATCACGGACGGAGATATAAGCTTGCAACAAGCCCTATGTAAACGCGTCTATTGATATGCCGCCTCTTTCCCCGGACAAAACTCATCCAAACCACCGATGAAAACAAACAAAAAGAAAACAATTGAACACAAGAAGAACACAACGGTGTGAGCGACGTGAAACTAAATTATTGAGAGGCGATCTGCCTATTATGAAAACGCGTCACTCGTGTATTCATGAGCTGTAAGCGTTGGCCCCATTAAAAGGTCGGGTACCGGAGCTTGGAAAAATACCCCCAGGTCCATTCAAGCTCTTTTAAAAGCATCTCCGTAAATCAGGAAATCATAGTGAATGCCAACGCATCCCAAGGATGCCCTATGCTCTTGACCGTGTATAAAATATTGCCAAAATTAGAAGTGATGATGCGACAGAGGCGTACCCGACCAACCACCATAGAAAGGAGTAAAAAATGTGAAGCAAAAGAGCTGGTGAGTCATTATGAAACCGCAAAACTTGCTTCCACTACAAAGCAGCGCCAAAAAGTGAGAACGTAAAGCAAAAATGAGACCTAAGTAGCGCAGTTACCCGAGCCTGAAATTCTATCTATCTAGCAGCCACGGTGTAGCTATCACTGTCCGTTCTCTATCAAACGACGAACGGAGCCATGGAAAACTGCCATCACAGTTCAGGGCGGCAGCCAGACTCAAACGCTCCCTTGACCAAGAGTGGGGCTGAGGGCGACGGCCAGCGCCGGGCCGAGCACAGCAGCGGTAGAGGGCTAACTCCGGCGCCCGATAGGGGTCTGGGTCCGACGGTCAGCAGCAGCTAGGTCCAATGACCGGTGGGGAGATATTTCAAAATCCGGTACATCCCCTACACTATTCAAAGGCTAACCGGAGGTGGGAAAGGGTCATGGGTACACCGGTTGGGTCCACGTAAAGGGTGCTGCTACCGCCCGACTAACACTTGGCTAGTGAACGTTGGCAATCCAATGAGCTATGTCTCGGCAGAGTTGTGCCGCCCCTTCCCGACTCAGGGACATAAGTGTGTCAACTGCAGCGGACCAATAACAGCTGCTGCCGTCCCATTTTCACACGTCCGTCTATCACTCGTGCATCACATACATAGATGCCTTGCAGCTGCCTCAGCCATGTCGTAGCCCAGACATATGTGAATGCCTGGGACTTGCCTCGTTCACGTCCCACGCAGCTGCATTTTCCCGCTATACGGCCGTGCAGTGTGCGTCAGTCACGGCGAATTCCCTCCGTTGAGCCGCCTAGGTTGTGCGCTAGTAGGCAGTCAGATTTGTTTCTTGGTGCGCCGCCCGCAGCCGCAGCAGCCGCTACCTTCCTCCAACCGCTCGACGCCGCGGCCGAACAGACGTATTGCGCGAGGGTGCACCCTGTAGGGGAGGGAAAGACGGTTAGAGGGTAAGATACGCCTACTAAGTGTGGAATCCAAAGGAGAAAGAGGACATAAAGCGGCTGCATTCGTACGATACACTGCAAATATCTAACAACGGCCAACAACAAATACTCTCGAATGTGAGCAGAGTTACAAAACTGACATCGCCAAGGGTGCCTGTATCTAAGTCGTGGGTCCGATCTTACCTGAGATTAACGGCCGGGTCGGCCACCACCTCGCCGTCACAGTTCCACACGCTGTCCAGGGGCCGGCGGCCGGCCGGCGCGGTGTCAGCGGCGGCGGTGCGCTCTGGTGCGCGCCACTCGCCGCCCGCGGCTGTCGAGTCCACCGACATGGCCAAGTTGATGTGCGCCTCGCCGAGCAGTCGCTGGTCGTCGCCAGTAGACTCCGGTAGCAGCTCAAACTCCTTCACACGGTAGTACTCGACGAACGGCAGGTCAAACTGTCCGCAGACAAACAGAGACAGGTTCAATAACACGATCAGTACAAAGATCATACAGCGTACGGCAGGCCAAACTGCGCGCAAACGCACAGCTAGACAAAATCACACGGTCAATATCAATACTCAAGTGGAATGAGCATTGAAGTGACAAATCAGATAAATGTTGATTGTCGTTTTTTTTTTGCGCACATGAATATTGACTACGACCACTACACTTTTTAAGTTGTGAGAGAACTGCAAACTCTATGTAGTCAGAGCAGTCTTCCCTCTCATACGGATCCTACAGACCTCTCTAGTAACTTTCTTTTCCCCTACAACTCCCGCTCATGCACCCCCTCCACGCAGAACTCACCGGCGCCTTTCCGGCCGCCGACCGGTACATGTAGCGCAGGAAGTTGGCGCGGGACGTCTGCCGCACCAGGATCAGGTGCGCCCAGCCGTCAGACAGGTGTGCCCGCGGACACATCCCCTCGGGCGTGATCTTACAGCGGCACGACACGTTGGCACTGCTGACAACCAGGAACGGCCCGCTGACGCGGTGCCACTCGCCTAGAGAACAGATACAGGAGGTGAGCGGAAGGGAGATGGACGGCGGAACGCCTGCAGTCGGAACACATTCGGAGCAGTGTGAGAGAATTGACATAGGGTGATAAGTTCTTTTTTTTTGTACCGGCCCAGTACCATGAATGAATGACATCTTTTCTTGTAGGGTTAATGCAACAACATTTTATCATTTTAAAGGGAAAATATTAGACGGGGGCAGTAAGCGTCTATTCAGACTTCTGTTAAAACGGTGGTGGGACAACAAAAACTGAGACAATAACATGAACCAAGACACTTGATTCCCGTGTTGACCCGGCGTTTTCCGGTGGCACTGACCGTCGTTCTGGCCCTGCGTTTCTCCCTCGGCTTCCACCGGCTCCCGCAGACAGACGTCACAGTCGGCAAAGCACGGTTTGTGCGGTTCCATGGCGCCCGGAGCCGTACGGAACGCCACGGAGCCGCGGTAGGCGCGGCTCCGCCAGAACCGGCCCGCTCCTGAACGATAGAGGGCGCTGGGCGTCACCGGTGGGCGGCTTACATGGCACCAATGGAAAGGTTTGTCGGTATGTCACACATCATAACAGGACGTAGCTATAACATGGGCACAGCTTTGTCCCTATCGGTTAAATGCCGCACACACAGACCCACAGTAGCTAATGTGAATAACTGCAAAGGCCAAATAGCAGAAAAAAAGAAAATATGCTTAGTTGAATTGGAACCTCAGGTATTCTGGTATGTGTGTGATCAAAGGAAGGCACTTGGCAAACCGAGATAAGTCAGCATCTCGGACCTTGAAAGCCGTGCTCCCATTACGTGCACTGCATAACTGCGGCGTTTACTTCAAGATACGTCACACCAATGACAAATGACCTCCCTACGAGCATCGCACACTTGTCGAGGCCGTCAGATATACGTGACATGGCATGATACTCTCTCACGTCCCATACAGACCCGAGCCAGACACTTGTGACCCGAGGTCGCGGGCGCACAGAGACTGTCGGAGTCACGTCCCATGCCCACACATGGCTCTAAGGTAATGGCTACGTCCCTCTGTTCTCTAGTTAAGTACTCTATTCAAAGTTTGGCCACACCCTCTCCGCCATTCTCTCTGTCGGCGTGGCCCCAGTGCGCTGACAGTCACTGACCTGCCACGTTGTAGCGCATCGGTCCCAGCCAGCGCAGCTTCTCACTGTCCTGTAGCACGTCACCGAAGAACCCGTAGGTGATCATTGAGAGTGAGTATCGCAGCAGCTGGCCGGCGGTGCGGAGACTGCACACGTCCACCCAGCGGGTGACACCTGCGGGAATAGCGGACATAGGACACAAGTCACAGCGGGTCACAGCAGACTGCACGCGTCCACCCAGCGGGTGACACCTGCGGGAATAGCGGACATAGGACACAGGTCACAGCGGGTCACAACAGACTGCACACGTCCACCCAGCGGGTGACACCTGCGGGAATAGCGGACATAGGACACAGGTCACAGCGGGTCACAACAGACTGCACACGTCCACACAGCGGGTCACACCTGCGGGGCAGGGCATAGGTCACAGCGGGTCACCACACACGTCCACCCAGCGGGTCACAGGTCTGTGGGACAGGGCATAGGTCACAGCGGGTCACAGCAGACTGCACACGTTCACCACACCTGGGGAACAGGGCATAGGTCACAGCGGGTCACACCTGTGGGGCAGGTCACAGAGGTCACAGACTCACAGCGGGCCACACCTCCGGGGCAGGGCATAGGTCACAGCGGACTACACACGTTCACCCAGCGGGTCACACCTGTGGGACAGGGCATAGGTCACAGCGGGTCATTCCTGCGCAACAGGACACAGGTCACAAAAGGTCGTAGGGGCCACAACTATACAATATGGCACATGGAGGTTACATCTGGGGTCAAGGGTTACCACAAAGGGTCACACCTGTTCACCAGGTCACCGGTCATAAACGTGTCACCGGTTACATATGTATGCTACACAAGATACACCGGGCCACATCTGTAAGCACACGAGAACAGGTCACGGGGTATAAATCGGTCGCCAATGGCCCAGCTCGCTATGTCAGCGCGAAACCTCGATAGCTATGCATTAGCCAGCCCACCCGCCCCCTCATCAGACACCATATTGGGAGCCATCGTTATGACAGTCGCCGGGCAACCAAACGGGACGGTGTGACGGAGCGTCCTACACATCGCTCGTCTCTACAATGCTGGGCGGCGTGTCCGACATGGCGCATCGTCAACTATTCATTGACACCGACACTGACAAGACATTTTCCGACAGACCATTCCTATGGGATACGAAACGTGGACTGTGTGATGGGAAATTCAATGATTGAAAAGTGTTCTTATAAGCAGAAGAGCAGTCATGAAGATCCTGCGATCTGCCTAAAGCTTCTGCAATTAGGCATCTATTTCTAGCTATGCTTTACAGTTTTCGTAACACTCGCATGTAGCAATTTCAACACTCAGCCATTCTAACCGCCTAAAAAGGCAGAGTAAAAATAATGTCCTCTGTGCAGCGACCAACGCTCGTTATCACCGCTTGGGCAGCTGAAGCGTGCAGTGTGGTGTGGGCTTTAGCGACCTTCACACAGAACCACGGCCGTGTGACGTCACGGTCGGACCACACGCCCCTCCCCCTCCCCTCCTCCCCTGACCCCAGTGCGCCGAGCCGTGACCCGCCGCGGCCCAGCCGTCGTTACCGGCCTGTTGCTACCGCGTATCCGGGCAACGGCCGTCGGGCGGACGGCGCGACGCGGCGGAGCGAGGCTGGGAAGCAGCGCGGGCTCGGAAGCAGCGAGGGCTGGGAAGGAGCGAAGGCATGGCGCAGCGAGGGCTGGGGCGGAGCCAGGGCTGGGTCGGAGTCCGCACAGGTCGGCTTCTAGCGCTAGTCGCAGTATCCCCTGGCCCATACACGACTGTCAGCTACACAAACTCGGCTTTGAAACACGTGAAACCACCCACATCACATGCTGACTTCTGACGGTAAAATAATGCTTTGCGGGTGTTCATTGCTAAGGTAAAAAAGAAATAACACCCGTAAAATTTCCAACCAAGCGGATGTAGGGTAAATCAAGTGATTCTCTAGTTTATGCTAATCGCGAAGTGACATTGACAACTACAATTGTGATGTGCGGTTGGTTAGTTGGGGACGGCACAGGCCCGACTCGACTGTGTGCTGCTCCTCTGGACGCACTCCCTGCCCCCCCCCCCCACTACCCCTCCCCCTGCCGTGTAAGCCGGCCGGCGCCGCCCGACAGGCGCTCTCGGGGCGGCTCTCCTCTGATTAGCCGGGTATTGAATGGGCCGTAGCAGAGCGGGACAGAGGAGAAGAGAGCGAGGGGAGAGGGGGAGAGGAGCAGAGGGCAGAGGGCAGAGGGGAGGGGCGGTAGTGCGGCTGGTGGGGCACGATCTCCATCTCGGAGGAGGCGGGGAGGGGGGGGGTCTCTCACACGCGGCGCCGATCATGATCCACCCGTCAGCTGAATATGTGTAAGCGGGAAGTGGAAAGCTGACTTAAGAGATTACAAGACGTTAACGCGCTGCAACAAACGAGTTATTGTTACCGAGTGTCAACCAGTGTTAAATGTCGGATGCCATCAGGTTTAACACCAAATCATGCTATTACTTAAATTTGGTCATACGGAATGGATCTAGGTATACATAGAAACGCTTAGTGGAAATGTAAGCGCCCGACCGCAAGCCTCAGCCGCTGCTGCGTGCCCGCGGGGCTGAGTGGGTGAAGGTCAGAGTTGGCGAGAGAGGCGACCGGCGAGCAGAGCAGCTTTGAGCAACGGCTCGCTCCAGCGCAGCAATGAAGAAACCGGCACGGTGGTTATACAGTGAGACTTAAGATGTAAAAAATGCTAAATCATAGAAAGGCTGCTTGAAAAAAAAACTGGGGCACACCTTGGCATGGGTACGCCAGTTGGATCCGCTACCGGAGACTTCCCGAATTCAATATAGGGTCCCACTCGGGCCCGATTCGGGTCCATACCTATGGGTTCTACAAATCGTTAATTCGGGTCCAATACAGGGCCTATCTAGGTCTAATACATGTCCCCATCTGGGTCCGTCAGTTGGTCACCTAACCAGGTGTCGGCGCTGGCCCGTTGGCCATCTGGTCCCGCTTATAATCAGCGCATAGCGATGGAGGCCACCTGCCGCTCCGTCCGACAAATCAGCCGGCCGGCGGGCGGGCGGACGGACTGGACAGCTTCCCAGAGAGGCGGACGGACAGGCCGGACAGCTTCCCAGAGGGGCGGGCGGACGGACCGGACAGCTTCCCAGAGCGGCCGACGGACAGGCCGGACAGCTTCCCAGAGCGGCGGGCGGACAGGCCAGACAGTCTGCCCGCCGGGGACGGGGCTGGCGCCGCGCCGTCCGCTGCACGGCTCAGCGCCCCGGCATTTCCGGCCCGATGTTTGCACACAGCGCGGCCGTCGCAAACGCCAGCGGTGTGGAATCACTTTCACTTTCTCTTCCGAATCCCGTTTTGGTGTTAGGCTAAGTGCAATGTAACAGTGGAATTCCGCAAGCAGAGTTTGTATACGAGTTAACTAATAAGTCTGAAACTTCAAAGCGAGCTCATGAATTCTGTCATTTCTAGAGCCTCTTGTCGGTATTTGTCTGCGGCGAGTGATGCCTATTGTGATGCTTCAAACTCGAGTACGACAATTAATAACGGTCCCCCGGTACACAGGCACCGTCCGTCAGACCGGGGCGGCGTCAGTAATCCGGTGTGCTGGATATGGGAGGCACGCGATAGCGGGGCGGTGCCGCCCGCGCCCTCCTATCAGAGGCGATAAGGGCTGGTGCTGATTCACCGTCCGCTGAAAGCCCAGGACGGTACGGTGGTCCTTGACTGACACCGAAATAGCCCGTGTAGCTCAAAGTATCACAGCCCCATCGCATTTCCGGTTAGCACGGAACAATGCAGGCACCCTATTGCACACACGTGCAACACCGGTGGTAGGACGACCGGTGTTGGAAGGTGGCCGGACCTTCCAACACTTCCTGGGATACCCTTTCAACCTGCTCGGTACTTACCCATGACGATGAGCAGGGCGGCAGTGACCGGATCGGCTGTCCCTACGCTGCCGCAGACGGCGTCCGTGCTACCCGCTGCATAGGGGAAGGAAAGACACGTCAGTTGCACTGGACGTTTTCCGATGACGACACAGCTTTAAAACACATCACACCAGTCACTGTCAATTTCCAGTGACCTATATTGCTATTCGCATTGCCTAGCATCGGAAGCTAATTAAACATCTAACGAAATGGAGCACTCACAACTGAAAAATAATACAGCATAGTCACAACTTTCGTTGATTTCATGAGCGATGGGTTCATATTCACCCATTGTTTCAGCTATCGAGCTGCAAACTCGGTGACTCCCCCTCTCCTCTCACACCCCCCCCCCCCACCTGCCCGCTGTTTACCCGTCCCGCCCAGTATCCACCTCCACTGACCGGGTATGACGCCGATGGGCAGCGGCGCGCAGGGCGGTCGGTCGGACCCGTCGGGCGAGGGGCGCGTCAGCAGGCCGTTGAGCGCCTCCATCAGTGTGCCGTCCCCGCCTACCACCACCACGCCGTCCTGGCCGTGCAGCGAGCACCGGCGCAGCATCGTCAGCGCGTGGCCGGCGTGTGTGGTCTGGACCACCTCCGTCTGCGCACCGTACAGCGGTCAGGTTCAGCTGGCACGCGGTACAGCGGTCAGACTCCTCGGCGCATGGTGCAACGGTCAGATAAGTTCAAACGATTACAGATGTACAATTACAAATGAGCCCAGCTGTGTGATTTCTCGTGGTTCTGCCGACTCCAAACGGTACCCCATCGCTACTGGCCTCCCCTAATCAACCCCTCCCCAAGCGGGCAGGCCCGACCGTAACAGCTGAGCCGGGGCCACTGCAGGGCGAGTCGGCAGCAGGAGCCACGCCGACAATCGACCCAGCCGACATAGCACAACTAATGACGAAAATGAAGGCCTACACAACACATTATGTCCGGCGCACGTAAACACGGCGGCACAATAGTGCAAGAGTATATACCTACGATACGATACGGATACTACACAAAGACGGACAGTGGTGTCAGAACAGAAAACTACAATGTCAAAAACTACTATGTCATGTCTTAACGAATCATCGTGAACGATAAACAGAGCACAACAGCACACAGCGCGACATGGATACTGCACATAGGCACACACGCACAAGCACAACACCGGTGAATTGCTAGAGTAGTCAATTGGCTACCCAAACCATTATACAGCTTAAGCTTAGGAGATTATCATTCTATCGAAGACCAAAGAAGCAACAAATGCAAATAAATGTAACATTTAACGGCACTACCGCGGCACTACCGAGTCTATGTCTACAACCACACAATATGTGGCTAAGTTAATCTATCCGACTGCGTGCATTAAAGGCATATTCTATAAGGTACCGCATGCTTCCGCCCTCACACATGCGCATTGTGCATATTATGGCAGTCGTGAGAGAGCATTCCAAGGTGAACGAGTAATATATTTATAGGACGTGCTACGAATTACCTACACGTCCACCTACATGGCATTCCCATGCTACTGTATTTCATAATCTGGGGGTCCTTTCGTCCAATTGTCTACCGGGGCAATAGGAGCAGCGGATATCCTGAACACTTATGCCCCGTTGTTGTAACTCTATGTTTCTAGTGACCGTTTGTGAAGGACGCATCGCGTCATGTGTGACCGCGGGTGGTGCTGTTTGCTGTTTCCCTAATAACGACAAGAAAGTAGCCATGTCAGCAAAAATAGCTCTATCACGTAACGGTCAAAAGTTGCGAGGTGTAGCACAGGAAAAGCAGAAAAGCTATCGAAAAATGAGAATTGCTTATTGCGAAACGAAAATCGCTAAGCCAGAGGCACTAGGCAGGTGCAACAAAAAGACAAACATGCAAAACACTATAATTATTAGGTACTTCACCTGCACACCAGCCAGCGTGAAAATGGGCTGGACCTTCTTCGTGTAAATGTTGGGCGCCTTTCGGCTGCCGCAGGTAGGGTTAATGATGACCAGCAGCCGGCGGGGTCTCTGTTCACCTGCAGTACCGGACACACGGAGAGAGTGGCCAGACATGCAGCACAAACACCCGGCCGTTAACCCCCGCTGCTGAGCCAGTTAGTCCGCCCCGACGACACACTCGACCAGTCAACAGGCATCGGTACTCGCCCCAGCATACAGACAGTTGTTAGAGCGGCTCGGGGACAATTTACGGTACTGGGGATAATGCCAGAAGATAGCATGCAACACTTACTGTTATCTGCATATTGGCAAGGTTAGAATCGGGAATCACTCCAGAGTTAAGTTACTGATTAGAATATACTTGTTTCCCTGCCATCGTCTGTCCAAATGCCACCATATCGTTAATGAGTGAGTGTGACTGCATCATCCACACAATAAGGCAAATATCATATATCAGTAGCTAGGGATATTCACTTGCTGGTAGCTGTTTCACTCTTCCACATGTATTCAATTACAACATTTAAGTTGTGCCCTGTAGCTCCCTGAAGAACTGGTGGTACATTAAACAAGTTTTAGCTGATGAGTGTTGTTACTACCACCTTCTGAGTAAAGTTTCAGCACTGGTACCTCAACAATGGTTCTCCAAATAATGTGTCTGCTGATGAGGATAGGTAGCATGAACCCATGCACAACTACTACCCCATATACCATAAAAGATAAATAATGGCATTAGAGCTGGTCGCAGATGAGGGCTGAGCACTCGCCCCATCCTGCCAAGATTTCTGCCTTTGGTGCAAAACTCACCATTCAACAGGCTCTGAAGCTGATCCACCCAAGGCTGCAGCAGAGCAATATTCTTCTGGTGGAAGTGTTGAACACGCAGCTTCCAGCGGCGACCGACTCGCTCAGCGTAGTGGACAGCGAAGGCCTTTCCGCAGGTGTTTGGAGCAGGAATGGAGCAGTCCGGAGGAGCCACAGGCACCTGGTACACTGATGAGCCACGCGGGCCACCACCAGCAGGCCGGCTCACTGCCACCACATCACACAGCCGCACGGCGTGCCGCACTGCAACAAAGGTGATAGCTTTCAGCCCTGTCAAATTGGCAGGCATGTCCTTGAGTTGATATTTGGATTACCTATACCTACTAAATATAACCAGGGACAGCATTTGCTCTAGTCATATGGGCATAACGTTAACACTGATGTTATATCACATAACTGTGACTACAGACCTACAGACTTCCAATTGTCATAATGATAATGAAGATAAAGATACTGTCGTCATCAATGGCACAGTGACAGTAATAATTTTAAGCTATATCTTCAAAGCAGCATTCAAACCATGCATACTTACGATCAGGCGCTCCTTCTGGTTCCCATGCCACATAGTTCTCGCCGATTGAAACTTTATGTCGCACAGAATTAATTTGAAAATAGCCTTGTCTGATGGGGTGGCTAGCGCCATTCTGGTTTACGGCTTGCGGTTGCGGCATGCCTGTGGATTTTCACCGTTTTTCTTCTTTAACAGAAACTTGACAGCTCATGTACAACTCATGTGCTCTACTTTCTAGATCACAAATTCATTAAAAACGCACTCAAACACCGCGACCCACCCCGCCCACACACAACCACACAGAGCACAATTTCCAAGGTATATAAAAACACTAATTTCTAAAACAAAAATGAGTTTCGAAGGAGTGCAAGGTCAACGTGATGAGCAGCTGAATCAATAGAACTTCTCTCTTTTGACGTCATAAATTCAAAGACAAACCTGAAAACCAAACTAAAACCATATGAAAACCATTATGTTCACAAGTCCAAAAAATACATTTATTGAATGTCAGTGCAGTAAGCGACTGTTTTGAAAAAAAACGTCGAAATAAAATAAAAATGCCGTTTTAAGCTATCATTGATAGTGAGACCAATCAGCGTCCTGAGTGTAATGACGTCAAAAGACCTTATTTAGGCTATTGTTTTCATAGCAAGACTTCCGCTACGGCCGGTCTTCTGATGCAGAATCTCGGATTTTGATTGGTTGCTATGAGCATGGTGTGATATCAGACACAGACAGCTAACCAATCATAACACGCGCCGCCCCCGCCCCCACCGCCGCCAGCAGCGCCCCGTCGCGACCGCGACGGGGCGCTTCTCAGGCTCTCAGCTGCTCAAGAAACTACCTCATTCACTATTGTGACGTCAAGATGGGTGCTGCGTCACCGAAACTCCTAGCAGCAAAGTGATGTTTGCAAATCTGCTACTGACGTCTGCGGTCTGACCGAGCCCTAAAATTGCTGCTGGCAGTCGGACATCGGCCGGCCCGGGCCAAAAAAGTTAGCTGCGCTGGCCGGGGCCCTGTTTCACCGGTGATAGCAGCACGCTGCTTTTACACGTGTCAAATTGGGTTTCCATGGAAACATCAACAGGCCCATTGCTCCAACACTACCACAAGTGTGACGTCAGCTCGCGCAATTTGATAGCAGCGTGGTAGCAGCGTCCCGTGAAACACCGCCCGGGGTGAATCAGCGGCAGCGGCTGAACAGCGTACCCCAAACCAAGGCCCTAAATAGGTCCAAACCGACCTAACAATGCCCGGTAGTGGGTCCACAACAGAACGGTGGTCAATGGTCATTGCTTGCCGCACCAGAAACACAGGGCAAAACAAATGCATGCGTTTATTACAATACAGCTTCGAGGTCATTCGGGACGAATCTCCGTTCGAGCTACCGCGCAGCCTAGCCCAAAGGAAGGCCAATCATCGGTCATAAAAAAAGAACACAAGCGTGCTCAGAACAATGAGATCAAAAGAATTCATGCCACCTCATTCCACATAAGTTAAATGCGTCATCGGACTGAGGAAAATCTACAAAAAACAACCGCACCAAAGACAGTAGATACGTACACACAACTTTGATCATGGCAGTGCCCGGATCAGATAATCATATAGCTATGGTAAAATATATTCGCACACACGCGCGCACGTGGGCCGGTGGAGAGGTATAACAACGTTGTACTCGGCCTATGGAATGGGCCGGTGCGGCTCGTGCGCTGACGGCCGTGAAAGACACGAGCGGGCGGGGCGGGACGGACGGCCGCCTCACCCCGTCAGCTCGATGGTCCGCGACTCGCCGCCGAACTTGAGCCGTACACGTTTTGCCGACGGCACGGCCACCTCGGGCGTCACACCGCGGTGCCGCTCGTGGCGGTGGCGCTTCTTCTTTTTCTTTTTGTGCCACGTGGCGACGGGCAGCTCGCCGATGCCCTCCAGCCGCAGCACCTCGTACTGAATCTCGCCGCTAGTGGCGCTGTCGTCACTGAAGTGGCTGCTGGCCGACTCACTGATGTCGTCCGCCGGCGGAGAGCGCTTCATGCGCAGCGTCACCTTCACGTGGCACGGCGGGGACACGGGCAACGTCAGCGCCCCCGCCGCCGCGCGGCCGCGACGGGGCGCTGCTGGCGGCGGCGGAGGCGGTGGCGGTGGGGGCGGAGGGGGCGGGGGCGGTGGTAAGACGGGCGCGGCGGCCGTCTCGACCGGAGTGGCCGAGCCGCGCCGTCGGCCCGCGGCAGTGGCAGTGGACGTCTGAGAGGCACCGAGCCGGCGCCGGGCGCGGGTGCGGCCTCCGACCGGGGTGGTGCCGGCGGCCTTCCCTGGAGCGGTACCGGCAGCCCGGCCCGGGGCAGCCCCGGTCGTCGCCGTCGTCAGGGCCGCCGCCGCCGCCGGTCGACTCGCCGCTGTCACGGCAGCGGCCGGCGCCGGCGAGTCGAGCTTGAGGCGCTGTTCGGCGATGATCTGGGCGTCGTAGCGAGTCATGCCGCGCTGTCTGAGCGTCTCGACCGTATGCTCCAGCGTGTTGGTACCCGTCGGGGGCGCCGCCTGTCGCCGACTCGAGTAGCGCAGCTGGTACCCCTCCGACTGCTGATCCGAGTCCTTCTTGGCGAACGCTCCCGTCTGCCGCCTGCCAAGTGATGGGGATAATCGTCATCGACACAACAAACACAAATCATCCAGCCACCGACAGTCAATACAGAGGTCACTCGTCACTAACACAACAGTGCCAGGTGTGTTACTGACCTGTCCTGTTACCTCACACAGAGCTCACCCGTCCCGCCCGGTCCCTCCCCGTCGCCTCTGGGCTCACCTCTCGCAGGTCTCGCACTCGCAGTAGCAGTTGTTGTCGCCGAAGAAGTCTCCGCCGTAGTTACAGGTGACCTCGTCTCCCGGCTCAATCTCACGCAGCGTGCGTACCGTGGCCGTATTGCGACCGGTCGCCACGAACTGGCGCATAAAGAGAGGGACCGGTCACACACATAAGGTCATCGTCACATAGTGGCACAATAAGGCCGGCTTAACAATTATATCTCACTGCAAGAACTGACACACGCACAGAACGGTGACGTTACATGCGGCGTCACCGTCACTCAGCGGCAAAACATAGCTAAACGTCATCACCCACCGGAAAGGCGTTTCTCACAATGTGACCTGAACAATGTGACACAACACATCCACACATCACACGCCGGGGTGGTATCACACTGATTGAGTCGCCGTAATAAGATTATACTATACAGGTGCTCCTTCAAATAATCACATAACATGAATAATCAGGGGCGCACACGACTGAGAGGATGGGAGAGGCACTATACACACACACACACACACGGCGTTACAATCCCACAGTGATACATATTCTTATCTGTTACACTTAACCGCTCTCAGCAAACTATAAGTCATTAGGGATCTAAGCAAGCCCGCTCAAACACTTGAACTACAGCCCCCTACATTAAGAGATGACAGGCCAAAATGAGCAAGCCATCTATGAATCATATTGGTGCACTGAATGCGGCTATCTCGACCGCAGAAATCACCCAGGGGAGCCATACCGTGCAGTTGGCGTTGCAGTCGTGGTTGATGTAGGCAGCAGGACCGAGCCAAAGCTGACCACACTTCTTCCTTGTGCTATACATGACGCTGAAATCGTTCTTGCCCGGGTGGAGAAATTGGTTCTCCTCCTCCTCTGAAAGTTCGGCGATACAGCCGACCAGAAACTGGATCTCCTCATTTCGGCCCCTGAAATGATCGCAGCATCAGTATGCGTGAGCCGTGGAAAAATGGGAGTGGTGGAGGACAGACGCGAATCAAATTTATGAGTTCGATTAATAATGTCAGCTTTAAATAGTATGTTAGATGATGACGATCTGTACGTCCTTAGTGTCACCAATAAGGAAGAAGCATAAGGAAGAACTGGACAATTACTTATCTCGGCCGCGATGAGTTCGATTAGCCGCAGTTCACCGGAGTAAGGATCGGTGAAGGATGCACGCCGCACACGTCTATGGAACCAGTTCCTTATCTGCGCTCAGTCGGACCGGGGCAAGGAATTTCCAGGCGGATGGATCTGTCGGCACGACATCCCATAAGCCCATACTCCGTAGTCCGTACCCGACCCAGAAACCACATGTAGAATCACGAAAAGGTAAGCTCACGCCAACCTCAATGCGCATGGCAACAGATCTCACGCGCTAGTGAGTTATTGTTTGGTGGGGCTTGTGCAATATCCGTATGTTTATGTAATTGAGCTCCAATCGCAAAAAAAAAACTTTCGTTACCTTACTTCGGGTAAATTCAGTAGGTAAGAAAAACATCAATAGAGTTGCAGAATGTCCGTCGTTAAAAAATGCACATCCACCGTCTCCGATTAGTTGGCCAAGTTTCGGGTATTCAATTATTGAATTGTATGTGGTGACCGTTCGGGGTTCTACACCAGCAGTATACTCAGTGCTGCCGTCACTGAGCAGTGTCAGTGCGCGTCAGCACCGCTCGACAACTCACCAGGCCTTGGTGGAGCAGACCCGGGCGCCTGCGTTGTCTTCCAGCGAGTATCGAGTGCAGCCCATGATGGAAATGCCCGACTCCACGTCCAACACGCCGAGAAACCGCATTATCTGCAACGAAACAGCGACAGTCAGTGGGAGGACCGGGAGCGGGGTTCATACCGGCGAGTCAGCAGGCCGGGAGAGGGGTTCATACCGGCGAGTCAGCGGGTCGGGAGAGGGGTTCATACCGGCGAGTCAGCGGGTCGGGAGAGGGGTTCATACCGGCGACAGACAGTCAGTGGGCCGGGAGAGGGGTTCATACCAGCGACCGGCCGGGGGAGGGGTTCATACCGGCGAGTCAGCGGGCCGGGGGAGGGGTTCATACCGGCGAGTCAGCGGGCCGGGAGAGGGGTTCATACCGGCGACAGACAGTCAGTGGGCCGGGAGAGGGGTTCATACCAGCGACCGGCCGGGAGAGGGGTTCATACCGGCGAGTCAGCGGGCCGGGAGGGGTTCATACCGGCGACATGCAGCGGGCCCGGAGCACGGCGTCAGTCAGTGAGACGGAAGGCGGTAACAGAATCTTCTATACGCATTAAGATTTGCTGACACAGCCGAGGTTGCAATGGGGACGAGGGGTAACCACAAAATGGTTGACTTGTTCCCAAGCACTGGCATTATCATATTGTAAAAATAGGATCATTGCGATGCCATCCTTGACTATTGACTCTCGTTCCGTCCCGCATTCTGTCAGCACCAGTTTGAACTCACATGATCCCGCAGATCATCCCGGTTCACTCGGTGCTTATAGAAGGCCAGCAGCTGGTGCATGGCCTCGCACCTCTCCAGCCGCTTGTAGGTCTCCTCATAATTCTGGTCCTTGATGAACGCGAAGATGAGGTTTCGCAGCACGTCCTTGTTGCATCGCGGTGGTCTGTACCTGCAAACGCCGACCAGAAACAGTGCTAGTAAAGCTGCTCTCAGCTAAATCCTCAGGTCAGGGACAGGGTAAACCACAATTTTATTTTGATATTGTTCGATGTTTTGAAATGAGTTTTTTATCAATCCAGAACCTATATTCTTCACAAAGTCTCTCTCGCAAAATTATAATGCTGGAATATACCAGATTTCGAAACAATAGTTTTTTTCTACAGAAAAGATCAATTTTACGCAGCAGGTGGTCTCACTCACCTGATGTTCATTTTGTGCGTGGTGAAGCCCAGGTAGGGGTCGATGGTGAGCGCCGTGGCGATGTCATCGCAGTCCGACAATTCCTGCGGCGACAGGGTCTTGCCGCCGCCGCCTGTCGCGTGCCGCCGCTCCACCCTGCCTACCACCATCCCTGGCCAGACAGCTCCACTGCCGCACACACACAGAGACGTGACCGCTGTTAGAAACAGGTGACAGCTTAGAATTCAAACATGTATCAATGGAGCATCAAGACTGAACCATATGGGTGAGTCATAGATGACTTGGATAAATAAATATATTTCTGAGGATGAGAATTGAGAAATTTATTTTTCTTCCACATTGTTTCTATCGTAACCAGCACCCAGGTGTGGGTATCAGCCACCTTCGACATGTTGGGACAGTGTGGGGGGGGGGGGGCTTTCCGGCCACATGCGATTATCTAAAATACTAAGAAAGATCAAAGAAGCTGCAATAAGATACCGATAGCTCTAAATAAGTACTTTCAGAAGCATGGAGGTTTCTTTTTCGCCGAAGTCATTTAACTCACGGTGACTATAAAGATTTAACTGAGTTCCAGGTCAACGCTGAGGTCCCTGGAGGTCATCAAGGATAATAAATATTTTATCGTGTACCTTTCCGGATGACATTTTTCACAAAACAGCGAGACGCATTACTTGTGAAGCAAAAGAGCTACATCGTCGTAAAAAAACGCATTCGATAGCTCTTTGAAAGCTTGTTCAGTGTTCACTGACATGGCCTTAGGTTTCACCTAGGTCAACAGGCCCAAAAGGGGCGAGAACTGTGAATATACCTAGACTGTCTTGCAGGAACATACCTATTACATGTGCTTCATTGCTCTACCATGCCTCTATAAAAGTTATTGTTACCGACTGCTAGTGATTTTTTATGACCTGGCACGACCTTTCTAATGACCACCAGCCATCAGCTACATCCTGTCTACTGTATACAGGTAACTATGTCATTATTCTGGAAATACCTTCCTTGCAGTTTGGGCATGTTTGATCAAAACAGGAGGCATTTGTACATTTCCAACATTGCTTTATGACAGTGAGATCATAGATGACTTCAATTCACAATTCAAGCTAAGGTGAGGCATTGATGTTGAAATGGGTCTCCTCCATTTCCCATGACCTTTTTTTTTAGTGGCCACAACTTTCATTTTTAGCCTTGTGAGGAGGTAGGCATTAGGCAAGCCGGGCCCATGAAGTGACCCCAATGAGACACAAACTTTTATGTAGGTAAGAATCCAACAACCAACCAAGCACTGAATGCCATCTAAGAAAATTGCAACATAGTGCACCATAACTTAGAGGAATGTGATGAATATATCATCTGAAAATTCTGCTGACAAAAATAGATTGATAGGTATCCTGTGTGAATGGAAGGGGATGAAGAATTTTGAACTTTTTTACTTCAACCTAAATGAGCTATCAAATGTAGGTAACAGGTTTGTAGCTTGGAAGTACCTAAATATAGGTTTACGGAAACAGTCAGTAAAGGCACTGCTAAAATAAGTGAAAACTGTTCTGGAAATAACAATAAAAATAGCTTCACAAATTAAATGCATCTTCATATCAATCATTTGACATACATCTATTAATAGTTAACTACCAATAATTAGAAATAAGTAATGGGCATGCTCATACAAATATGAAAGGTATCTTATGAGCGCAATGGAAAATATTATCTTCGAGAGAAATGCCTTGTAAATTACCATCTGATGCCCTGTTTGCTATCAAAGTTTACCAAAATCATAGTACCATAAAAACAAATACAAGGCACATTCATGCTCCACACAAAAATAAGCACTATTGGTAACTATCTAGCTTAACTTCTTGGGACTTCACATTACCCACATTGAAGTTATTTTCAGAGTAATTTCAGATGTTTTGTAACTTGTGACAGCTTGTATGATGAACTAGGAGACAAACAGGTTTTGCAAAAAAATTTAAGCACATTAAGTTGGTACATACCTCTCAAATAGCATTGAATATTTCATTCAAAAGTTTAACTCCAAGAAAACACTTGCATTCCTATTATATGCAGCATAAGACTACAACGTATGCTGAGGTCTTTTAACCATTTTTACCCCCTCAACCACATGCATTGGATTCACAGCAATGCAGTGTCACTAGCAGATTCAGAAGGGGGTTTGAGATGCTGTGGAGTAGGCATTACCAGGTACCTACTCAACGTTATAAAAAGTTCCGACACTATCCTAAAGCTAGAGTTTTGCTTTTTTGTGGCTTGCTGGGCATTTTAAAACAGGTGCATGCACTCATAGCTTTCATATGAAAGAAAACCAGAAAGAAAATGTTAATTTCTGATGCTGCAGGAGGGTCAAGCACCCAAACTGCCCCCCTCAATCCGCCAGTTTCTATGCTTCAGCGGTTCAGTCCCTTTTCATAAGTTAGATACATTTGCCAAAAAAGCTGGATAGCGCTAAATTTTCTTCAAAAGGTGGTGATTCCTTTGAAAAGGTGAAATTGGTGAATACAGACAAATCAGTGTGTTAAAAGCTTTAATAAATCATATAAAGATAAAAAAATGAATCTTACCCATTCAGGAGACAATCCTGGCGCAGGAAGAAATTCCTCTTCTGTACTCAATATCAGCAATCAGTGCAGGCGCAATTCATTCAAAAAGGTTTCTATAAAGCTAAACAACAAAAATTAATACAAATCTCACACATTCACCTCACAAATTCTTATAATCACGCAAATTTCCTAGAGCGATCCCAGCCCAGCTTCAATAGTAGTGAGCAAATACCGTTACAGGTAAAATTATGTCTATTTATTGATATGTTTCGAAAAATTAGAACAATAAAAGTGTTTCTTTTTATTTATTGAAAATGAAAATATACCAGGTGATATACTCTTGATATACCAGGTTACATAAAAAATATTTCATCACTATTCACAAAGAAAGGTGAAGCTGTCCTTGCTGAAGCTGAAGCTGTCCGAAGCTGTGCTTAGCGGTGGCTCTGTCCTTGTGAATCCTTCCCATCATAAGGTTCGGACTAAATTTATAAAAAAAGGTCTTATTAGAGCTGCCAGTATTCGCTACGCTACTCACTCATTTCATGTTGCTCAGTGCAGGGACGTACCCAAGGGACGTATCCCAGGGACGTACCCAAGGGTTCAGGGCCCCCGGATGGAATCAGGGCCCCCGTGGGCCGAAGACCCACGTTGGACAAAGTCACATGGGAGGCGAACGAATTTCACCTGAATTCCAAAAATCGCGTCAGGACAATAAGGGCCCTATAACCAGCCTGACAGCTAGGGTCCTTCTTACTACCGACTACCGAGTACCGCCTCCTGTGAATAATCGCTATAGTGTCTGTGTCATGATCGCTAGGGCCCCTCTGACTCCTCAGTAGAGAGGAGGCCCTCCGTAGGTAGGAGGCCCTCTGTAGAAAAGAGGCCCCGGGATTCCTCCGCCACCCCCCCCCCCCCCCCGGCCAAATCCTAGGTACGGCTCTCGCGGGATTAAGCGGTAGTTTTTGCACTTTTACATCTCTGGTTATAACTCAGAAACTAATCGATCTACGATGAAGCCATTTTACACGATCATGGCCGGCTTGTGAACCAACAAGTCGATCGCATCTTCAACACTTAAAAGCTTAAGACGACGAAGATATTGCCTGAAGTACACTAAATTTTCTAGGTGCAATACCTACTGTTAAAACCCGCAAGACCTGTACGTGCCTGCACTCCAGTGTTTGGAACTTTATCGGGAGTAAAAAACATCGAACACATAATTTTCATCTTATTTATGTCGCCACTGCATTTCATGAAAGCCAAGTCGTGGCCAAAAGGTTAAGAAAATGGAAAGTGAATATGTACATACATATTTCATGAAAATTGACAATTGTTTCGAATTCGTGATAATGATTGGTAGGGGAGACCCGGGAGGTATGAGCATCCGGGAGGTATGGGCCAATGGCCATCGCAGTTTTGAAGAAGTGTTGCGTATTTTTACACATTTGACCACGTACCTACAGGGTGAGCCATAAAGATTTACCCATCGAAAATTTCACTTTGTTTCAAGGCGCGCTGACATAGCTGTGTCATCTTTTACATTCATGTAACAACTTCAATTTAGTATCTCCCTACTAATAAATGTAGTCTGTTTTCTTTATGCTCGCATTCTTCTTATGTTACGCGCTCGAGACGCAAGAGCACTATGGCACGCGGCCGCCGCACCGTCTTTTCACTTATTTTCCTCGATCACCCATGCTATACCTAACAATGCTGCGCCGTATGTCATTTGCGGTGTTTCAGGGACTCGGTAGAGTCGGGTTTTCAGGATATTTCAGTTTGCGAAGCCCGTGGGGCTGAAGTCGGGGATAAATTGTGCCCAGCATTCTTTAGACCAAGGCGTGTTCAGCAGCCAACACCCAGTGGTGCTTCCTGAATTTCAGGAGCGGCGGATGTGCGTTAAGACGACCTCGCATTTCAGGAGCGTAGCAGAGACAGTAGACGAGCATATACAAAATGAGCTACACTGTCAGGATTGGAGACAAATTTGCGACATACATGCAAAAGATGGCATACCTACGCCAACCCGTTTGGAAATAAAGTGAATTTATCGATGGGTAAATCTTTATGGCTCACCCTGTATATTGGTAGCAAGCCATTTTTATACAACCCACGTGATTCCCAAAATCTTCCACAGTCTTCTTTGGCAATGAGCGGTGATAAAGCGTTTTGCCCTCTTCGAGTAAAATACGGTATAATTCGTTATCAATGTGAACCAGTTTTATTATGACGTTTTATTATGATCTTTATGTCGATTGTCGATGTCTTATCGGTTATGTCGATTTATTATAATCGTTTTATTATGTCAGACCATTGCTAACATAAAGTTTAAAGCATGCAAAATAAGACTGGATAAACAATTTGAAGCTTTCTTGCAAGATTATGAGCTGAGATGCTATGCGCATTCTGGCTTCCTAACCGGGAGGTTCGGGCCACCCATCTCCGGTGATCCTAAATCAATAAAATGATGCTTTCTTTGAATGTCCTCTTCAAGAAGTTCTGTTTTCGTCGCGCATGGTCAAAAATTTAACTACAGATTGCATCTGAACATAAAATACGGTTTGTCTTATTTCATGGAACATGATTGAGTTAACCATAATAAATACGCCTAATAAATGATAAATGTGCCTAAGTGGCCTCCATGAAGTAAGCTGTTGGCCACTTATGCGGTACATGGGCTCTAAGAGAGCCGACCCCGACGATGACCCGTGTCAGGGGAAGGAGGTGAGAGAGAGAGAGAGAGAGAGAGAGAGAGAGAGAGAGAGAGAGAGAGAGAGAGAGCGAGAGAGAGCGAGAGAGAGAGGGAGGGAGAGAGGGAGAGAGAGAGAGAGAGAGAGAGAGAGAGAAAGAGAGAGAGAGAGAGAGAGAGAGAGAGAGAGAGAGAGAAAGAGAAAGAGAGAGCGAGAGCAAGAGAGCGAGTGTCCAGTGATTGAATCTGTATGCCTGTGTTTCTTGTCCCCGCATGTTTTTGTTTGAACCCGACTCAGACTCTGGACTGTAATCGCCACGCCCCGTGTGGATTGTCCATGATGGTAATACAATACAATACAAGGTAGATCCCAGCTACGAGTATTGTTCCCAATGACGAGAAAAGAATATAAAACATGACGCCTACCCATACCTCCCGGTGTATCTTGATGGATCGAAAAAGCGCATTATTTATTAAAATCTATCTCGAGACAAAATAGTTGATCCCAGATGCCTAATATCAGGCACACTTTACAGGCGAAAGGCGATATCACGTACACAGAGCAAAGAACCAGATCTAGCCACTGCCCACTGGAAGAAAATTACCATTTCACAAAACCGGCCCATACCTCCCTGGTCTCCCCTATAAACGCCATATAGGTAAACACAAAACATAATATTGGTATCTGCAAATGGGATAACGACACCTCGGCTTTCCCCCTTTTTCATTTCCAGGTGCCTGCGATAAAAGATATTAGAGGTCGGCCAACTACCTGCTGTTCTTCGACCTATAAACGGTTATTCACAAATCACAATGAACGACGTGAAAATTCTTACGTATTAGCTGCTTAGTGCTCCTACGCAATAGCGCTTTATTTCTATGTTGGAGCCTGGGGGTCGCGCTCGCCTCCCGTCCAATAGCGCCCTTTTGTTGAACCTCCCGATCGACATAGTCGAACCGACAACAAGTGTATGTGAGTGTGAATGGGGGAAGGGGAAGGGGGCGAGGGGAGAGGTTGTGTCACCCCCACCAGCATTATGATAACGCATGACACCTCACACCTGTCATACGCAGCGGGTGTTCGTGAGGCACGTGAGAAGATGAAGTCAGTGTCACGACTCTTTGTGGTCAGGTGCGGGAGTGCCCTAACACGCTTCGAATCACGCTGGTCCGGGCTGATCTCGTGCGTTATCTTAGCGCCACCCGGTCCAGCATTGCGCCATTTAGTGGCACACCACCGCCCGGCGCCCTACATGACATTACAGAGTTCGGGCTGCCTATTGCTAGCATCTGCTGTTCCATCCGTGGGCCGTGATTTGACATCATTTCATGGCGTGAGATCATAAAAAAGCAGCGAGCCTGCCCTGTAGACCCGCATTTTTTTCGGACCAATTGGCAGCGATTTTTGTAGCTTTTCAGAAATCAGAATAAGCTGCCTCTTCGGACTTCTTCCATGATGAAAACAATCGCTGGGAGATAGTTCGGACACACTGAGCCAATTTTCGTGCTCTAACGGTGTGCTCAACTCTATAAGTAGATCAAAGGTCTTTGGCCCGTACCAAGATGACCGATCGTGTTCCGTGACAAACAACTTATATGGCGACACTGGCAGCAGTTGGCACGGACAGAACTTAGAAGCAAGATTCAGCACTTGCGCCCTTAGACTTGGAAATAAGCCAATAATTTACAAACGCTCGGACTTGTTCTATAGTAGCCCCCATATTGTCGGTCCCGTAGCTCAGTTGGTTAGAGCGTTGGACTCCGCGTGGTGAGAGCACGCGTTCCCGGTTATGACAGTCCGGGTTCGAAGCGCGACGGGCGCTCGACATTAATGGGCCTCCTGACAGGTATGGTTGCGGTTGGTGGCAGGCCGTAGCCAGGCGAAGTCAGCGAGGTGACCGGCCGTGCGCGGCTTTGTGCGCACGTTAAACTTTGGACTCCAAATTCTGCCATAGAATCGGAATTGCGCGATCGAAGGGTAAAGGGCAGGGTCATCGCAACAAGCTTCGCTTAGCGGTGGCTCTGTCCTTGTGAATCCTTCCCATCAAAAGGTTCGGACTAAATTAAAAAAAAATGACCAATCGACGTAAAAAATGTGACGAGACACATAGGTACCTAATTTCGTCAAACGGTCGCTATTTTTCATTCGTTTTATTTTTCAGTCATTATGCCCAGTCTGCAATCTGCATCCAAAATCCACCTTCGTATTTAGCTTACGCTACTTCTGGACCGACAGACATTCCTCATATTACACCGATATAAGACAATTGACAAGCAAAAAAAAAAAGCACAACCAACTGGGGGTGACCGTTTGAACGGCCGGGCGGCCGGCCTGTCTCACCGGGATACCATATACCGTCCCGACGGCAGGGCTCGACGGCTGCGGTGGGCCAGTTCGTGGTCCACTCAGCCCGATGGTTCGTTCTTATCCTTTCATCGCACGACCCTGAACCTTATTAGATTGAAAGAACCTAACGTAACAAGCAAACATCACTTCAAAATCTATTGATGGCGCTATTGTTCCTTTGGGAAACCAGTCATCCATTTTTATACGCAGGACGATAAGGGCGGCTACCGGCTAATGATATCGACTTCAAAACCGAAATTATATCAGGCACGGTTCTCAGCAGGCCTACACGCATGACATATAAACGATACTATTACGATAAATGCTGGTGATCGAACCGGACGCATTGGATCGGGAAGGCCGGTAGTTCCACACTTACCGGTCGCGGTGGCTTGTTTGCGGCCATAAGACCCTGTTGCTGGGGGATTATATGCTCTGCACGGTGGGGCGTTTTTTTGTTGTGCGTTCGGTCATCAGTGGACTCTGGAGATGCAAGGCGTTCTACTTTCGGGGACGGTGGGCTGCTGCGTGCCACTTTCGCCGCTTGAACGGCTGGAGATGGCAGCGGCCGGCCGGCCTTTGGCTCAGTTGACGGCTGGGCCGCGGCCGAGACGGTGGACGGTGCTCAGACGGACGGACGGACTTACGGACAAACTGACGGATGGACGGACGGTCCGTACAGTGTACGGACGAACGGTAACTCAGCCGGTAGACGGTGAATGGGACGGACAGACGAACGGACGGACGGACGGTGCAGTGTACGAACAGACGAACTGACGGACGAACGGCAGTGGAGTGTACGGACGGACGGTTCAGTGTACGGATAGACCGTAACTCAGACGGCAAGTAGATCCCGACAGGGTAACCAGTGTACGGACAGACCAATGTGCGAAAAATAAACAGCGGAAGGATTGGGCTGTTGACGGGCTGTAGCTCACTGCAGAAAAATAATGGTGATTTAGACACCTCACGGACGGTTCACTTCAAACACTAGCGAACCGTGCGAACGGGAGGAAGTGTAACGTTTCCCGGTTCCACAGTGCACGGACAGTGACGTAACGTTTCCCGGAGTTAGTCTTTCCGGATAGTGACGTGGCGTGACGTTAACCGAAACCAGGGTAGGTTCCTCCTCACGCGGATCCGGCGAGGACTCGGACTGAGTTGTGACGTCACCAATTCGTGACTAAGCAATCGTGGTTGCAGGTGAGGATCGTTTGAGCGTCATATCAGATAATCACTTACCTTTAATTGTGCATAATTAATTCTCTACAAGACAGGCACACAAACAACTAACCTTTTATTAGGTGAGCTAACAATACTGCAAAATACGGTGCTGTATGGCATATCTGTGAGTGTGGTCACAGATAAACGAGCATGCGTGTGATGCCCAATATAAAGATACATATAACAACTATTCATTCCCAAAATGGGTCTGGCTGCTAGGGTAGCGTTCCGGCGCTGTTTGTCTGCTTTTTTATTGAGCTTATAGGAAGAGCTGCATATTGCTTTTATGTTTTCGAGCAGTATTGGTATTGGGAATAATTAAACGCGAGCTTATTAACCGATATACGGCTTTTCTCCCTTCGGGCAACCTCTTCTCCCTTCACTGCAGATACAGATGCAGAGGTGCTAACGGTGACGTTATGCGAATGCCCTGTTTTGCAGACGACTATATAATAGGGCTTCAAATTCTAGCTGCGTGGATGACTAGGTAATAAGCCAGCTAGCTTTCCCCGGTCGGTCACGCCGGTGCAGTGTGACCCGTCCTGTCCCTGCAACGCGCCGAATATAAATGTCAGTGTCAGTGTCCTGCGGCGAGATGTCTGCTGTTTGGAGGGACGGTCCGTCGGGCAGCAGCGGCAGCCAGACGGGCTGACAGAGCATCGGAGTATGTGAATGTATCGTTCTACTTTGTAATCGCACATAACGAAAACATCAGACGTAACTGTCTGGTTGGTGTGATATCTCCTTGCTACATGCTAAATCACCAGGACCATTGAACCCGAATGGCTAATGCTCGCGTAATTAGGTATAAAGCATGATTTTATTTTTCGCAATTAATCTTCAGCTGTATGAAGGTGTAAGCGACACAATTATCACAATTCATCGTGACCGTAACTTTCGGTGGACGATGAGCTCTGGGACCGGTCCTTTGTAGGACGAGACGTTCCCGGCGGCCGGCCGTTCGGGATGAAAGCATTCAACAGACGTTGCCGTGGCGGCCAATGTCGTTTGTAGGTCTCCGGGTTGACACAGTCCTCGGCCGACTCTGGTCACTGTGACCGGGACGGATTTCACCTGCGGCCTCCAGTCTCCACTGAGCCGTCGATACGTCACGCTCTGTTAGTGGGCACGTGCGTCGCTACCCCAGCGGGACGGACCGGGACGCCGGCGCCGTCTGTCACCCGACCTCGTCCGAGATTCTTTACCGGAACTCATTTAACCCAGAGGATTGTTGATGATACCTGCCAATCAAATCGCTCATTCTTATTTCTCTACGACTCAGGTAGTTTTATGCTTTTCATCATGCGTTGAGATATAGGCCCCAAATTATGAATAAGATCGAACCTTACGAGAGACGTGAGAGCAATTTACTATTGGCCTCCTTATAAATCCACTTATTTACGCCTCCACAGTCAACACGATATCACGACAGAAACATTTATCGTCACATAAGTGCTAACAATTTGAGGAGCAATATAAAATGTCCAATAGCTTCCTTACCCACTTTGTAGTGTGCTCTGTTCCGTATCTGTTGGCTGTGCCCATTTATACTGGACTGATCCATCTGACTGTTTCACAGCTCGATACCTATGACGAATCTGAGCCTGTCCGTCGTCCGATGGACGTTGACGTTGTATCTGCTCGCCATGCTGATGGCCTGTGCCGAATGTTACCGTGCGCCTCAAGCGAAACGTAACAAGCTCTACCAAACAGTGGTAAGTATATCGGGTATCTCTAATTCATTTGGTGAAATGCATGTCCCATATTACGTGATGCATCAACGTTTGAATGCTGTTGCAGGCTTCGCCATTCGTTTTTTTTTTATTTTTACGTTTTTATGGCTTGAAACGCAATTTTTCCATTCCAATACATTTTTCGATTCATACAAAGGTAGGTACTGGTAAATCGGCTTATCGAAACTCCGCTAAAATACAATAGCCAGTCAGCTGATTCAGCCTGCTCGGGTTGGTGTCAGATATGTGTCTAACCCTGTCGTCTGCCCGTGACCAGCCGGAGATAATCGCCGCTCACGGGTACCCGGTGGAGGTGCATCACGTGCAGACAGCCGATGGCTACATACTGGAGATGCACCGGATCCCGGGCGGCCGCGGCGGTTCGCCGGCCACCTCCCCGCCGGGCCGACCTGTCCTCGTGCTGCACGGCATACAGGACAGCTCCGCCGGCTGGGTCATCAACCCGAGAAAGTCACTCGGTTAGTGGTTATCGATGTCGTGCCGTCTATTTGAATGCAGAGAGGAGATGTCTCTTGAAGACGCACTTTAGAAAGGGTGATCTGTCATTTACAATACCTACCATTGTAAGTGGCTAACAGGCACGTAGCCAGGATTTTGCTTAGGGAGCGGCCAAAAGTCGCGGCCTAGTGTCGTACCGCCTCCAAAAATGAAAGCTCCTCTGATTTGGCCCATTATTTTTGGGGTTGTGGTGCAGCTGTTTTATTTATTTTCATTTTTCATTTCAATTTATTTTATTTTTCGCCTTCAGGGGGGAGGGCATGGCCCCCGTGCGCCCCCCCCCTTGGCTACGTCCCTGGGGGCTAGTAATAAATCAGCTACCCTGTTAGGCATAAAGTAACGTTATGTGGGCATGACTAAATTAGCACTGCAAAGCTCAGAGGTCATGGGATAATTCGATCTGTCAAGCGCTGTCAAAAACAGACGCCCTCTGGGAGGGACACATTCTGCCGCTCACCCGTACTTCGCTCTGGGAATATTATAAGACAACGTAAGGAACAGCCCATGTGCTGGTGTACATTGCGGATAATCAGAAAGTGTCAATTTATTTCTTTCTCGCACTATATCCCATGTCCCCATTTACAGGGTTCGTGTTGGCAGACGAAGGCTACGATGTGTGGCTCGGAAATAATAGAGGAAACACCTACGGACGGGCACACGTCACTCTCAATCCCAATAAACGTCGCTTTTGGGAGTTCACGTGAGCTAAACACGGCGGTGAATGACTTTTTATGATAAATGATATGCTCATTTATTTGAAAACAAAAATGTTTGAGGAATTTGTTTACAGGTATACAGATCTTTTATTCCAGCCTAAAGACTACCTTCAGCTAATGCATCTACCATTCATTGTCGTTTCAGATTGGATTCCTTTTCGAAGTACGATAACCCTGCCATGATAGACTACATTCTGGAGACAACAGGTTACGACGACCTTTATTATATAGGATTTTCATCAAGTAAGTGCTCAAAAGTGAAGCATTTAGTGTATCTTTTATGTATGAAACGATCAATGCATGCTGAAGTAGTCTCTTTATGCACAATACCTACCTACCTACTAACTTGAAAACAACACTTGGATACTCGTTAGACGTGTGCAAAATAAATATGATGCATGTTAGACAAACCAAATGCCAACGGAACGTCATTCTGGAAGCGTTCTAGAGTAGTGAATACAATTTTTTAAAGCTGTCGTCAAAAGGAAAGCAACGATGCCTGATTAATTAATGACAACTTTTTTACTTACATCAAACAATTTTTACAGGCACCATCTCCTTTTGGGCGATGATGAATTATTATCCGGCTTACAACGACAAGGTTCGTTTAATGGTGGCTCTGGGGCCGGTGGCCACAATGAAGTACTTCAGAAGCATCGTCAGGATTTTTGTTCCATTCAGGAAAGCTATCCAGGTAAGGAGTTTGCAGCTTGGTGTTGTTTACTAAGATTACGACAGGGTAAATGTCATATTTAGCTTCAATGACCTGGTAAAAATTGAATCGTTTTTTTACCGCCCCTCCTCGATGTCCGTCATCGTTCATGTCTTCCCATGATACCTAACGTTCTTTTATTATCCGTTCATTTTTACTGACCTTTTTTATGCTGCGAAAGCCAGCTGGGAGATAAGCTAGTGAATTGACTTAGTGTACAGGGTGATCCAAAAAATTTGGAACCCCTAACTTAAAATGTCTATAAGTCCGAATGTATTCATTTTATTGACAAATTGCGAACACCATTAGAAAGAACATTAAATTCTTCATAAAATCACGTCAAATTGCTGCATTATGTTGTAAGGCATTGGCACACTATCAGCTTTTGGAATGAGCGTCAGAAAACTGAGTGAAACGAAATCGCCAAATGTTACAATACGCTGAAATCCGTTAGCACTCTATCTGTTGTCTTTTTGCGAATAACACCTCATCCAAATTCAATTCTATTTCATAAAAGTTTACACAGAAGCACACAGTAGAACAGATACACGCGTCCTAGCTTCCCGCGCTGTTCATCACAGCATGTGCTCAACGCGAGCTCCGGGGGCCGTCACGGCTCACGCAGGCCTGCAGTTGCATCAGGACAGCTCCGACTGCGCGGGCCAGCAGTCTCTGGGACAACTGGTCCCAGCAGGCCGACAGCCTTTCCTTTCCTTGCAAAAGCACGTGAATGAGCTATTTTTATTCATGAACCTCCAACAAGCGACATGGTTAGAACAGCAAACCGTCAATCACTGAGTTGCGCATAACGTTCAAAACCGTTTCACTGAGTTTCGTGACACAAATTTTATAGGCATATGTCTAGGGCAATATTTATAATAGTAAGTAAGCACAATCACCTTGGTTTTATAGAGAATTGAACGTTCTTTCTAATGGTGTTTGCAATTTATCAATAAACTGAAAATTTTCTGACTTACAGACATTTTAAGTAAGGGGTTCCAATTTTTTGGATCACCCTGTATGTTAATTGCAGAAAATGTCGGCCATATTCAGCCACAACGAGTCGTTTCGGCACAAGCCGCTGTACGGCGTGCTGGGCAAGATATTCTGCAGCAAGCACTCGCCTACGGTGCCGCTGTGTGCGCTCGGGATGTTCATGCTGGCTGGCTGGGACCCGAAACAGCTTGACAAGGTCAGTGATACGATATCGAATGGATGGCTATAAATTCAGATGTCGCATTATTTCAAGAGGAAGTTGTCTTAGGAACGACCCAAGCGCTATTTGATAGACTACTGCTGGCGGGTCCCGCTTACCTTTTACAGCAAGGGAAAACTCGATGAATAGTTTAATGAGATGAGCGGTACGGTCGTTTACTAGAAGATGATCGCAAAACGATACATATGTATTTCTTTTAATGCTAATCGATTAAAAACGAATAGACGTTAGCCAGAAACTGAAGAAAATTATGCAGCACTATGCACTATAGACTGTAGGTACCCAAACTAGCTGACAATGACAGTCTCTCATACACCAGCGGCTCCAACCGCTCGTTTTTTTTTAGGGGATGTAAGTCATGGTCGATGCAAGGTTGCAGTTACTGAGATATTTCGTTTAAAAAATGACTAGAATGGGCGAGACATCAAAAATCATGACTTTTCATCAGTTAGCAAAGGTGATGCATCATCATCATCATCATCATCATCATCATCATCATCATCATCATCATCATCATCATCATCATCATCATCATCATCATCATCATGTATTGCTAACAAAACAAGCATCAAACAAGATATGCAGGGTGGTGCAAAAGCACTCCGTGCTTATGTCGAGGCACCGCTCCCTTACGCGACACACCTTTTGCAGGCCAGTCTGCCGGTGATATTCTCTCATGTTCCCGCTGGAACCGGAAGTCTGGTTATGGAGCAGGTTTCACAGTACATCGCATCAGGTATTTTACCGTCAGCCATCTGCCATACCTACGCTACATGGGCCTCAGTGTGTCTGTTGATCTGTTTCATATCAGTCAATTTCAGCGAACCTCATCGACACCTATAAATGTAGACGAACGATCTAAATATCGTTGGGGCCAGGCGAGAAATACGTACATGCATAGTATCAAAATCCATACCTATCTGTGTATCAACGTCTATAAACACATGCCACCATATTGTAAGGATTTAAGGGATTATTATTGTAAGCTATTGGGCGAATTGTAATGTGTGCTCTGCTGTTAAAGGTCGTTTCCAGCGCTATGATTACGGCAAAAAGCAGAATCTGGTACGATACGGTCAGCGACGTCCTCCAGAATACTTTCCGGAGAAAGTGACTGCGCCCGTGGTGCTGATCTGGGGTCCCAACGACAAAATGGCCGACAAACGGGTAAGTTTAACCATCGTTTATATTGTTTATATCAGCTGGTTGCTATGGCACTATTCGCTCAACCGTTCTTCAAGAGCATTATACAGCAATTGCTTGGCGGTACCTGACGCCAAAGTTTCGCCTGAAAGCGCCGTTGAAAACAGCCGGTAAGGCAGATGGGAGACGAATGGCATCACATAATGGACGAACTTTTATACGTGGGTTCAATTTCCTTTAGAAAATAAAAATTCACGTTCTTTTTTAACATTCCCAGCTTCATTTATTTCTTTTCATCTCGCTAGCCCCGCCGCCGACGTCTGGACGGCTGCTAACGACGCCACCTGTTCTATCGACAGGACGCGGCGCTGCTGGCGGCACGGCTGCCGAACCTGGTTCGCAGTGAGCCCGTCAACTGGCGCCTCTGGCAGCACCTCGACTTCATGTGGGGCATCGACGCCAACCGTCTAGTCTACAGTCGTGTTATTCACTACATGGAGCAGTTTGGCGGAGCGCGCTGAGCTCCGCTCCCGTGCGTGCTGCCGTCAGGAGTGTTCCGGTCGCTTCTTACGATAATGTGCCCAGGATAGGGCAGCCGGGCCAGCAACGGCAGATCAAAATCAAAATATTAATAGGTGCATGTTTTCCCAGTTAAGCTGATTGTCTTCGACCCGATGCCTGCTTCTGACTTTTTATCACAATGGAAGCGAAACATACCTGGCGAACGCCAAGGTATAGCCTCTGGCCGCTACAGGGTGACCATGTGATCAGGTGATAATGAAATATGTGATCTGCTGAAAAGAACAAAATAAACCTGCTTAGATGTCATATAACAACGATGTTATGTTACAATATTTCGACAAATCACGGAATTTTGACATTAACGTGCTGGCAACATTACAACAAGAATGGTCTCATTTCCCGTGTATTTTAACTGAGAAACACGTGCAGGCTTCTTCGACAAAATAGATGCAACCGTTCGAATCCAGCCATCCAGTAACAAATCAATCAATCTATTAGACAATCAAGACGCCAGAGTATTGGCAGATGTCTGGTTTCATTGATAGCATGAAATGGTAGCAGGCATTGATCAGCGAGGCGTCGCTAATCATTCCATTCTGCCACATCTTACTTATCTTAATTCTTAACTTGCTGATCAATTGTTCCAAACTCATCAACATCTCGTACGCATGCAATTTAAACCAAAAGACATCGCGACGACAATCATGATAACAATGTTGCTTTGCTTTAAGCCACAAGCTGAAGTTTGGCAGCTAAGATACGTCCGAAAGAGTCATCTCCTTATCCGAAAAGCCACTTGCATGATTTTTCCTCAGCTTGACATCCGTCCCAAAAGCATCTGTGCGAATTGCTGAAGTGGTAACCTGGCTGACTTTGGCCTTCCGACGTTTGCGACGCTCCCATAGGTGGCGTGCGGCGTTCTCGACCATCTCAAACAGGGTGAAAATTGATGCTCCCAGCAGCAGTCCCAGGTTGCCTCCGATATCCGACATCATCTGAAATAGTCATAGTGTTCAGTCTTCCGACATGGACTTCAGGTCATGCCTGGAGCGTTTGCAACACGTATTCATGGAAGCAAATTTATGGAACCTTAGCCAACTTGAGCCAACTAAACGCAGCCATTTGCTCTTGGTATTGTTTCACTGAATGACAGCAATATGCTACCAATGTAATTCGTGTCTCACCTGCTGAAGATCGTAAGCTCTGCGCTGAGACGACACATACAGTCCGTCATTGATGCTCAGGGTGATAAAGGTCCGGTCGCTGCGAGCCCGGTCTACCAGGGTGACCGTCACGTGGTCTCGATCGCATTCCCGCATGCACCGACTTTTGCATACCTTCTTGAAACTGAAATGCAGATAGGAAAATTACATTACCTTTTATAAAATGGTAAAGGAAAAGTGTTCTAGACCATGTTATCAGTTAACACCAAATCTGGTATAGAGAATTATTGGGAAGAAGATGCAATTTAGCCGCTTGCAGACGTTGCAGACTGCAGTGATTAACCTTACCTGTTTACTGTCTTATAGTAATGGTTTTCGCGCAACTCTTGGTAGTCGTATTCCCAAACAACATAGGCTCGTGAAACCATACGCGAGTAGCGCAGCAGCTCCTCGTAGTCTGAGCGATTGTTGCAGAAGGGCTGTGATGAGTCGTGCCAGGGGAGCCGACAGCCGGCCCCCAGCTGGGCCATCTCCGACGATAGACACTCCCGAATACACTGTGGAAGGACAGATACTCGTATTACATCGATGACGAGATTTTCAGTCCCCACACCGCCGTTTCCTTGCAAGTTGCATTCAATAATGCTGTGTCAATTTGCGAAGGCAGTCATTCGCTAAACGTGTGTTATACCTTTGCCTGGGTGTACCCCTGATCGCCGTTGCAGGGCTTCTCTGGAGTGGACAGCCTCTTTTCCAGTGTCCTGGTCACCTTGAACGTCTGCGCAGTGTCCTTCTGCAGGTAGATTCGAGTTGGTGCCCAGACGTGCTCCCAGTCTGCGGCGGCGAAAAACAGCGAGCGTCACGGACTAATGTAAAGGGTTTACAGTTTACCACATGCCGAGATATCCCTTTAACATTAGCACGTGCATTTGGGAAATGGCTTCGGCCCGCCTCGGCTAATGTTGAAGGTATTTGGGAAACGATTCGGCCCTAGGGCTTTTTGATTTTCCCAGACAAAATTTTACTGAATATTCTGAGCGGAAGAACCAATTTCAAAGAAGATATTTACGAATTGTGTGTTCACTAACAGCAAAGGCAGAAGTGAGCAAAATTAAGTGACTGCGTTTTCACTTACTTTTGCTGTCAACGTAATTCAACTAAACAAGGGTATAGGTATCGTTCAAATGCCAATGTATTTATTGCTGCAGAACATGGTCAGCGAACTGATCATTACACTTATTACAACATAATGCACGCAAAAAACGAACACTTTAAATGCGCGAAGCATCTTAACAAGCCACAATGAAACATTTGCTATTGTTCCAGCTGGGATCCAAGACGCGTTTGATTAAGCGGTTCACCCAATTTTCAGTTTTCCTCACGGTTTCCTCACTCCTGCTGGAAGTGGACTCCATATCTTTATTTTAACTTCTGACGCTTCACAATCTTCATCCTCAGCCTTTTCAAACCCTAGATAAGGGGGAAGTAGGAAATTTCATCTTTTATACTCAACGCAGCCCAATAATGAAAAACACAAAAAATAATCACGGTGACTATAAATATGATCATAGTATTAATATAATATTAACACAATATTAAGAATATAATAATATATAATATATATATATATATATATATATATATATATATATATATATATATATATCAAATGAATATGATATTAATTGTTGCGCCGGTACGGCATGTCAGCAGTGTTGCCAGGTCGAGTGATGACAATACCTCCAGAAAATGTTGTAAAAACCTCTAGAAACCTCTGTTCCATTGCCGCTGATTATAAAGTATATATACCTCCATACCTACCTCCGTTTCACAAACCGTGGCGCCGTTTCAAAGCACGCTGCCATCCGCTGCTAGCGCGTGATGACATCATCAAGCCCATTGCTCCAACACTACCAAAGGGTCTGTTCCAGTCGCACTTCCTAACACCTCTAAACTCCTCTAAACTCTAAACTCCTCTAAACTCCTAACACCTCTAAACACCTCTAAACTCCAAGATTGCTTCCCTGTTCCAGTGTCAGCTCTAGCCCCTACAAATCAAAAGAGGGCCCTGCTCCAACCTCCTCTATCTTGCCCTTCCAAAACTCCTCTCCTCCAATTGGAGGAGTTTAGATGTGTTAGGAAGTGCGACTGGAACAGACCCAAAGTGTGACGTCAGCGCGCTGGCAGCAGCTGGCAGCGGGCTTGGAAACACCCGACTGTATCCCCAATCAAGATAATTCACTCATCCTTCGCATGCCTTCGCATTTGTCCACATAACTTGGTGGACTTGGTGCCCACCTTGGGCAACAGGTTTACATAGCCTTGGTGCCCACGGTAGGTATATCGAGAACTTTTAGCTGCAGCCGGCGGCCAGGGCCTCAACAGTGAACAAGCCAAAAGTAGGCTTATCGTTTCCATCAATCTGTAAAAAAGTGTGTAGGGGAAGCCGGGGGAAGCCCGGGCGCGGGGGAAGCCCGGCCACCCCGTTTCCGGCTAAATTATTCACAATAAAATGCTCAACTGTTTGTCCTTTCAGCGTGGCAGCTAAGGTGACGCCAGCAAAAAAGTTAAGGCTGACAAAAATTGCATATTGTTAAATTTATAGCGCAAAAATGATATTTTAAGGGTTTTTAGCTAAAAAGTGAGATATGTTTCACTGTTAATGTTATACCATACAGTACTAATATTTATACGAATGTTATGTAAGGACCGTTTAAGTGTTTGTAGTGAGGGGTGACTAGGCAGGCTGGCTTAAGTATGACATTTTTTTTCGAATATCGCTGTTCTAAAATAAAAATTAGCACATTGGGGTAACCCCGGGCGAGTGGCCAAGCTTACCCCCAACCGAGAGCAATGCCACTAAACCACTGTTTTCCATGAGATAATAGGTGCTGAGCAGGTTTGGTTTACACCTAGATCAAAGATAAATTTCGAAAATAAACATGTTATCAGAGACAAAGCCAGTCATGTCACTTAAGGTCAACTAGGGTCAAACTACGTTTTTGCAGATAACGCGACAGACAATGAAGCTAGAGCTTCAAGAATGGTGTCGTTGTGTTCTTCTTCATCAGCCGAGTCGAATGATATGCAATATGATGCATTTAGGTAAATAAAAAAATAAGTTTTAAGGAATTTTGAAATACACATTTTTTTGTCAATTTTGCATCACGATTTTCATCGACCTGTACTGTATATGTAGTAGACGCTAGCTAAAATACCAGTAGTGACATAAACTCTAAGATGTCCAGAGCTAATCAGTACCTTAATATTTCACTTTCCGTTAATATTTGGAAAACACATAATGGTTTCATCAACTCGTTGTAAAGCGCTGGGGAGGTGGCCGGCGTTACCCTATGCCGGGCTTACCCCAGAAAAATCAACACTTTTTTAAAACTCGATTTTCTCAACCTTATACTTATTCCACGAAACCGAATTTTTGGGAAAACACGGCCAATGAACTTAGCTAGCTAGCAGGATATCAACATTTTATACAGCACGTATGGTATGTAATAAAAATGAAAAAGAGCTTACTATGCCGGGCTTCCCCCGGCTTCCCCTAAGCATGCAATACTTAAAGATAATAACATGAAATTAAGTACCTAAATAGTTCTCAAGAGACCTTGATGCTAATTGTCTTTTCTCGAATTTTCAGATTACCTCTAGAAAACCCTCTAGAATCCGGCATTTTTCAAAAACCTCCAGGAGCCCCGAAACGCTCCCCTAAAACCTCTAGATCTGGAGGTTTACCTCTAGACCTGGCAACACTGGGCATGTGGTAAATCTCTTCCCAACCTTGGGCTGTGAAAATGCAATTTTATTCACCTCGGTTTTTGGCTACGGACCTCGTGCCTACCGGCACTCGGTCCTCCGCACAAAAACCTCGGTGAATAAAACGCATTTTCCCAGCCCCGGTCGGGAATATATAATACAATATACACTATGCTGTGTTTATGCTATTTGCTTTACATTAACACACTGTGAATTTATTTAACTTTCAGCTTTTTATCATTAATGCAGTAATGATAATATTCAGCATGGAGTCTGCAAGATAGCTCATGCAGACAAAGACATTTCGTTGGTTTTTGGTAACAAACAATGCGTAAATGTTATATTCTAAAAGTTCAGAAAATGTAGTACCATCTGTCAGACTACAGACCGAGGATCAAAGGGCTGATAACAATATTCGACCATGCATGCCGGGATAGAACTGAATTGGAAATAACTGATGGCTGGGGCTACTGACCGAGATACTCTTCCTTTGCCGAGAAGACGTACATGACCCAGTGCAGATCGGAGCAGTTTTCGCAGTGCTGAGGTTTGAGCTGCAGCATGAGGCCCCGCTGCCGGCCCTCGGCCAGCGAGTTGTCATACCGGAGAGTGTGACACTGCCCGCCGTAGTGGTAGAGGTGACTGGATATGTCCCGCTGATCTGCGGCGGAATAGTACCAGCCGTAACAAGTGACGTCCTCAAGCAGATTGGTCGGGTTTGTTCCCGGGGTAAGCAACACTCAAAATTATTGATTCATGTTGGCCGTAATTTTTCCAGGCCAGCAATAGCAAATTCGGACGTTAAACTGCGCTTCTTAACTAGTGCCGATTTTCTTCATATAAATTGATTATTAAGGTTCTGCTGATAAGGACGTTTGAACCACGGTTTGAACAACGGCCCCGTAATACACATTTGATGTCGTTTGGTGTCATTAATAGCATGATTATGTAATGTGTGCATATTACTTTTCGGCTTTTGCTTCCACTTACCACACGGTTTGTTGTAGAAGCTTGCGCAAATGTCGAAGATGTCATCGAAGCTATAAGTCAGGTTCCAAAGAGCAGCATCGACATCAATTTCTCCGAAGGGGAAGTTGTCAGCAAATGGAAGCATCGGATCGTTATCCTCCCGATATTCCCTAAATGTAGAGAAGACGTTCAGCTATTTTGTTTTTCACAACAGCGTTTTAAAGCTTCAAGCATTGGCTACTAAAATGTCATTTCAATCAGGACCGTAAAAATGAGTCAAATAGCACGTCAGAGCGCATAAGACACTTGCAAATCATATGCCAAAGTAAATATAGTCACAAAAATAGAGCGCAATGCAGTGAAATAATAACGTTGAAGATATAAGCAGCCAAACGCATTTCCTTGCGTCGAGGAAAGATTGCCTCGTTTATGCTTTGTGACGATCTAGCTTGAAACAATTCGTTTCTGCGCATTTATAACACTACGAGCACATCAATACTGCGATCGTCTACACGCCATAAATAGCTTCGCTAACTTACTTCCCAGTGATCGCCTTGTAGACATCGGGTTTGAAAATGTTTTCCTGTATTTTGCACAGTATGAGAGCGAACGTCTGTTGGGCGCTCTCGTCCACTTCGAAGGAGCGAACAACATCGGCGCGTATGAACTTGGTCAGGCTGACACTGCTCTGTGAACAGTGACGTGATTATCGCCACCGTAATAAAACATGTGCCGTACGCATGGAACATAGGCGGCAGAACGGGGAGGGCACCAGGGCACCATGCCCCCCTTTGATTTTGGCATTTTAACATTAGCCCTATGGGCGTTGCATGGAAAGAATGGGACCAAAAGTCGGCAGTGCCCCCCCCCCCTTAATTTAAGGTGTTCCGCCGCTACTGGCATGGAAATGTCAAACAACTTAACAAATGTCATGATGAAACGGTGAAAGGATCCGGATTCGTTTCCGGCATTGTTCGCACCGGAGAGCGCGACGCTGCTAGGATGGGAACAGGGAAAGGGTAATGAGTTAGGACGATTTAAGACTTCGCTTTACCCTATACATAAGCCTGGTTCAGGGGGCGAGGAACGGGACTTTCTCCCTTTATTTTCTCTATTCCTTCTCAAATTACAACCCTTGTCTAGAAACTGAAGCAAATGCAAGGATATGAGCAGCATTTAAACGCGCTGTTCCGTAGGATTTCACGACTATGCTATCGCATGACTAAGATCCGTGGTCGTATAAGTGCAATGAACTTACCAGCACCAGAAAAGCTACCACACAGATGAGAAGCACCGCGAACCGGAAGCCTTGCGAAAATGACATGACGAACGTCATGATCGCCCCGTCCGACCGCCCGTCGCCCGGCGGCGGCGGGTCCGGCAGCAACTCCGTTCCGTCCACCAGCGCGCTCGTCAGCGAGCTTACCCAACCCGCCGAAGTCACCGACCGCTGGATCCGTTGCCCGGGGCGATCGCATTACACCACGCTGCCATTACTGCCCCCCCGCCACTTTGGGGACCGGTGACGCGGGTGCACTTGCGTGAGTCCCGGTCATCCCCCTGTGTGTATGCGAGCGATTGTGACCTGCGTGTAAACATGCAATGCATATGAGCTCGTAACGTTCGCCGAAGTCAAGTCGCTGGAACAAATTCACAACCACGATTAACGATGACATGTGGCAGGTATTTTCCTTGAGCTCCGATTAATAACTGCATTTATGTAAATAACATGCAAGCCGCCACAGGCCATCAATTACTCATTTCTATTTTAATAACCATGTTCTTATAAATGATGTTGAACTGCCCAGCGCACATACCATGCAGGCCACATAGCTGAAACAAAACTGCACAATTTTCTCCATGCATGCTGTCAGTATAGGCTGAGCGAACCGAGTACTTTATATAACTGCACGCTTCCTTTTCACAAAGTAACTGAGTGAAGCTGAAGACAGACATCGTCCATCTGATGAACAGAGATCGACGAACCGCAGTCCTCTGATGGAGCCACCAATGCGCCAAGTAGGTATAGCATTGATAACGACTTAACGAGCATACAGCAGAGTATCTGTAATCTGACAGAAGCCATCATATTCCAGTGTCGCATGTATTATGGTATTTCATTTACCGTTTTCAGTCATCTAAGGAAGTCGGTCTCCGGGAATGAGTGAAAGGAGAAGAAACCTTCCAGCACCAATAAATGTTCAGGCTCGCCTGACGTTTGCCCAAGCAAACCTCGGTCAACATGCCGACGAATTCTGGAAAAATGTCTTGTTCACCGACGAAGAGAATTTTGACACATCCAGTCATCGGCGAAGGGTACCTAAGAGTTTAGCATGTGCCGAAGTGTGCCTTTAGCATTAGCGCGAGCGTGCGGTAAAAGCTTTTTGGATTAAACCGCATAATGTTGAAGGCAATTGGACAAAGGATTCGGCCCATGGGCAAAACATTTCATCAGCGAACTTTTGAAGCATTTTCTGAGACGGAGGAAGGCGCTGGAAAAGAGCTTAACTGATAGAAATCTAACGTGAACTTTAGCATATTCCGAAGTATGCCTTTAGCATTAGCGCGAGCGTGCGGTAAAACTTGAACTATACAATGTCGACACGCGCTGGTTTGAGTTCTCGTGGGCGGGAGGCCCGGAGACATCGGCGCCCTGATCGGATCCATGGAACGAAGTTTGTCACTGCTCTCGAACTGGTTTGGCAAAAATGGTATGAAAATCAACGCTCAGAAAACTCAGCTCATTGTTCTCGGCACTCGTCAAACTCTCCGGCAGCTTCCAACAGTCAGCATCAACTTTATGGGCGCCACTGTCTCCGGCTCTCCCGCGGTGCGGAATCTGGGTGTCGTATTTGACCAATGTATGTCGTTTGCCGCACATACCGATGATGTCGTCCGGCGCTGCACACAGGGGCGCGGGAACTACTTTCCGACTGGGGGGGCACACCATAATAGAGATTAACCTAGGGTACCCCCAAATCTAGTTTTCTCACCGGTTTTAGGCCACTTATTTTTCACCCCTCGGCTTTTTCAACAAAAAAAGAAAACATTTGCAAAAAAGTGTGGTATTCCGTCTCAAAGCTGTGGGGGCACCGCCCCCACGGCCCCAGAGTTGGGGGGGCAAGCTGCCCCCACTGCCCCCCCGGCTCCCGCGCCTATGGCTGCACAGGTATTTTAATCGGATTGAGTCACTCTAGACATATTTTACCGTATTCGACGCTCACCACCCTAGTCCAAAGTCTAGTCATTTCACTCATCCGCTATTGTATCAGTGTGTACGGCTCCTGCAATACTACTCAGCTCGCACGTCTGCAAAAGCTGCTGAATTTCTCAGCCCGTGTGATATCGGGGCGTCGGAAGTTTGATCATGTTAGTGACGTCCTGCGTGACTTGGGATGGCTGTCCGCGCGTAACATGTACATGTGCTGACCCTATTGAAACGTATGCTGGTCACTGCGCAGCCCGAGTCAATCGCGAGTAGAATAGTGCATAGACGTGACGTACATCAGCGAGCCACAAGACAGATAGATATGCTACATAGGCCCAGAATCAAATCGGATTCCGGGAGGAGACGATTCCTCTTTACCGCCGTGACAGCTTTTAATAGCCTACCACCGGCGATGTGTGACCTGAACCTGCGCGCGTTCAAGGCAGAGTTGCGCCGGCACTTGTTGCGACAACAGGCGGCCGACCGTTAGCAATACTTCATGACGACACGTTTGTGAGAGAGTGACTGCGAACGAATGTCTTTCTGTGTGCGAGCGTGCGTATGTTTTTCCCACGACACCCATCATTTTATATTGCGACCCTGGTTCAGGAATAGCCATTTTTGTGGAATGAGCCTACGATGTCAAATAAATAAATAAATAAATAAATATTTCCTTTAAACCTTATTGTTGTAATCAAAGCTGCAGAATCGATGGATTTTCGGTGAGTCCGACTCCGACTCCGGCTGCCAAAAATCAAGTCCAACACCAAATCTGATTCCGGTCAGAACTGTCGCCTTCGACTCCGCAGCCCCTGGCTGTCAAAATTAAAAAATACTTGTCCGGAAATCAGGATCCCATCCCGAATACTGTTCTCAATGGTGGATGATTGGGTACCGACACTCATATGCCCACATGCTACCGAACAGGGTACAGGCCTCAGGGAACATGCTCGCACAATCTTTGAGAGAAGGAAAGGGTGTCGTTTTGCGCCGGTATCGCGGCGCGTTGTCGCAGGGCGCAGCTGTGCACCTTGTTTCCGTCATCGTCCGGATGGGAAACAATGGCCGACGGCACGTGCTGACCCGACAAGAGCGCTGTCGGCGCCGTGTCCGCCGACTCGGCAGTACGGGAAGCGTGTCGCAGGCTTAGGCTGGCGTCCGAACAGCGTCATCCTCACAGCTGGCGTCCTACAGGGTCGACCCTGTACCAGCGCCGGCGGGTATATATGGGGCCGGGACTGGGAGCAGGGCACAGCCGACACGCTGCTCAAGAGATCGACCATGACCTGGTGGACGCCGCTGCGGACGCTCTGCCTGGCGGCGCTGGCGGCACTGGCGCTAGCGGCCTGCCCCCACGAGGGCACCCTGAAGAGCTGGAGCGATGCTGCTTCTTGGGCCTCGGGAACGGTGAGCAAGGGGCGGTAGGGGTGCACTTTCAGCCCAGACTGATTTGGCACGAGTTGCATAAATAACTGCAGAGTAGACATGCATAGGTGTGGATGAAGGAGTCACTGCGTGTCTATACACATTCGACTGTTATGTATGAATTTGGTTGTTTGTGTCGGTGATAAATGAGCAGATTCATTTTCTCCTTATCAATTTTTGACAGGTGGCGATGTTTTTCATCTTAGGTCAGTCCAGCTTTGCAGGGACCCCTCACGCCACCTGGGTTGCCAGTAGGTACTAAGTCTAACGATTTAACGTACCTATCTCTCGTAAAAATCATGTGAAAAAAATGAGTAATAAAAATGCCCTTTTGATATTGCATTGGGAGAGTGGGGATAACTGGGACGCGGTAGAAGTGGGACACCTTCAATATCTTAGTGACCGATTGGACAAACAATTTTGTTTTTGCATATTTTCTCATGAATTTAGTCGGGGCACGTCACATCCATGCGGTTTCCTTTTCCGGTTGCCTGTCTCTGAGATATTGAGTTAGGGTCTAAAATGTGATTTTTTGGCATTTTACTCTAATTCAATTGGCCGCTTATTCAGCGATGTGAAATGTTCAGGCTGTTCACCTTTGGATATCAGTTAGGTCATCTTAATTATGCAGAAACATTTTTTATGTATCTGTTATACTTTTTGTGTGAGAGAGCAGCTGAAATAAAAATGACGACTTGGGGAGGACTGGGACAACGTGCCTAAAACCTGTCCTAGTTCTCCCGCATGCAAATGCATGGGAAAATTTTCCAGGATACTCAGTGCTGTCAGTGTAATTCAAAAAAGATAATCGAGGTGATTTCAGGAAACAGTCCACTTTCCTGAAATCAGTATTTTGCTATTGATTTATGATTTTTTTATGCTCAAAATAATCATGAAATAAAATAAACCCTTTTAGTAAAAACAATTATTTTCTATATTTTAATATAGGACGAACTATATTCTATGTAAAATAATGTTTGACGCGGAAGCTTATTACGCATTGACCAATCATATTGCGTAGCTCAAACCTACGCATACTGCATTGGCTGTAAGCAGCACGCTGATGGGCTGACGATGACGTGGCTGCATTCCTGTGCAAGGCACGCATTCCTCTACAAGGCACTCTTTTCGGAACGAGAAATGGAATATCTTCGTCTAGGGTGATCGTTGAGCCGTAAAAGCTCCTGATTTGTGCTAGTCTCAGCTCAAGCTACGAAACTGCTATTCCAGCTCAAAACCCCATGTTAAAAGTGAACTATTTCCTTTAAGTGTCAATTTTAAAAACTCCTTCGTGATACTGATGGGTCATCAAATTTAAATTGTATTCCATTTAAATCACATTCCTCGACCAGTCCCAGTTCTCTCCATCATCTGTCCCACTTCTCCTGGACGTGTCCCAGTTCACCCCATTGTCAACCTTTCCTAAAATTTAAATTTTAGAAGTAACACGTGAACAAACACGCATAAAAACAGTAAAGAATGAAGTAGAAATAAACGGGGAATATTTGTTTCTGGTCCCTAAAAAGCTGTTTCTGGCACCTAATTGCTGATCAGCCCCAAAATGCTTATTCGACCCTAATATCTGAATCTGGCACCTAATTGCTTCCACACAGCCTAAAGTTGCCAGATCGTCTAGTTGAACTCCGTATTTGCTGTTTGCTGATTCAGCACCAAAACCAAAACATCCGGCACCTATTTTATCCCACGTTTGCCTACCTAATTCGCGTAATCTTCCTGATTTTATGTATCCTAACAAACATGAACGTTGCATTCGGTGATGTCAAGTGCCATTTTCGCCAGTGGAGATAATGATTAATGCCATTTCTAGCCAGAAGAGAATCACTAGCCAGCTATGGTGCAGCATAGCAAGACGCTCCTTTACCAGCCCGCTATGTAGGTATAGAAGACTAGAGATTATTGCACCCTCAGCCATTTTAACGTGAAAACTGAAAAGTTTGGATCCGTCACTTCCAGCCAGGCTCTCAGGTCATAAACTGGAGTAAAGCAAAATGTCAACTCTGAACAGACATGCCACGCAACCGGCTCTCTTTTCAATATTATTAGCTTTCTGCAATCATCGTCTGACTCCATCTCGATCAAACGCAGCATCCGGTTTCTACAGGGGCGTTTGACTGACCGGCCACACAATAACCAAAAACAAAATCAAAGCTCCATGCACACATATGACATAAGTAAGAAACGGATGAAAAAGGCACAACCACGGCACAACTCTGCGCGGCAAACAACGGACAATGTCCCACGCAAGATCCCGCGTTTCTTCAGCGGCCTTGAACGGAATGAAAACATTACATTTCTTTTTTGGAGCTATTTGATGACGTCAAAAAAATACAATACCCGTTTTAATGGTCAAAATCGAGACAATTACTCACAAAAATGTTTGCCTTTAAGTATTACAAATAAATGCTTTTAAATATTTAAATGACATTGTTTTTTCAAACAAATCAATATTATTTGCTTACTAAAACGTCATATACAATGCTGAGATCACTACGGGGCTGTCTTAGAGTGTAGCTGCACTGGCAACCTTTAGGCTAGACTCCAGGGGTCATTATACCAGAACAACATGATTCTACCAGCCAGTAGTTCATTTTTCTACTAGATTGGTGCTACGCTCAGCAGTTAGGTGCCAGATTCAGAAAAAAGAGTAAGGCGTACCGATGAATAGGTGCCAGAAACAGCTAATTAAGGTCATTTTCCATGATTGGTGCTGGTATCCACCAAATAGGTGCTGAGGACCAATTTTGGGGCGAGTCAGCTCTTAGGTGCCAGAAATAGCTTTTCTGGGACGCAATTAAATGGCGTCCGAAATAAACCGTTTACCAGTAAATGCAATCAAATTAGGGGAGAGTGGGGTGGGTTGTATCAGTTTTTACTCCGAGACCCATAACCTCGTAACTATCCGTGATAAACTCATTATTTCCATACTATCCCCTTCCTTGATTCTTCTGCTTTTTTGTGCAAAGTAACTTTTCCGCTACCTCTACCAGTTTTTCTTCTACGGTCTCCCGAATAGAACAATGTTTTTGATACAACTTGCCCCATGGCTTGGGTGAGTTGTATCACATGGTGGGGTAATTTGTATCACTATTTCGCGTTTCAGGGAGTGTGCTTTCTACTGGTTTTGAACATAACAACAACATTAAATGGGGTTAATACAATGTATAGGTATGCTCAAAGGCTTCACTTTATTAGACCAAACTTAGGTCATGCAATCCGAACGAAACATCAACAGACTAGTCGCAAAAGTGGCCCGTTAAGAGCAAAGAAGCCAACACATGGTGCCGAAATGGAACGAGCATTGACTAGCTACTTACAAACGCGAGCCAGGGCTTAGCTTTCGCGATGAAAAGCAACATACCCATACATACATACATACATACATGTTACAACATACCCCACCCGGCTCTGATACAACATGTACCTAGCCGCCATCTTGGAAAAAAAACATCCTCGTGCTAAAAAAACAGCGGACAGCTGGAGAAATCCGTTTTCACTCACGCAGCCTTAGAACCTACCCTCACCACCGCTACGGAGATGTTTCAAATTCGTGCACATCTAAATGCCCAGAACACACATTTTCTTGCAACTCATTTTTTTAGAATGACATTAAAAAAACATAAAATCGGCTCTCACCTCGAGACGCGTCCACTCAGCCACAAGACAGAACAGGGAAAGATGGCGCTCGGAAAACCTCGTCGGCTGGTCGTGTCGCGAGCGCCATCCATTGGATAAGTTTGGCACAATTCGCCCTGATACAACTTGGACATGATACAACTCACCCCGCTCTCCCCTATTTAAATATTAAATATTCTATTTTTTACGATTTTTTAAAGTTGACGTCAAAATAATGTCCCACTTCTCCCCACTCTCCCCTATTGTACAACCTACATACTGTACATGAGCGATCCACATTCTCAAATTGCGTAGCGATTACTGCTCATTATTGCCGATAGGCAGGTACCCTCTAGGGTGGGGAGTTTTTACGCCACCACGAGTTATCGTAAATTTATTTAAAAAAAACACCTTATGATTCATGATTTCACACATGGCGTTAAAATTTCAGATCCACGTCATTCAAGGTCAGCCCAGGTCACCAGGTCATGCCAATTCGTCCGATTCCTAAGACACCACAAATATTATTGCAAAACACCGGTTTTGATACGCCGCATTGGTCACGCTGAGACACGTTAAAAATATACTTTTATGTGTTGACCTCATGTCAGGGGCATGTCTCAGCCGGTAATGTAAAAAAGTTGATCAAACGTGGCGCCCCTTCGCTTTGGAAGCTCATACCATTGAGCACTTTCCGACTCGTTAGGCTCGACTCAGTCGGGAGTTATATCCACGAAAAAATCATAGGTATATCAAATGTCACGTCGTAGGTGCCTAATCATATGACACCACCCCACGGCAAAAATAAATACATAAATAAATAAATAATCTGTGAAGATGCCGTAACGTATAAGCTCATTCAACGATTTGGCCAATTTCAAACATTTTACATTTCTGCTATTTTGTTGATCATTTCTGTCTATCTATATTTATATATTTGTTATGACAAAAGCTTCCACCCAACATATAAAAAACAACATATTTTAAAATGAAAAGTAAAGTTCACCATAAACAACAGAGCAACGTTGCACTGTTTGCAGTTGTTAAAGGGACCCTCCCACCTTCAAAAAAGTTAATGAATTGGCATGGAAGTGATGTCGCTCCGTTCAGAAAAAGCAAAAACGAATATCTACCAAATTTCATCGAAAAATATTCACCGGTTTTCAAGATATTAGACTTATACCATGCTTATACTTTTGTTTACTTTTGGGATCTCCGCTGTTCCTAGCGACTTTATTTGAAAGTGCGGCGCTTGTTGCGCGCAAAGCGGCATATACCACCGCGTGCTACCAAACCTTTTAGTAAAAGATTTAAAATCGTTAGATCTGCGCTGACGTCACAAATTCTAAGGGGGCATTCCAATGCATTAGCCCCTTAGAATCCGAAAACTGCAAGTTTGAAATTCCATATCTCCGAATTAAAGCATTTTTCGATGTTGTGAGTGCCCAAACCGGTATTTTCAGGCCATGGCCACCAATTTGGCTATCTCAACTCAAGACTTATGTTAAGGTGGGATGGTCACTTTAAGCCTTGCCGAGCCAGGAGGTTGATGCAACCCCCTAAGGTTTTTCGTAAATAGCGTTTAAACGGCGGCGCGTAGCGCCACCAAATTTGGCATATCCTCTGGGATAACATTTTGGTACCTTCCTTTTATAATTTCAGGTCTCAGTTATATTCGGTCAGGCTATCAGGTCACAAAAACCGGTACAAGGTCAGGGTAAAATTGGACTAGTTTAGCGGCAACGAAATCACAATCTTTCGTTATTAGCGTGAGAACCATGGCACGTAGCGTCACCAAATTTCATATACAACTTGGAGCAATCATTTGACACGTATTCTGGGAATTTTGAGTTCCAGTGACCTCAGGTCAGGTCGCAAGCTCACAAAAACCGGTACAAGGTCAAAATGACACTGAAAAATCACTATTTTCTATGAAATCTACAGTTGTTCATCGATTTGACTCAAACTGGCAGTATATGCTAAGCTCACCGAGTGGCATACCTTGGATCCCGGTTTTTCAAATTCGGGTGACCTGGGGTCATCTAGAAGTCATGAAAAATTCTGAGAAAATATGGCTGAATGGCTCAAATTGTAAAAATATGCTCCATTTCAACGTGTTTGTGTTGTAATGCCTCAGTTTACATCAGTGCGTGATGAACTTCGTGTTTGCTTGCTGCAACAATGCAAGGGTCAGGTCATCTGAGGTCAAATGAGGTCTAACTACGTTTTCGCTTAAAACCTGGCACACAATGGGGCTATAGGTGTCATTGTGTTGCTTGTGATCAGCCAAATCGAATAATATGTGATAAGATGCAATGCGATGAACTTATGAACGTAAGTAAGTAATTTAAGGTCACTTAATCTTAGGCAAACTTTAAGTTCACTTAAACTGATACCTAACAAAGTATAGCATTCGATGCGCATTGACGTGCTGAGTTTACTGGTGCCTTTAAATTTGCGCTATCTTTATCAGATCAAAAGTTACAAGCGAAAAAAAAACTCTCGACATTTTTAGCAAAATGTTTATGCCTACCTATTTATACCCGTAAATGTTGACTTAGAGTCACCAAATATGAAAAGGGGCGATATTTCTATTGGGCTCACCTACCCTGTAAATTTGGTGTTTTTAAGTGTCATAGGAGCCAATCGCCAGGTTGGGGGTCGTACCCCCTGGCCGTCCGCGTTATGAAAAAGGCCCTGGCCTGGCGAGGATTAACATCGATATTAAAATAGAAAAAAAAATAGTCACATTGATTGTCAGAATCTTGCTTTCTTTCTTATTGAGACATTGACTATCAATCTCAATGATTTGCTTATACACATACACAAGTATTGCTTGCCCTTTCCAAAGATAAATTGCGATTCGCACCTCGTGGCCGGTTATCCGTATGTCTGACCCCTGCGTGACGGCTGTGTGGCCTCCCCACAGGTACCTGCCGAGGGCGAGGCCGTGGTGGTGTCGGAGCCGATGCTGCTCGACACCGCGACCCCGGACCTCCTTTCCGTGACGGTGGAGGCCGGCGGGCGACTGGTGTTCGACCCGGCCGCCGACCTCGCCAAGCTGGCCGCCGAATGGATCAAGGTGGCCGGCGAACTGCACGTCGGCGCCGAGGACTGTCCGTTCACGGGACAGGCGGAGATCGAGCTGCTCGGCAAGAAGAACGTGACGGTCGGGGTGCAGGTCCACGAACACGGCGCCGAGTTCAAGGCGCTCGTGGTGGTCGACGGCGGCCGGCTGGAGGTTCACGGCCAACCGAGACAGGCGTGGACCCGCCTGCAGACCACCCTTCCTCAGACCACTCGCGAACTGGTGGTCGGCGATGCCCTGTTCAACCACCGCGAGACGGAGAACGTAGCCCACTGGTACCGCGGCTTCATGGGCTATCAGTTTGACTCGGCCGGCCAGCCGGTGCGGTACATGCGCCTGCGCCGCTCGTGTGACTTCTCAGACCTGGTGACGATGCAGGGCAGCGTTGTGCTGCTGGTGGTGCAGCGGAAGGTGGAGCTGGATCGCGACCAGCAGCTGGAGCACGCCGCCGACGCGTTCGAGCAGGTGTGCTACGGAGGGGGACAGCGCAGCCACCTTCGCGACCTCAGCCTCGGCGAGACCGTCGCATGGGCAGCCATCTGCCACGTTGGCCATCCGGAAAACACCGTGGAAGAACTTGGACACCCGGAAGGCGACAACTCGGTAACTTCGCGGTTGGTGAAGCAAGTGGGCGATGTCGAGTACTTGGCGCAGTCGGTGACGCGTCTGACCTCCGACTGGCCGTATGAGATCGACATGCTGACGTACACTGCCGGCAACGTTCCGGACGCTCACATTGTTCTGGACGTCAGCAGCAACGTTAGCGACTGGCGCGCCGGCGACACCGTTGCCATCACCTCCACGGACTACGACTGGCGGCAGGCGGAGGAGTTCACCCTGCTCGACTGCCCCGACTGCAGTGCCACCCAGATCATGATCGGCTGGCCGGTGCGCTGGACCCACTGGGGAGAGACGACCGACGGCGTCAACATGGGCGCAGAAGTCGGTCTGCTCAACCGGAACGTGCGAATCCACGGCCGGATGGAAGACGCTTGCTATGGCGACAACCACTGTGGCAGGTTTAATTTCGACACTTTTGGAGGTCAAATTAAGGTATTTGCTAACTTCGCATCGGTACGCGTTGTCAACGCTGAGATCTTCCACATGGGTCAAAACTCAGTCCTGGGTGCCTACCCAATCCACTTCCACATGTGTGGCGATGTTGATACGACACGAGAGCTGAGGGCTTACGTACGTTCCAATGCCATCCATCATACGTTTGCGCGTTGCGTGACCGTTCACGGGACCAGCGGTCTGCTAGTGGAGGGTAACATGGCCTACGACCACTTCGGTCACTGCTTCTTCTTGGAGGATGGCAGCGAGAAGAGGACGGTGTTCCGCAACAACCTGGGATTCAGCACACGTCGGACGACACTGACGCCGAGCGACCACGGACGTGCCTCGACTTTCTGGATCACCAACCCACTCACCACAATGGAAGGCAATGTGGCCGGCGGCTCCGAGGGCTGGGGCATCTGGTACACGTTCCCGCGAAAACCAATCGGGCCATCTGCGGCGCTGGATGTCATGGAGCACAATGAAGCAATGAAAACACCGCTTGATCCCTTCATAGACAATGTCGCGCATTCGAATAACGAATACGGTCTTCATTTTGATGGCGTGCTTAGATCTAACGGTCATATACATGGCGGCTTCAACTACGACCCACGTGAAGACCCTCTGAACGCAACCAGTCCCACTGTAGTTGTTACCCTTGACGGCTTCACGGCCTTCAAGAACTACAAGTCGGTGTGGCTTCGGATGTCACGGGTAGTGGCAAAACGCTTTAATATCGCCGAGAGCGTCGAGGGCGTGGTGTTCGCATGGTCAGGTGCCGGTGAGAAACGTCTCGAGGACTCGCTGATCGTTGGAGAGACCGCCAACAAGGGTAAACCGGAGGGCTGGATCCGGCTTACAAACGGCACTAGCATCTGGTGGGACCGACAGATCCGCATGAACGGCGCGGACAACGCACTTCCCATCATCGGCGTCATCTTTCACGACACAATCATGTCGCTAAATCGCGTCACCTTCGACCGTTTCGAATCAAACATAGTCAGACCCTCCGGGGGTATCGGCATGCGGCGCAAAATTCGCCACTACACCTCACCAGTGAACAGTGTCAGCGGACTGGTGTTCCGCTACGCCGACCCGCTCGAAGGCAACCGTGCGTACGACGCCAGCGAAGGGCGCGGCTTCGCCGACCTGGCCGGCAACATTCAGAACGTCATCCGCGATCTGGACGGCTCTCTGACTACATACCCTAACTCCACTGTCGTGAAGCCTTACGACATTCACCTGAATGCTCGCTGCGCACCTGTTCCGCAGTGGAACTTGTATGTGTGTCCGACCATGTTCACCAAACTTTTGTTCATGTGGTGGGACCGTAGTGTGGGCAACCTCAACACGTTCCTCACGCGTAACGATGGAAGCGCTACATTTACATACGGGGTCAACTTCCAGAACAGCTACGCGCTGAACTCGCAGGAGGGCTACATCGTTCACTTCAACACGTCTGTGCCGCGCTACTTTAAGATTCGCCTGGCGGGCGTGGAGGCCGGAGTAGTTCAGACGGTAGGACTTTGCATCGGAAAGGGAGTGACTCCGCTCACCGTCGAGATGAACTCCGTGCCAGTGCCGTCGTTTGACTCTCTGGACGACCAGGGCGCGGATGTGCACTGGTACCTGGACACAGAGGCGGGCGTGCTGTTCTTCCGTTTCAGCTCTCCGTACCATCGCACGGCCGACACGGTGGACGAGTGTCCCGGCCAGGACGGCAAGCCGGCCGGCTGTCCCGAGGTGCTGGTCGTGCTTCCCTCCAGCAACACGGACGGAGACTGCTCGGGCCGCGCCTACCCGGCGTACAGCACGGAGCCATTGGACTCGACCGGTGGCCTCACCACGCCCGACTTCACTGCCTAGAGGCTGGTCCAGCATGGACAGCCCGCCACACATGACCTCCTCTGGAAGACGATGGAATGTCGATGGAACAGATGACCTCAGTGAGCCGGGTCATCGACAGCAGACCGCGACTCGGCCGACAAAGCAGGGCGTTTCCAGAAGATGTCACCAAAGAACCTGCAGGATAAACGATGCATCCGTCTCGTATGCTTGCATCATGCATAGGTTTGCAATGAATGTTGTGAGCTGAAAGGTGTGCATTATATTTCTGACACACTATGGATACTGTTTAATTTCGAATGTTATTCATCCGAAAAAATAATGGGATTTATTTCATACCCTTTTGACGTTACTTTAGCGTGTCTTGTCAAATCCTCCATGTTTGTGAAATATGTTGAGTAACGTGAAAAATTGTTTTCCTGAAAATAAAAATTGCATGAAATTGAATGAATTTGAAAGAACGCCAGCTGACTCAGTAACACAGGTTGTAAGTTCCATCAGAGGACATACAGACAAAAAAAAAGGAAAAATAAGGGCCAAGGAAGATCGTTCTACGCTCGCCGGCCGGCTTTTTTAAACTTGAAGCATTTGTGACGCCTTCAATATAACTACACGACTTATCCCGGTGTCCATATAAATTCTTGACCAAACCGCGTGTCATTTAACCTCAAATAATTTAAGTTGAAATTACGATAAAATGCCGGATACAGGAGTTTAGAACAGTTTAAGCTATATATCCAGTGAAAGTCATGCTGTGCCGGTTTTTTATTATCATTTATGTATTTTTGTTTCACTTGTGTTTTCATACTCATCGATCAATTGACGGAGCCAATGCATTTTGGGTTTGAACAGCATCCAGTTCAATAAAAAGGCGGCTTAAAAAGCACTTTCGAGCTATGCTTGTATTTCCAAAAAAAAAACACATCCTTAATACAGGGCTCCAGAAACTCGAAAGCCGCTCATCATAGCTGAATCACTGGCCGAGTAAGGCCGGGCGTCGAGGCGTCGTGCGCTGTGACTACCTTTGAGGGCCGGCAGGGCCGCGGTCTGCCGCAGCACTCTGTATTTCTCAGTCGCAGCGCTAGTACGACGGTCGGCTGGTCAGCGAGTCGAGAGCGCTGCGGATCCACGGCATCAGGGCCACCACGTCAGCGTACACTCCGGGAACACCGGCCTGGTGGCAGTTGATCCCCCTGAGGAGCGAGAGAGACACCGGCCGCTGAGAAGGGGTGGGTGATACATACTACCAGGTATACTACCAGGTTGCTAGCGCAGTTTAACAATAGCGTTTTACCACCCATGAGTACCATATCTGGGTTGAGCTTTGATCCGTCAGGTTTGAATATAATGCGTCTAATATACATCATACACATCGAAATAACTTCAAGGTCCCAGCGAGGTTACCTTTTGCGGTCTGAAAACCAGAACCATGTTCGCTATGCACCCGTAACTAGCTCCAATGCACGAGTTTGGCCAGTCCCATTCGCCCGGCTCGGGAAGGAACGAGACAGAATAAGCGGTCGGCCGTGCGGCACTCACCAGGCCACGATGCCGACCTGGACAAAGGTCTCCTCGTCGTCGTACTGTGCCGACGTGTCGCGGCAGACGAGCGGCGAGCCGCCGTCGCCCAGGCACGTGTCCACGTTCGGTTCGCCGCCGGCACACACGAACGTGTCATGCAGCTCAAACCACTTGCTCAGCCGAGTCTGCCGCAACTGGGTCTGACAGCGACCGCTCTCCACCGTGCGCAGCGGCACCTTCTTCAACAGGTTCGGGTAGAAGGCATTGTCTGCGGGCAGGGGAGGGATGGACATGATGGTGGAAGAACTCATTCATTTGATTTTTGAAGTTATGTGTAAAAATAACACGTACCACCGTGAGATGTGTTGCAATGTCGTTGTCAGGCAGCGCCAGACAGTGTTTACATACAGTGCATGGAGTTGCCCTGGCAAACATTCAGAGCCGAGCAGAACCACCGCCGTGTGCATGATCGATGGCAGGGCGCCTTATGTAAACCAAGGTGTTGCATGTGTCCAAAATCCAACTCCATCTCCTGCCAGAATCGTCGCCTCAAGAAAGCTAAATAACAATTGTCAAAATCATTGCTGGAGGACATGCTAACATCTGCCACCAGACAATGTACGATTTGAGCCTTCGCGCTTATATATTTCACGATCCATGGGCATTGGGCATAAAAGTTATTTGTTCATCTGAGGGGGAAGCACGGGGAACTCTGATGTGATTGCCCCCTTATGGCATCTCATGGAACTAAAACTTGGGTCTAAAAATGCAACGTGCTTTTGATCAGAACAAGCCGGCAGTACCAACGCCTCAGCTGTCAGGCAAACCGAATTTCGAATGGCAGCTTTTCGAATAATAAGCATCCCAAGGATACAGAAACAACGTTACTTTCCAGCAATAGCCATGGCTTAACGCCTTATATAATTTCAATGCCATCCACTTATAGCGCAGCCTCAGCCTGCCGTCGACCTTGAACCCTAGTCGTCGCCTCGCAAAGGGGTGGCTGGCGGGGTTGGGCGAAGTGGCCATAGCCGGCGAAGCAGTCACGGCCGTGTTTGTAGCTAAGCAAAACATGTTCCACGTACGGAGTCGGAGTGTTTAGTGCACTCCGTCACACACATGCCACACTCACACGTGCAAAGAGCGTGTCGTTGAAAGAACGATAAGGCATTGCCCGGGGCTGTCCGGAATGACGGCGAACTGAGAGAGGCAGGTCACGCAACGGGATATTTAGGGGCCTGTCCAGCACACGACGAGGGTTATCGCGTTGAATTTGTCACAAGTTTTACGTTTAAAATTATACCACTGGGCCAATTTATCATCTGCACGCCGATTAAATGCACGCTAACGACACACATATTTTACACGTAACGTATAGAAAGTGTAAATAATTCAATGATCGATTTCTTACATACAGGGTGTCCGGAAAAAAGTTTACCCATGGAAACTTAAATAAATTCTGCACTTTTAAGAATATCTTTACAATTTTCACACAACATTATCACACAAGACTATGAGAAGTGTATTCCATAATTTTCAAGAAAAATGGTTTATTATTGTGGCCGAAATTGCATAACGAAAAAAAAACGTGAAAAACGCACACAATATATATCCATTTGCACACGCATAGACAGTGCAAAAAACATTCATTCATTGACAGAATCGCAAGCCTAGCCACGTCAAACATTAGGCATCACTTCAGCAGTGTTCTGGTGTATCTTGTTTAGTGGCTACTGGCTGAGTGTTCGAAGTGCTGGCCACGCCTATTCAGACAGACGCTGATGCGGCGTCGGAAGTGATCCACCGTGCGTCGGCACACGTCAGTTAGACCCCAAACCCTGTTGCACGATTGCACTCTTAACCCGCGCCCTGATGGGGGGGGGGGGCATTTTGGCCCCCCCTGTGGTTTTTCTTAAATAGCGAGAAAACGGCGGCGCGCAGCGCCGCCAAATTTTGGGTACCTTACCGGACATCAATTTGACACCTTCGCACAAAATTTCAAGTTACAGGTCACCTCAGGTCAGGAGTTATTGAGGTCAAACTGAGGTCATGTTCGAGTAAAAATGAGCAAAAAACATGACATCTTGAAACGCTCACCAATTCTACAGTTAACAAGCAATTTTAAAGTTCTTTATGTGGTTGTGTAGAGAAAAGACGGCGCTACAAAACTGCCATCTCGGATTTTCGAAATTTTGGGATTTTGACCAAAAAAAATCAAAAAAATTGATTTTTTTTAGAAAAACTCAAAAAATTTCCAAAAATTTTTCGAATTTCGAAAAAAACCGGAATATAAGTGATAGTCCCTGCGCTCTTCGATATACATACCAAATTTTAGATCGATACCTCTTTTTTTTGGCCAAGTTATAGCGAAAAAACTGTTAAAAATTGATGACGTCAAATTTTTGAACTCAATTTTTAGCAATTCTAGACCTCGTAGCGCAAAACGGAGACCACCATTGAACTCCCCGTGACGAGCTGCATCGAATCGATACCCATTTTATGCAAAAATACCAACTTTGAAATTTGACCTAATTTGACCTGACCTTGACCTGACCTTGACCAAAACGTGACCTAAGCTGGCCCTAAAGTCTGTCTGACCCACATAATCGCATTTGTCATGTAAAATGGACCATAAAACATGCATCACACGACACTTTCATATTGTGACCCCCCAGTGACCTGACCTCTGTGACCTGACCTGGTATCAGTGACCTCAAATAGCAAAATATGTGTTTGAAGAACATTTCCCCATCGATGATTTTCAATGAAATGCATTTAACACGATTTTACAACGCATTTCTCGAAATGCCTGTAAACGGTGAAAATTCGACCTTTGACCTGACCTGTGACGTCATCGGTTTGACCGAGGTCAATGAAATTGGGTCACAAGGTAGTTCCCCGTTGGGGCTATCCAACACCGTTTACCGCTTGTCGCTATGTTGCGTGGTTCTCGAGATCTGAGGGGGGGGGGCCAAAATGTCCCCCCCCCCATCAGACCGCGTTGCTCGGCAGACCCCATCTGGGCGCGGGTTAAGCTCAGCGATTTAAATTGGAAAAGGCTGTCTTGCTGGGATCATCAGAGAGTTTGCAGTTGAAGCGTTTGCTGAACTGAGTTTAAGCTCTTCGGTAAGACTGTGTTTTGGCATAAATTTCGACACATAAAGCGTATGGCATGTTTGTTGGCGCATGGCATGTCAGTCAACGTGTGCGACTGAAAGTTACATTTTCGATGAATATGTGTGTATTTTAGAGCACGTGCACTATTTTCACGTGCTGGCTTGCACCTTAACTCCTACATACAGTTCTGTCAAACATCTGTTACAAATGTTCACCACGATGACATTACGAAATGAGCCGGTTTGGAGCGCCAAATGTGCTAAATTTTCAAAGTGCTATTTGACCTGTGATACTGAAAGAATATTAATGAAACTTTGTCCACTAACTTCTCATTCCTTTGTTGAAGTGCCCTGAAATATTTAGCCACGTACTACATAAATTGTAAATTTTATTAAAGATTCTTTGGGTAAACTTTTTTCCGGACACCCTGTACATGGGTCTGATACCCTGGCCCTTGCCCTATCCTTTGAGACAGCACAACTATGTTATCGACCTCTTGTGGTAAGGCAAGTGTTGTCCACTGCAGTCTGAATCGAATCCTCTGTCTGAATCGAAAGTAAAATTATTGTGCTCACATGATCCCTTCTAAACACGGAAAACATCGAACCCTACGCTCCCGTCTGGGGCTGGCCCGACACCTCACTCACCAAACGATTCCTGGCCCCAGCCGGTGGCGTAACAGTCGGCAAAGTCGATGTGGTGGTCACCATCGTCGGGCAGGCAGATGGTGTTGATGTGGGCGTCGGTCTCGACAGGTGACTCGAGCCGCAGAAGTGCCACATCGTAGTGGAGCGAGTCCGAGGCGAACTGCTGGTGCACCACCACCTCAGCGACGGCGCGGTCCTCGTGCGGGTAGACGGTGTCGGCGTTGTTGGTGTCCCATTCGCCAACTCGAGCCACTAAACGCTCGGCGCGGTACCTGCAGATCAGCAGCGCACCGGTATTAGCCGGGTACTAGACACAGTACAACAGCGTGTCATGAAGAGATACCACGCTAAGCCTGCCACAATCGGTAAAGGTTGGCAGGCACACTTCTTCATCACAGCAGACAGTCATCAGTACGGGGCGCTACTGTCGAACGTGAGATCACACTGGAGAAGGAAGTAAGAGCATAATCAAATAGCGTAATGTAGTACATACTACCTAACTGCAATTGCCCCGCATCAGCGACGTCAGCCAAGTGTAGGCAACCCCGCTCACTTGTAGACGCAGTGGGCGGCCGTTAGCACAACGTTCGGTGCGATCAGCGAACCCCCGCAGAGGTACTTGTTCTTGTGCGTCTTGCCGGAGGATGAGACCAGCCTCAGTGCCACCATCCAAGGGAACTCGCCGAGACGAGCGGCCTGAGACAAACGGTAACGAATTAGTCAATGGGCTGTTCCTTTTGTCAATGGTTCCAGCAATGAGTTGTGTGCAATAGGTTCGGCAACGCCATTAGAGGTTCCTTTAGGATTCGCCGTATGTGTTTAGGTATTCTTATTGAGAGAATTTGCAGATACCAAAGCATTTAACAGTGTTGACTTAAGCACTACTTCCATGATGATTAAATGCCTACTGCCCTTGCCGACGGTAGCATGGATACATAATGCCTTCAACATCAGGGGCAGAATGCCATGGCTCACCTCTCCGGAGACGACCCGCCGGTCAAGCCGGATCGGGGAGCGGGTGCCGCAGCCGAGCGGTCTCCAGGAGACGGGCTGGCGCCGGTCTCGGTGTCGGCAGCACACGTGGCCCGGCTGGCAGCGCGAGTCCACCGTCGCCGCCGTGCCGCCGGCCGAGAAGCTGCGCACGCTGATGATGCCCACGCCGGAGGTGTTGATGAGCCCGTCCTCGTCGCACAGGTAGTCGGGCACACACTCGCACTCGGCCAAGCCGTAGTGTGAGAGACCGCCAGTGCTGCTTAGGTGCACTGCCGAGCCATCGGCGCCGGCCGTGACCGCCTCGGCGTGCTGCCCGGAGACGTACAGCGAGGCACGCCCGTCGCCATCGACAGACGACGCCGCCACGCTGGGCCCGCCGCCGCTGGAGCCGCCATGTGCGGAGCCGGCCGAGGCGCCGTGACCCGACTCGGTCGAGTAGACGCTGCGAGAGGCGCTGGCTACCCTACCTCCACCCGAAATCGCTCCTCCGGCTGAAGACGAAAGCACCTCAGGAGACGCCGAGGCGTGTCCTGCGGTGAAGGACGGACCTCCAACGGGACCGGTTGATGTGGAAACGCTCTCAGCTGCGGAAGAGGCGTCTTCTCCTGACGTATGGGCGCGGCTAGCTTGAGGATGCGTGCCACTGCCGATGCCGCTACCCCGACCACCCTCAGCTCCCGTGTGTAGTCCCGATGAGGAGGGGAATGTTTCGACGTCAGAACTAGAGTGGCCAACATCGGTCTGCTCCGAGTATACTTCCTGTTGGACGGTCTCATCGTGCACGGTGACGGCGTGCTCGTGACCGCCAGCCCCGTGCACCTGGTGTCCTGCCGACAGCGCCACACCAGACGGGCCCATCGAAGCGGAAGCGTGGCCGGACACCCCGGACACACGGGTTCCCGAAGAACCATAGCCAGATGACACGCCAGTGACTGAGACCAGGATTCCATGTCCCTGACCAACGGTGCTGAACGGTCTGATGGCCTTTTGCACTTCGTCGCCACCCACATGTTCGAACTCGGCAGCGTGCGTCTGGGAGACTCCGGTGGCGGTTGATCCGGTGCCACTCACTCCCAGTCCTCCTCCTACGCCGACCCCCGCCGAAGACGCTCCGCCCGGCACTATCCAGGAGGCGTTGAAGGAGGTCGCGGGCACGCAGACCAGGCCGCTGCTTGCTGCGTCTCTGACAATGATGCGCGGCGCCTTCACTTTCGACGAACCAAAGTGTTGGCTGACGATGAAACGTGCGTTGTTGAGAATATAAGAGGTTGATAGCGTGAGTCGAGATTGAGAGGCAAAGAGCGCAAGTTCCTTGATAGCAGCCTGTGCTCGAGCATACGCCTCGCGCGCGCTCTCACGGGCGTCGGCGAGACCAGACTGTGCTTCAGAGTAGGCATCCTGCGCGCTCGCATAAGCCTCACCGACGCTGGCATACGCACTTTCGTGGGCTTGCTGTGCAGTGACGTAGGCCGAGCCTACGTCAGTATGAGCACTTTCTTGCGCCTGTTGCGCACCAAAATGAGCTGCGTGTAGGGTAGACCCAGCTTCTTCGTGCGCCTGCTGTGCTCTGTAATGGGCGTCACCTATGGTAGACCCAGCCTCTTCGTGCGCCTGCTGCGCACTATGATGGGCGGCGCCAAGGGTAGAACCCGCCTCTTGGTGTGCCTGCTGCGCGCTAAAATGGGCGGCTCCCAGAGAAGCTTGCGCGTCTTCATGTGCTTCTTTTGCACTGAAATGAGCAGCGCCTAGCGAGGCATGCGCATTCTCGTGTGCCTGCTGTGCACCGAAATGGGCGGCACCTAGGGACGCGTGTGCCCTCTCATGCGCTTGTTGGGCGTCAAAATGGGCGGCACCTAGGGTTGCGTGAGCACTTCCATGCTCCAGTGGCGCGCTCAAACGAGGGCCACCAATACCGTGCGCATGCTGGGCAGTCTGCTGTCCGTACTGGACAGATGTCTGGTCCACAGAGCCGCTGTGCACGACTTTCGACGGACGGTGGATCTTTGAGTGACCGCGGCCTGAGTGCCCCCTGTGAGCGCCATACCCTGACGGGGCCGGGACGCTAGCCCCACCGGACTGAACAGGGTAGCTCGGGCTGTATGCCAAAGACACAGTACAAAACCATGCCAGACAGGCCAGCACAGCCGCAGCAAAGTACTTCATCGCTGCTCTGCAAGTCAAGGAAAAAGGTCAGTCATCGTGGAACATGCGATGCTAAAAAGAAGACATTCTCCATAGCCGAAACTAATCTGCGTAAGAGCCCGCGGAGGGGGGGAGGATACGCCGTGCCGTCCATCATTTAGCTGCAGCTTCGGCAAGAAAGCGAGCGGTCTGTCTTTTCAAGACGCAGCGACTGGTCCCCAGGTCTCAGGTCAAAAGGTGACCTCTTAGGTAAGGTCAAAACACGAGGTCGGGGATCGAGTTTGGAGTAACGCCTTCTCCAAAAATGGTCGTGTGGCAGCGACTTTGGCACAGTCTCATTTGTCTTGTCCAGCAGCGTCATAAGGCATAGGACGTTCTATTTGCTTGGGTAAGATTATGTTGGGCGTTCACCTCTGTTTGAAGTCTGCCTAAATCCACTCAGAACACATTTATCAGGAGAAAAATCGCCAGCTGCCCCCTGTAGCGGTGTAATATTTTTTAAATTGATATATTCGTATTTCTTATTTTCAAAACACCAAAAAAAACATCGATTTGCTCATAACTCAGCATTTTTTTTTCTACTAAACCAAGCGAAAATTTCACATGCAATACAGAACTGACGTAGAAGCTAGGTAGGTACATGAAACATGAATGCTATAACATTATTAGCTCTTGAATTGTCGCGAATAATTGGTGGCCTCCTCCGCCAATGGCTACTAATGGCAGTGGAGCAGACGATGTGATGATCTGCCTACTTACCTACCGGGTTGTCCCACGGCGGTGACGATCCGCTGACCACTGACACCTCCGCAGCCACTGACGTCTGGCAGCGGGTGGCAGCAGCCGCCCGCCTATATACACAGCCGGCCGCGCTGACGGCCACACGGTCTGCACTGCACGGCTCCTGGGAATGCCGAGCCGCCAATTGACGTCAAAAGTAATCGAATTTACCGGCTAAACTTTCTGCATAATGAGAAACCGATGATGTTCTTCTGTCATACAACTGCGTAAAGCTGAACGGCTAATATACAAAATTTAACTTGGATTATGCAAAACCATGTTCACAGAAACTTACCTTCATATACACGGGCATCCAGAAAAACTGGCAGGCTTCGAGTCTTCCAAAAACACAATCTTTGATGCAGCGGTCGTCTCACAGAATATTGGTTAAACCGTTTCACAATTCGCCTTCAATGTCAGCACTCAATGCTGTTCCTGCTTTGAACCACGGGGAACACCTCGAGGCAGGAAGTTTGTTTACACCTCCTCCGTCTAACTCGGGTCCTGGTCCACGCCACAACAGAGGGCAAACGGCGTTCGAAAGTTTGCCAATTGCCAAAGCACATCAGAAAGTATCTATGTCAATAAGTAAGACAATGTTGGATTACCTAACACCTAGTGTAATAAAAGTAGAGATTTGTTTGAAGGTAGCCATGCGTATACTCAGCACGGGTGAATGTTTTATCCCTAGGGCACTTATGTTTAGGTCATCAACGTCTCAACTCACTTCTCCTCAAGACCAACCAGCCCAACACTTAAGCTCGGAAAATCATACCAATAAGACAACAGAGTGACTGAGGACAAGACTAAGTTGCATTTAGAAACGGACAGTATAACGAAAGTTAGCTCAAAGCTCCGAAAGCTCCGTAACAATAAATGCAAGAAACTTGTTCCCCCTACCTATTCCTAAAAACTATAGCGGCTTTCTAGAATAGATCTAGACAAAGTCCACCGATGATTTTGAACGTGTGCATGGGCGATCCTGCCGCGGCCGAGCAGCCGGTATGACGTCGCCTGCCGAACGCTCGGCCGGCTCGGGTCGTCGTGTTTACTGAATGCAGACGGCTGGGAATCCACACTCACCGCCGCACGGGCCTGTCTGTTTATCCAAAAATATCACAATATAGACTCGAGTCGGAGCGCCAGCTGTCACTATTCAAAAGCAGGGTCACCGGAAAGCAGGGTCCAGCATCGTCACCGAACGTTATCCTCAAAGACGCATCTCGCATAATACCCAATACAATGTATCAACAGAGTGGTACAAAACGTCCAGCACTTAAGACCTTCTCCTCCATTATTCTTATAATAATTAAATATAAACAAAAACATATTCGTCGGTCAAAGTTCTTAACGAACAAAACTCATATGGTATTAATCCATCATTAAGTCAAGGTAAAAGTCGCAAGATGCCAAAAGAAAAGGGAACCTAATAACTATCTCTTCCCGAAAATGTCGACACAAACTAATAAAGGGAATCGTCGCATCTTTATTGAACACTCACTGTGGCGGGATACCGGGGTCGTGGTATCCCGTCCCCGGCGCCGATGTTAGAGACGGTACCTGGTCCGGGCTGTACCGGGCCCCGGACTGTACCGGGCCTCACTGTCAGAGGCGGGACGACAGGGGGTCTGGGGACGGAAGGACCGGGTGGGCTCTCGCGCTGTGTGACTGGGAGTGTGCGGTGGCCCGTCTCGTGTGTGCAGTGGCCCGTTTCGCGCTATCGGACAAATACAAGCTATTTCGGCTTTACCATGGCTGGAGACGAGGTGCCATCAGTGTCCGCGAGTGCAGTGAGCGCGGGTGCCTTGGACGTCCGCGTGATAGCGGAGTTTGACGGCACCACAGACGTGGTAGAGTGGTGGACCCGCGCGGAACTGTTGTGCGCCCACCGTGGCGTGGACTTTGGAGCGGTGGTCCCCCTGCGTCTCACCGGTGGAGCCTTCGCCGTGTGGGCTCAGCTGCCGGTCGATCATCGAGCCTCCCTGGCAGCCGTCAAGTCTGCCCTCTTTGCGGCGTTCGCCCTGGACAGCTTCGCGGCTTACGATGCCTTCGTCACTCGTCGTCTTCAGCCGGGCGAGTCCGCCGACGTCTACCTGGCGGACCTGCGGCGGCTGGCTGAACTGTTCGGTGGCGTGCCGGACCGGACTCTGTCCTGTGCATTCGTGAACGGGCTGCCGGACGCGGCAAGACAGGTGATTCGCGCCGGCTCGCGCGCCGAGACGTTGGACCTTCCCAGCGTGGTCGCGCGAGCGCGCGCCGTCCTCAGTGACGACCGCGTGGCAACGGTGGCGGCGGCGACGGCAGCGCCTCCACGCGGAGGGGGCGGAAGCCGCGGTGGAACGCGGGACGCGGAGGCGGTGATGGCGGCGCGCGTCCCGAGACGGCCGCGCTCGCGCCGGTGCTGGGCGTGCGGCCGGCTGGGCCACCTGGCGGCCGGCTGCCCGCAGGGAAACGGCACAGGGAGCGGTGCGTCAGCGCCAGCGCCGTCTCCTGCGCAATAAGAGGTGCGCTGCCCATAATCAGGTTGCCGCTGAATGGAGGACTCCGAGACGTGCTTGTCGACACGGGTTGTACGCATAACCTCGCTCACGTGGACATTTGTGATCAGTGGGACCGGCAGCGCTTGCTGATCACGACAATGGGTGGTCACGCTGTTCAGGCACTAGGCGTGGGAGTCGTGACGGTTGGCCGCGTCGGTGGCGACAGTGTCTTGCCTGTGCTAGTGGTGGCGTCGCGGCCAATGGGTGTGGACATGATTCTCGGAATGACGGGCATCTCCGCCCTCGGCGGAGTGAGCGTGAAAGGGCCGGGGGATGTGAGGATCGACGCGGTTTCAGAGAGGGTCCCAGTGCGCCCGGCGGGGATCAACAGAGCAGTGGCGCGCCCAGGTGGTGTCGCGGGGGTGGCAGTGCGCTCGGCCCCGGCTACGCAAGGACACGGCGGGGCAGTGGCGCAGCCAGGCGAGGCGCCGGCGGCGGCGCGTCCAGCCCGGGCGGCGCAGGTGATCGGCGGGACAGTGGAGCGCCCAGGCGGCGGCGAGGCAGCGGCGGCGGGCCCGGCCCGGGCGGCGCAGGTGATCGGCGGGACAGTGGCGCGCCCAGGTGGTGTCACGGGGGCGGCAGTGCGCTCGGCCCCGGCTACGCAAGGACACGGCGGGGCAGTGGCGCAGCCAGGCGAGGCGCCGGCGGCGGCGCGTCCAGCCCGGGCGGCGCAGGTGATCGGCGGGACAGTGGAGCGCCCAGGCGCCGGCGAGGCAGCGGCGGCGGGCCCGGCCCGGGCGGCGCAGGTGATCGGCGGGACAGTGGCGCGCCCAGGCCGCGGTGGCGAGGCGGCGGCGGCCGGCCCGGCCCGGGCAGCGCAGGCGATCGGCTGTGCAGCGGCGCGCGCAGGCGGCGCCAAGGTGGCGGCGGTGGAGCCGGCCAGGGCAGCCTCGGCATCGCGCGGAGAGGGGGCGGGGCTTGGTAGCGCCGCAGCGACTGCGTCACAGGACCCGGCCGGCCCGGCGACCGGGCATACCATGCCCGGGCCCAGAGTGGGCGGGGCATCCACCGCAGAGCTAGTGGCCGACGCGAAAGACTTCACGGCGAGGTTCGATGTTAATACACGCAGTTGGACAGTGGCCTGGAAGTGGGCGGACGGAGTCGCACCAGACTGTCTGACCAACCGGGTCGCCGAGTACCGCGTGCCACCGTCAGCGCGGCAGGAGTATGACGAGGAGCTCGAGACGTGGCTGAGGAACGGCTGGCTGCAGCCCTACAATGAAGCAGAGGACGGTCCGCCGCGCGGCCTCGTGCCCTTGATGGCCGTCCCACAAGCAAAGAAGGTGCGCCCTGTACTGGACATGCGAGAGCTGAACGGTCACGTAGCTGCATACACCGCCGACTCGGACGTGTGCGCCGACCGCCTGCGGAAATGGCGCCGCCACGGCCGGCGGGTGGCCGTCGTAGATCTGCGGCGAGCGTACCTGCAGCTGCGTCTCGACCGGAAGCTGTGGCCGTATCAGACAGTGATCATCCGTGGTGAGCGATTCTGTTTGACCCGCCTTGGTTTTGGACTTAATGTAGCGCCGGCCGTGATGAAGGCGGTGGTGCGGCTCGTCATGGCGCAGGATGCAGCAGTGGAGCGCGCCGTCTGTCCGTATGTGGACGACCTGCTTGTGGATGAGGCTGTCGTCAGTGCTGAGCACGTGGTCGAGCACTTTGAGCGTTTTGGGCTCGAGTGCAAGCCACCGGCACGCGCCGAGGACGGCGCTCGGATGCTGGGACTCCACGTGCGGCGTGTGGCGGGTGAGCTGCGGTGGTCTCGTGACAGTGCTGTCCCCGACCCGCCCGACCGTGTGACGCGCCGATCGGTGTTTGCATGGTGCGGCAGGCTGGTGGCGCACCTCCCCGTCTGCGGCTGGCTGCGACCCGCCGCCGCCTGGGTGAAACGGCGCGCCAATGCCGTCACGCGCGGCTGGGATGACGTCACGACCGACGCGCTCCTGCAGTCTCAGATCTCGCACGTGCACTCCCGGCTGCTAGCGGCGGACCCGGCGCGGGGCCAGTGGTGCTGGACCGGGGATCAGGCAATCGTCTGGACAGACGCCAGCTCGATCGCGGCTGGAGTGGTCATCGAGACACCGTGCGGTGGCGTGATGGAGGACGCCTGCTGGCTCCGGCCCGGCGATGCCGCAGCGACCCACATAAACATGGCCGAATTGGATGCCGCCGTTCGCGGCTTGAACCTGGCCGTGGCGTGGGGCGTGACAAACATCGACCTAAGGACAGACTCGGCGACAGTGCACCGCTGGGTGGACGACGCGCTCAGCGGCCGCGCCCGCCTCCGGACGAGAGCGGCCGGTGAGATGCTAATCAGACGCCGTGTCGACCTCATTCGACAGCTAGCCAACGAACTGGAGCTCAAGGTCACCGTCACGCTGGTTCGCTCGGAGGAGAACCTCGCCGACGCCCTGACGCGAGTGCCGAAGGAGTGGCTGCGTGACGAGTGTGAAGAGAGCAAGATGTCGGTGACGGCCGATGACGGAGCCGGCGACTCGGCCGCCCGTGGGCAGGTGGTCGTTGGTGCTGGTGCTGCAGATGCCGTCAGGTCGTCTGTGCAATCGGTGCACGAGCGGGCCGGTCACCCTGGCGTTCGTCGGACGCTGTTTTTCGCGCGGCGAGATGTGTCTCGAGACGTGACGAGGGCTCTGGTGCGCGCGGTCGTGACGACTTGTGATGTGTGCCGATCGATAGACCCGGCGCCTGTGCGGTGGCGGCACGGCTCGCTAGAGGTGGCGGCAGTATGGGAGCGCGTCGCGATGGACGTGACCCACCACCAGGGGCGGAGCTACCTAACCGTCATCGACTGCGGGCCCACGCGGTTCACCGTCTGGCGCCCGCTCGGCCGTGCCGACGCAGTGGAGGTCACCGACCACCTGGAACAGATCTTCCTTGAGCGCGGCGCGCCCAAAGAAATA